GGGGGGGGTCAAGCAGGAGCAGGAGTAGGATCTGAGAGGGTGGCGGACAGCCAGCAAGGTATGTCTGTTATTTATGGGTATGGGAAATGCACAGAGCGGCACTGCGCTGCGCTCATTTCCACACACAGCCGCTGTCCGTATGCTGCCAATTAAAAGCAGAGGGTTGAGTTGGTTGCATATCGGATCCGCCGGCATGTCACCGATTGCATTGTGTCAACAGGTGGGTGGACACTGGTGCAGTGCCCCTTTGAATGCCTGATCCGCGAGAAACAGCACTGCGCTGCCGTGGCTTTATCATTTCCATTCGCTCGCTCTATGGTAGCTTATCGCTCCTGCCACTCTTCTCTCCCAGGCCACAGGAACTGTGCCTGCCTGTCTGGGTGGAGACTGTGCTGGGAGAGAGAGACCAGAGCTCGACAGACTCGGTATCAAGCTCTCATAAAGGGGTGCAAGTGGCGGTATTGGACACTCGTATGGGCTAATTGTGATCGCTCCTGGGCTGCAAGACGCGCTCGTGTCGCGCCAAGATTCCATTTGCAAGGCAATCAGACACGAGCATGGAAGTTAGCCAGCCAGCAAGCCAACGAGTAGATAGATGCATGCCCGGCAGCTCTACGACAATAAACGCCGTGCGTGGGCCAGCGTACATCGTGAATGGTGCCGCGCACCATGGCCTCTATGTAATACGTAATGGCCACGCCGCTCGCCGCCTGCCCGTCATCCACCCTCCCCCCAAAAAAAAACTTGTGCCTGCTAGCAACGACAAATAGCCCGCCGGAGTCAAGCAGCGCAGGACGCGGCGTCGAGCCAGAAGAGCTCGCTGACACGGATAAACAAATGCGGAAGGGAGAGTGAAATCTCAATGTGCAAAGAAAAGAGCCAGCAAGCGAGCCGCTTGGAAAGACGATCGCCAGAACAGCACAGAAAGCGAGAATACATGAGGCGGACCACAAGGGAGGAGCGAGTCGGGGTGGATGGGGTGGAGCTAGGATGGTATGTCAGATGTGGCGGTTTCGGTGGGTGGTATGTGGAGAGGGTGGAAAGGGAGAGAGGGAAGCGATTTGTATCATGTATGTACGAGTAGGCGCCGAACTAATCCACACGTTCGCCACACGACGATGGGCAGGCGTTCGCACTCGTGCTCGCGGCCGATCCCACGCCACCAGCTGAGTGGGAGCGACAATCGCCAGGCGTGGCATGGCGTGGCATGGCGGAGGGTGGTTCAAGTGAGCAGTGGCAAGAGCGTGCGTGTAGCGTGCGCGTTCATATCATTATCCTCTGGGCTGCGCGCACGTTGTTTGTCTGGATTAGATTGTGTCAACAAGAGATGCGTTGGCGATGCTAATGGTGGAATACGGCGGGGGCGCTGGCATGGGTGCTTGCGTTCGAGCGAGGGGGGCAGGGTAACGGGGAAGTGGGGCGGAGCCATCGTCTGCGAGCGAATTCACCCTTTCTTCTTCTCATTCCAAGGGGGACCTTGCAGAAAGCTCCGCCCCAGCTCAGCCCGGCGGAATCCGACTCATCCCACGAACGTCTGCAGCAGCTGCTGCTCGACCCCGCAGCCCCCAGAGAGGCACCCGAGCTGCTCAGAGGATCTGACATTTGGACTTTTTCCGCACCACCGGTGGCTCGAGGGCCGCAACGATTGCCTATGAGAAGGGTAAGCAGGAAGATGCATCAGATGAGCGCGCCCCACGACAGCTGCCCGCATGGCCACCAACTGATACGCACCTCATCAAAGACGTTCTTAAGGCCCTTCTGCGTCAGCGCGGAGCACTCGACGTACTTGACCGCGCCGAGCTCCCTTGCGAGCCGCTCACCGGCGTCGTTGCTGACGGGCCGTTGTTTCTGCCTTGCGAGCTTCTCCACGACGGCTGGGTCGTCGCGCAGGTCCACCTGCGTCCCCACGATCAGGCAGGGCACGCCGGGACAGTGGTGATGCACCTCGGGGAACCACTTCTCCTTGACGTTCTCGAATGATGCCGGCGACGTAACGCTAAAGCATAGCAAAAAGACGTCCGTCTGCGGATACGATAGCGGCCGCAACCGGTCGTAGTCCTCTTGGCCCGCCGTGTCGAAAAGACCGAGCGTGTAGGGGTCGTCGCCGATCATCACTGTAACCGCGTAGTTGTCAAACACGGTCGGGACATAGTCGCTGGGGAACTTGTTCGTCGTGTATGAGATCAATAGACAGGTCTGTACGAGCAGAAGGTCAGCACAGTGATGGTCAGCATCCTGATGGTGCAGCAAGTATGCACTTGGCGCGTACCTTTCCGACAGCACCGTCACCAACGACGACACCTGCGTACGTCATCAACGCGGTAGTGCGGCCGATAGCCAGGGTGCAAAGCAACAAAGGTCAGCGCCGCAAGTCGTCATTTCGCACGCTACCAACAGCAGAAAACTGACATTTGATCGTCTGCATCTTGAGTGCGAGAGCGGCGGCCTGTTGGGCTCGTGCGACTGTCTCACACACAGCGAGGCGAAAGAAGTGGATGTAAGTAGGGATCAAGGGGGGTCAGCACGACTGCCAAGATGCACAGCGACTACGTGCGATGATGATGACGATGATGGATGGTGAAGACGTGCTGTTAGGACGCCCTGGGCAGGTTGGTCCGCGACTCATTTTCCAGCCGCTCCATCTTTGGACTCCAGGCTAGGCCCAACTGTGCATTTTCAGCACATCCATCCCATTCCTCGACGCGGAGCCTATGCAAATGCGCATCCTGTGCGCTTTGCGGAACGCAGCGCTAGTTATTGCTGTCATCGGAGGCAGGTCGCGTGACTAGAACAGCTGCTGCTGGCGCGTTCTGGCCTAGCCCCTGCCACACTCAGGGTAATCGCCGGCTACTGTACCTATCTGCTTCCATCCTCCTTCCCTTTACATGCCTAGCAGTTCAAGAACTCATGGTGCACCAGGGCTATCCTTGAACAGGTCACTGCTTCTTTAGCACGCTGATGTCCACACGTGAGCAGTCCTAGCAAACCGTGCCCTTTGGCCACTCCTTCCCCTTGCGCGCCGCGCATACAGCGTCGGCGAGCCGGTGTAGTAGGCCGACTCACAAGTGGGCGTCGTGCGGTCACCGAAGAGGCCTCCTCCAGTCTATATTTGGGTGCTTGTGTTCGAAGCCGGGCAAGGTGGATGGGGTTGCTTGCTGTGGTATTGAGGCACCCGTTTTGGGCTTCCTTCCTCGCGCGTCTCGAAAGAGGAGATAGGGGATGGACGGCGGGATGGGGGCAGACTGTGTGTATGCGGGTATGCGGTGCGGCTGGCGGTGGGCACTTTGGAACGACGAGCTGTCGTGTCTGGGCTTGGGGACGGTGGGTGCGTCGTCGAAGCTGGATGGAGGCGTGGTTGACGATAGCGGGGGATCTGCAGGCTCTGACTTGCCTGCTGTGAGTGTTACCCGCTGTGAGTGCTGCCAAAGATTTTGGATGCATCACGCTTTGGGTTCGCCGACTGGGTCGGATCAAACGAGATTGTGTTCTGTCAATTATCGGTCGCGGGCGGCATCGCAGCAGTGTCAACCCAAAGGCCACCCTGACTCCTCGTCTCTCTGTGGCCGGGCGGTGGGGGGAAAGGGGCCGGCGCCTGCGCCTGCGCAGTGTCAAGTGGGCGGTGGACTGCGCGTTGGCACGGGGCGACAGGCAGCATCGCACACTCAACTGCAAACATCATCGTCACGGGGCACTCCGCTGCCGCCGCCGCCGCCGCGGCGTGCTGGATTTTTGATTTGCGGTGGTGCTGTGCTCTCTCTCCTCTCCTTCTGCCGCCACTCGACACTCCCAATAAGGTCCTTCAGAATGAGGGAGAGCCAGTGTTAAGGAGTAGCTGCCAGCGTCCCAGCGAGCTCATCGACACTCCAGGTGCGTGTTGCCGCCTGGCGCAGCGCTGGGACTCGTTCTAGTTCTGGTTCTGGTTCAGAATACTGTAGAGTACAGCCATACTATGCCATACCTCGAAACATGCAAGTGCATCCTCGAGCCTTCTCACCTTGAGATGTTTGCAGGTTGTTGATGGGCGTGCCTTGATGACTTCCCGAACTTGCACGTCACAAGACCTCTTCAGGCTCATTTTCCGGACCCCCGGCATCTCGCCTGTCTAGTAGCATGGCTGTAGTCTTTGTACCGGCTGTAATCGGTCATCTTCCACTGCTCTTGCAATTGGCGTCCACTCTGGTAGGACACATACACGCACCCTTCCAAGCCAGGCATCGCAGACGAGCCGCATGTGCAGGGGTGCTCGCCCACACAGTGACAACGTCCATGCCAGAGAAAAGATTTAGGAACAAGAGTCGATTCCATCGAAAGATTCAAACTGTATATTCAAACAATTATCAACAAAAGGCGTCTTGTCTTGCATCGGGACAGCGCTAGCCCCTCATCCGCGTGCATGGATAGATCGATGGATGATCTCCCAACTCGTCTATACGTCGTGCGTGAGAAAGGGAAGAGATATGTGCTGCGGCCACCGTCAACAGATACCAAAGAGGTGCTGTGCGCCCGCCTGACATGCCGGTCCCCCGCCGTGGGAACGAAAACGCTTGTGACCGGACCGAGACGGATTCGGAGTGTGCAAATGCCCGACGCGTGGAATGTAAGAGCGTGGCTTGAACTGGACAGAGCTTGTGCAAGCTGGATGTGGAGGGGTTGACGCGCGTTGCAAGATAGATGGATTTGGGGAAGGGGAAGGGGGGGGGGTGTCCTTTGAAAGAGTCGCCGCTTGCGACTTGCGTGTCAATGCAATGCCATGCATCACGAAATCGCAAACTTGGCCCCGGACGAGGCGGTGCGCAACTGATCTGCTGATGCTCCCGCAGCACCGCCTGCATCGCCACTGTTGCTATTGTTGTCATCATCAAGCCTTGCGTACCCTTGTAGAGTAGGGCTGCCATCTCCCTTGCTCCCGCTGGGGCTGGCAGCACTCGCTGCTGCGCCACCGGCATGATGGCTCCGAAGAGCATTAGTAGCAGGCTTGGGCAGGATCTTTCCGATACGCTCCAAAGAAGCGTGCGATGAGCCATTCGATTTGGACCTGCCAGCGCCTGTCCCAGAGCTATTGGCCGCCGCCGCCGCCGCAGCAGCAGCAGAAAGCGCAGCTGCCCCTATCCCCGCTGAAGATCTCGATGATCCTGTATTCACCTCGGGCACGGGTGTGGGTATGTCGACGGGCGCAGGAGGCGGGACTACAGTCGCTGTATGCGGGTGGGAAGTCGCTGTGTCCGCACCTACTGACCGCGGTGGTGCCGCTGGGGTGGTCGAAACGCCGTTCGCAGCGCTAGAGTCGGTGATACTTTCTCCAATTGCACTTGTGCCTAGCAACTCTGCCAAGTCCTGCATCATGCTACTCGACTGAAGCATGCTCACCCTCTCTCCCCGCGAAAGCGTAGCCTCCACAGATAGTGCCGGCACTCCAAGGTCAAGAAGAGGTGCGGTTGGCGCGCCGGACTCGACTGTAGGTGAGTGGCTTCCAGCAGAAGGGTGCGTCGAATCAGGAGTCGATGATTGAAAAAGTTGCGGAGCAGCTGCTGCGGACGATGGATGGTTGTTGTTTGCTGCGTGCGAAGATGGGGAAGAAGAGGGTGTAGGGGCTTGCTGCGGGGGTGCTGTTGCGCTTGTGTCGACACACACTTGCGGCGTTTGCTGGGGCTGTGCTTGCCGCTGTCTTCGAGCTTCCTCCGCTTGCCGCCTTTGCTGCTCTTCGTGCTCGAGTAAACTGAGGCGCATCGCTTCCATCATCATTGCCTGCGACAGTAGATAGACGATAGAGAGGACCGAGCAGGAGAGGTGATAAGCCTCGGCAGCGCAGCACATAGCAAGCTTCCTGAATCAACTCACCTCTTCCAAGTCCTGACCAGCGCTCAGCGTGTGCAGATAGCGTGCAATCTCCTGCTGCCTTCTCCCCGTGCCTGAGCGCCTCCTCTCGCCGCGCTGCTCAGCAGCTGTAGCCTGGAACCCCGGCGGCAGCGCCAGCTCCTGTCCCTGCTGCAGAATGATAGCGCCGCCGGGGCCCGTCCCTGCTGGCAGCTCTTGGCCGAGCCGGCTGCTGCTGATGCCCACGGGGATGAGGCGGTCGCCGACCTGGCGCATGATGATGCGCCGATTGGCACGCCGCGCAATGGCTGCCTGTGCCGAAGCCAGCTTAGCTTGCCAGTCAGGCCGGATCATGTCGATTGTGACGACTTCGGGATCCGAGTGGTTGAACGACTTGCGTCGCCGGTGCTCAGTTGCTGGTGACGTGGGCGAGGCGGCATCTCGAATTGAAAAGGAAGAGTCGATAGCGCTGCCTTCTGGCATGGTCATAGACACGCCTGGAACACCAGAAGTTGATTGAGGGATCGAGCTGCTAGGGTGGATAGCGCGTCGGCTGCTTTGCCCTCCACCCTGCAGGCGATGTCCATCGAGAAGCGCTTGCGGCGGATGGTAAACCACTCCGAAATTGCTCTGCATACAGAATGGGCAAGCAGCAGGTTCTGACGAAGGCGGATTGGTGTGATTTGGGTCCGCACGCTTCATCTGCACAAAGCACTCGCTGCAGATTGGCTGCTCGCAACAACGTGTCTGATTACATGGCGAAGGGTAGTTCTGCGAAATCACGGGACGGTCAGCATCGGATCAAGAGTGCGTGTAATGTATCCAAGAACGCTTACCAAGAAGCAAATAGGACATTCTGTCTGCTCCACCTCCCCATCAAAGACGTGTGCATACGTCTCATCGTCCTCAGCACCAGCGTAGAACGGCGCTAAGCGCCGACTGGTAATGAGCCTCTTGACGACGTCATGGGAATAGTCCTGTATGCCAGTATATACGCCTTGCGGCTCGAGCGCACCGCCATCGAATCCTTTCGGCCAACGGGGGTGCGAGGATGAGCCAGATGAACCAGCACCGGCGGAGGGCGTGCGACGATGGCCTGCTGAGCCGTCCTCAGCACGCTCCTTGCCATTCGCTTGCCCCATGGTGTGACGTGTCGAAGTAACGGAAGCAGCGCCTCCTGCGCGAGCCCGATTGCGCAGTCAATGCAAATTGCACGGGTATGCAGAGACTTACTCAACGGCAGGCTGCGCGCGAACCTTCGCAGCTGTCAAAGCGCACTGTAGCTTGTTGCAGCGCAGAAGATTGTGTGTGGTCGCTGCCACTGCTGCGTTCGACACTCACGCTGGCAAAGACTGCATGCGTGGGGTCACTTGCAGCTCGTACGCACGACGAAGATATAAGCTGCGTGACCTGCTTGTAGAGAACTTCGAGTTCACGCGAAACGGGCTCGAAGATGCGGGCGCCGCTGCAAGCTCAAGGAAGGGGGCGGGGACAATTGAGTACGCCTGGTTGCCGATGACTCGATGGATGCTGGTCGTATAGCCTCGGTTCCGTCCAAGCTGATCAATCGTCACCGTCTTCCGGTCGACGGAGCTGGATATAGTGGAAGCTTGTGGCATGCGACTCAGGGGAATACGTTGCTTGCAAAGCAATGTGCTGTCGCCAGTGGTGTGCTGATGATGAAGTGATGAGATCATGACACTGTATGATGATAAGCTTGCTGTGGTTTTGGTGCACCTCTCGATTTCCGCGCCGCAACGCGTCCGATATTGCGGCAGCGGGGCAGGGCCCGAGAGAACTCTACTCTGGCTTGGGAGACAACGGCCGAGACTCGGCCAATATGCAGCCAATTCCCCGAGCAAATGGAAAGGGACGCGAATCTCAGGTTGCAAGTCCACGGAATTGAGAATACACACCAGTATGCAGCCGTGCTCGCAATCACATCGTACACGACTCTTAGTCTCTCTCCCACTGTACTAGTGGGCACTTATACTCTGTGGTCGAATGCCACATTCCATACTGGCGATTGGGATCTTCGTGGCAACAGCTCCTCAGACACATGCTATGCAGGATGCACATCACATCCTCACATTTCAGCAAACAGAAGCAAGATTGCAGAAAAGTAAAGGGGATCTCAAGTGTTCTCGAGTGGTGGATGGGGATGGCGTAGGTCTAGGTCCAGCCGGCGGTTGAAGGTCTCTGAATATAAGTCGCACAATTTTTTCCGGACAAGACTCGGCGACTTTCGCACCAAAAGAAATCGCCGACCGACATTTTTTCCCGGGCAAAACTTTCATTCAGCTCATCGTTTCATCGGTTCTTCGGGTTGTGCTGTCGTCTCGACGAGCCCTCCTTCATCCTCGGTGACACACTTTGACTCAGCCTTCCAGCAAACACATTGGGTGGATAGCCGCATGCTGCGTCAACCATACGCTGCGCTTTGCCTCATACTGACAGGCTAACATTGTCAGCCATCATGTCGTTCCTTCAAAGGCACGTGCGCACCGCAATTCAACTTGCAAAGTCGAAGGCGCGAGGGCGCTTGCAGCCACAGCAAGGTTTTTCATCCTTGCTGCCACAAACCCGGCTTGAGTCTGCGCGACTTGTCACGTACGCTGCTCGCAACGAAAAGGCTGTAACTCATCATGCAAGCCGCCCTGCATTCGCGCATGCGTTCATCCGAACGTTCGCTTCGTCGTCTTTGTCCTACCAAGCTCTCGAGGCGTGTGCAGAAGTGGAAGCAGGCGCACCCATCGAGGTCGAGGCGCATCACGAACCCGACACATCTCATTTGTTCGCATCGCTGAAGGGCAAGCTATCGGAGCCCGTCTTTCGCGCCATCACACAAAAGCCCTTCGGCTACAAGGAAATGTCGGAAGTTCAACAGCGCGTCCTGAACCTACTTCCTGAGATCGCCGAGTCTCCTGACGCCATTGGGTTAGCTCAAGATGACAAAAAGGGGCGTGATCTGCTTGTCAAGGCAAGGACAGGGACAGGCAAGACGCTCGCTTTCCTGATTCCTGCTATTGAAGCACGCCTGAAGGCCATCGAGCGTGTCTCGAAAGGCGACTTTCCAGACTCGTGGCGGGAACTACTGAGGCGAAACCGCCCGGAGCTCAACCTCGACTCGCTCGAACCTGCAGAGCTGCGCAAGATCTCCAGACAATTTGGAGAGAACACTGTCGGTACTCTTATCCTCAGTCCCACGCGCGAGCTTGCAACGCAGATTGCGACCGAGGCCCGCAAGCTCCTCTCTCACAGGTCCGATATGGGTGTTCAACTGCTGGTCGGTGGCGCCAATCGATCACAACAGGTCCGCGAGTGGAGGAATTCGAGACCGGATATCGTCGTCGCTACGCCCGGCCGCATTCTCGACCTTGCAAGTGATGTTTCAATGGTCCGAGAGGCTTTGAAGGGCTGCCAGACGCTCGTCTTGGATGAGGCGGACACGTTGCTGGAAATGGGCTTCCGCGACAGCATCACATCTATCATTGAGCATTTGCCCCAGGCGGGGAAGGAACGCCACACTATGCTCTTCTCAGCCACCGTCTCGCCAGACATTCGCCGCATCGCACGGGCGTCGCTGGACAAGAACCACCGCTTCATCGACTGCGTGCCCGCCGGCGAAGAGAACACGCACAAGCACATTCCTCAGTTTGTCAGCGTCCTCGATAACCCTACCGATCAGATCCCATACGTGCTCTCACTAGTAGCACATGACCAGATCGTCAACGCAGGCAAGAGTAAGGTGATCATCTTTACGCCCACTACGCGCATGACGCAGCTGCTCGCTTCACTCGTGAAGAGCATGCGACGCAATCTCCCCCTCGGCTCGTTCGGCTGCCAGACGTACGAGATCCACTCGAAGAAGGAACAATCAAGCAGATTCCGCACTAGCAGCAACTTCAGGGCTGACAAGTCTGGTGGATCTGTGCTCATTACCAGCGACGTTTCCGCACGCGGCGTCGACTACCCCGGCACGACTCGCGTCATTCAAATTGGCGTTCCTCCCAACAAGGACGGATACATCCACCGCATCGGACGGACTGGCCGTGCAGGCGCAAGCGGCCGAGCGGACATAGTTCTTCTGCCTTTCGAAGAGGCCTGGGTCAACACGCAGCTAGATGATCTACCAATCCAGCGCCTCAATGCTAGTTCCTTCGGCAAGGAGCTTGACGCAGTGACGGCCAAGTGGGAAGAGGATCCAAATTCTTTCCTCACCGAAGATATCAAGGCTGCGCTCCGTAGGCAACCCGACTCGCGCTCCAATCGTGGCCGAGGCTCGCGGCGCACGCCTGCTCCGATTGGATACCATGACCAGCCAAAGCCGATCGTCGCACCCCTCGCCGGCAGAGTCAGCTTGGAGAACTACCGCACCAAGGTGCAAGAAGCGATCACCGAACTGGACCCGGAAGACATCAAAGAGACTTTCGTCAGCCAGCTAGGATTCTACCTCGGTCGTGTGCCCGAAATGCGCATAAGCAAGTCCCAGGTGCTCGAGGAGATGAAAAGCTGGGCCGTTGCTGTCGGCAGCTTAACCGAGCCACCGTACCTCAGCCCTGCGTTCCTGAACAAAGTCGGCTTGGGAGGCAGCGGAGGCGGACGTGGCGGCCGCGGTGGCGATGGACGAAGTGGGTTTGGTAGCCGGGCGGGGGGTCGAGGTGGATTTGAGCGTGGAAGTGGAGGCCGAGGAGGTTTCGATCGTAATGGACGTGGTGCCTTCGACCGTGATGGACGAAGCGGGGGATATGGGAGATCCCCCGAGCGGTGGTCTGAGAGAGACTCGTCTCGGCAATCCAGCTACTCTGACCGCGGCTCGAGTCGGGCGTCAAGACCGCAAAGCACGTACCATCGGCTCGAATCCTCGCCTCGCCACGGCTCGCGTGAGCATCAGGAATGACCGTACTGTGGTACCACCTCAAGCACCACACGTATGCACCCCAGGGGCGCACGCAATACAGTTTGAACATAGATTAGGCGTATCGATTGAATCGGCCCCGTTTCCTTCATTGCCAATGTTGTAGCTACCCTTTATCATGCCCAACATACATTCCCCTCTCTCACCTGTTTGCCTGTATTCGAAATACACTATGAACGCAGTCCCCAGCTTGTCCGTCCCATCGGTTCTCGGCGCTTCCAGGTGTGGACTGTGCCAGGAGGCCACTTGATAGTGCTAGTTGGATCCGACCAAAGGTGGAGGTTTCGCCAGACGCGACAGTCGCATCCTGCTCCTCTGGGGGTCATGCGGCTGATGGAAGTTCGGCGTATGCGAGGGCGTCAATGCTTGCACGGCACGCACGCGGTGCTTCCTTCGCCCCTCACCTGCAATGTGCAGGCGCATGATATTCGATTCATATGCTGAGCTTGCGCACAAGGGGCGTTCAAAACGTGATCTAAGGTGTGTAAAACAAGCAGCTGTATTTTTCATCTTGGCTCGGCGCTTCAGTCCGCAGCTTTATTCGGCCTCTTATTTCCGCTACCGCTCTTGCGAGGAGCTTTACTGTTGTCGCTGCCGCCGCTGTTGCCAACCGGCGGCCGTGGCTGCACTTCCAGGGAGGAAGTTTCCCGCTTGATAGGCAACGAAGCGCTAGACGAAGGACTTCTTCCACGAGGCGGCGCAGAGGCGGACTCTGATGGGCTATCACGCTTGAGGATGGAAACGAGCTTTGGCGCCGCTGGTGCTGGTGTTGATGCTGTTATGTTCTGCGACTGCTGTTTCTGTCGTTGCTGGTTCGATTTCTGCTGTTTGCTGCCGGCTTCTGCGTGTTTATTGTTGCTCCTGGTCTCCTGCGAAGCGCTGCCGTTTCCCGTGTATTGCTTAGCCTCGCGCTGTTTATCGCTTCTGCCCTTGATCGAAGGCACGTCTACAGCGCCCACTGCAGTACCTGCGCCTGATGAGCCTCCAGGGCCAGCAGCTGACGCTGAAGAGTCACGAGTACGTGACTTGGCCTTTCGGCCATCAGCACCTTTTTGCTGAGTTTGAAGGACAGCACCGATCGCAGCTCCGAAGACCCTGCTGCTGTGTGCATTCACCCCAGGTGCAGATGCGGCAGCATCCGGATTCTGCGAGCTACCGTCCGCATCATTGTTGCCCGAAGCGCGTGCTCGCCCACCTCGCACTTGGCCCTGCCCTTTCGACTTGCTGCCAGCGCCGCTGCCAGTCTTGGAACCTACGTCAGCAACAGGCTGTGGTTGCTTGCCTTCTTGCGGCCTCTGGCTGTCCGGACCTTTGCTCTTTTGCTGCTGTTGCTGACCACATGCACGTTCCTTCTTCTTACCTTTGTCCTTCTGTCGTTGCCTCTCGCGTTCTTTCTCCTTCTCTCGTTCTCGTTCGCGCTCTCGCTCCTTTTCGCGCTCGCGCTCTCGCTCACGTTCCCGCTCTCTCTCGCGCTGCCGCTCTGCCTCCTTTTCCTTCTGCTTTTGCGCTGCAGCCGCAGCCTTCTGCAGTCTGAGATGCTCGAGCAGCGGGGTGCTCCGCGCGAGCGCTCTCTGTGTCGCTGCGTCGTTCATCCGTGTTTCTGAAAGCGAGGCCGCAAGGTGTGCATTGAGCTCCGCGTCCGTCTTTGTTTTCGGTGCGGCCCCCTTGGTAGTTGGGTGCATGACCGCTTCACTGTCCGCTTCGTCGCTGATTTTCGTACGCTGTAAGTCTGCGAAGAAAGCGAGGTAGTCTGGATCCTCGTCAATCGTCCCGATTCGGGCGTCTTCCTTCTGTCTCTTGCCACTGGCGCCGGCAGCAGTGACAGGAGGAACTTTCTGGTGAGGAGCAAATTCCACCATGGCGACAAATTCCTGGCCTTTGGCATCGCGGAAAACGTGCCCTTGAAAAGCTTGGTGGAAGGCGAGTAGGCTTTCGAGTGCTGTGAAGCGTATGTATGCGCGCGAGGCAATGTCTGCCTTTGATTTGCTATGTATTGTCAAGGTCAAAAGTGTCAGACATCCATGTTTACCACTCGCCAGCACAACTAACAGGCTGCAGCTCACTTTGTTTGTACCTTGCCAGGAATGTACTCGGTGTAGTCTGCAGTCACCGGTGCCTGCTGGGTGTCCAACGAAACTGCCATCCCATCCTCGTCTGTGTTAAGAGCAGGTATTTTTTCCGCAGCTTTGTCACCACCCTCTTCGACAGATACGTTGGTAGAACAGGCCTCTTTTGCATCCTGTACCTGTTTGGCGGTCTTCACCCATGGCAAGACGGCGCCCCAGAAGACATGTTGTGGCAAATGTGGGGGAAGCTTGCGAACTACGACCTTTAATCGCACCCCAGAACTTCCGTTTGCATTGCCCTTGCCGTCCCGATCCTTTGACTTCTTGTCCTTGCTCTTGTCTTTATTTCGGCTGCGCTTCTTGGCAGACTGCCGAGCTGAGCCATCCCTTTCGGTGTCGGCATTGTTTGCCTTTCCGTCGACAGGAGCCTTGGAGCTCGAGTCAGCTTTGCCGCCACGATTGCTAGAATTGGCTGGGGCAGCTGAACGTTGTTGAGAGGCGGTGGCTTGACTTTCTCTCGTGCCTGTCCTTGACGTTGATCCTTCAGTTTCGGGTCGCTGTCCCTGACCTTGTCCTGAAGTTTTGGACCCGATCGCCTCCTTTTGCACGTTGTCTTGCTTTGGCGGCCGTCGATGTCGATCCTTCTTGACACTGGCTTCTGAATTTTCCTGTCCTTGTTCGCGAGCGACCGACAACATGGCTCACCTGCAGAAAGTCTTGGCCAATACCAGTTCCCAAGGCTCTGTTTGAACTCTCTTCGCCACGTCTTCTTTCGCCAAAGCTTAGACGGCAAAGAGATTCGGTCCTTCCCCACCACGGAATTCTTTGCGTTTCGACCCGAGCTCTCGAAAGATTTGCAAGTAGCCCAACCAATCGTCCTCACAACAGAACAGATGCGACCTTGATGAACCATCGTACCTACGGCGTAAACAGATGTTACGCCTTCGCCCGTTGACCGACACTTTGCAGTGAGTCAACCCACTTAAGCAGCAGCAGATTGAGAATATTTACGTAAGCGACCCATCCACAGGACAGCAAATGCCACCTGCGCCGCCCAAGCCAACTTTTCCATTCGCCGTTACCAGAATAGAATGCTTGGCATGTCGGCTGTGCAGTGCACTGGCCACGGGGAGTGGAGAATGACATTGAGTATATATGGTGACACGGTGTCCTTTACTAAAGTGTCTCTGGCCTTCCGCACATTTATTCAAGCTACTAACCTTGTGCTTGAGGAATCGAACGCATATATCGCAGGAACGATGGCCCCTACGGAAGAGAGCTGCGTGCAACAGGAGGACCCGCACCATCTCGACCCGCGCGGACTCGAGCTGCTACAGCTGCCCCGGTCAGTGCGCATAACACAGAGATACTCGGCGCCTAGTGCAAGCGAAGGTATCAATGCAACATTGGAAAGTGAAGATGGCGAGCAGATCGAACTCGCTTCGGGCATCTTGTCCGTTCAGCTGGTTACAATCGACATCGGTGATGCGTACGGTTTAGCGGGTGCGAGCACCGATGCAGCGGGGGATGAGTGAGTTTGACTCACGCCTGCTCGAGTGCTGAGGTGAAGTTCCTGGCGGCAGTACTAACGCAATCCCACTCCTCTAATATCAAGTACCGACATTTTCCTCGTCCTGTCCGTTCCTTCGTCTGACTTTTCACTCCCTTTGATGGCATCTCAGCGCGTCCAACATCGCCCAAAGCACAATGCTTATGTATTCGATTCCCCCGAAGTGCCCGGCGCCAGCATCATTATATACTTGCCAGCTCCGGAGCAAGGCAGTGACGAAGTGACAACGCTCGCAACCTTCGATGACATCCTCTCTTCCTACTGCGTCTTCAACGCTGACACATATGCCACGGACGACCGCGGCAAGATCGAGCTCATTTCTGTGAAGGATGGCAGTACGGTAATTGGCACCCTGGACTTGGAGCAAGATGGTGTGGTGCTGCAGGAGGAGGGATTCGACCCCGCCCTTAGCTCGCCTAACATTGAGAAGGAGCCCGTGCTGATCGATCTCGACTTTGAAGGCAAGGCAGAGCAAGGCGCAGGCGGAAAAGAGATGGGCAGCGGCCCACACCGAGTGAGCATTGTCAGGCCGATCAGCACTGTCGACTCGGCAGCAGGCGACGACTGGCTCTTACGCGGAGCCGATCGGATCAGCCGCGGTATTATTAGCGGCTCTAACTTCATTGGCAAGAAAATCGTGCAAGGCGCAGACGCTATAGCCGAGCGGCAAGTCACCAAATTCTCCGCTCCTGGGAGCGCAAGTAAGTCCGCACAGACGAACGGCGCTGCGACGCCTGTAAAGCTGGCATCCGGAGAATCCGATAGCTCCGTCGCAAGAACGAGTACTAGCGGCGCCAAGATCCATCCGCGCGCAATGCAGACGGTAGCAGCGGTCCACACGCTGAGCGGCCGCGCGGTGAAGGTGTCGCACAAGACGGCAGCATCGATTCAGAATGTCGCAGGGCGTTTTGGAGATCAGATCGGGAAGGCGACCGGTGTACAGCGCCAGCAGCCGTATGCGCCTGCAAAGGGCCTTCGCGGCATGCTAAACCGTTCGCTCGTAGCCGTCTCCACCGTCTGGGATAGCGTGGATGCGAGCGCACAGCAACTGATCGACGACTCTTCCTCGGCAGCCACACATGTCATCCGATCCAAGTATGGCGACGACGCGGCGGTCTTTTCCGCGCACGTAGGCGGCACGACGCGCAGCGCCTTTTTGGTGTACCGCGATATTAGCGGTGTGAGGAGGCGCGCTCTGCTCAAGGTGGCGGGCAAGGGTATTGTCAAAGGCCGAACGAGAGATGGACAGGTCGTCAGGGTCCAGGTTGGGCAGGAGCCTGGTTCGCAATCACTTGTGGGGACATCCTCCGCGACTGTCACTGCTGATACTAGGAAGAAGTGATCGGCCATTGGCATGTATCGTGCCCGATTTGTCTCGGCATATGTATTTGTATAGGTGGACTTGCAACTCGTTCCGTCTCAAGTTGCTCCGCCTCGCAAAACCTTTGAAGTGCATTATTTATCGTCTGGATTGATGCCTACAAGATGCCAATGAAGGGCTCCAATCGTGTAACTCTCGCATTCGAACCTTGGGTGCAATTCACAAAACCCCTGGAGCAGATGAGCAAGAGGGGCGTGAGGAGGGCGCAAACAGCGAGTGCACGGTATGCGAGGCCTCACCTTTTGTGCTTGGAACATCATCTGTACCAGTCTGAGCAACAGCATGTTTGATAGCCAGCGCGAGTGCCTTGAATGCTGACTCGCTCCTGTGGTGGTCGTTGTCCCCTCTCAAGCAATCGATATGCAGCGTGACGCCGGCAGCGATTGCAAACGAATGGAAGACGTGCGGGATCATCTCGCAGCTCAAGTCCCCAATTTTCTCCCTCTTTAGCCCTAGCTCCGCCACGCAGTATGGTCTCCCGGAGATGTCGAGTACGGCGCGGGACAGTGCCTCGTCCAATGGTGCATGACCGGTGCCATAGCGGTTGATCCCTTTCACGGGGCCCAGGGCCTGCTTGAAGGCCTCACCAAGTACCAACGCAGAGTCTTCGGCCGAGTGGTGGTCGTCGATCCATAAGTCGCCCTTGCATTTTAGGGTGAGTGACATACCGCCATGCTTGGCGAGGGCATGAAACATCTGTGAATTCAGGCGTGGAGTGTGTCAGCTAGGGGGTCGCTTGAACTTCGCCGCTGGCCGCAAGCAGCGCCGGATCCTGTTGTGCATGCGAACATGGTCCAGGAATCCAATCCCCGTCTGTACATCTATAACCTGTGGCGCATACGTCGAGTGCGTGTCGAGCGCGAGTGTACATTGGATCTGTGTCTCGTTGGTGATGCGCTCGACAGTGGCTGAGCGCACGGAGAAAGGGACCGAGGTGCCACTAGCGGCAGGCGCCGCTGGTGCTCGTGCGGTGGCCATCTTTGGATCAACTGATGTCACTTTGAGGTGGATGAGGGCTTCGTTTGAGAAAATTATTCGTACAGGGGAGAGGCTCCGTACATACGCAAATAAGCCGGAAGACAGAGAGATGGACATTTCTTGCTTGGTCCGTATCTCCGACTTTCGGTGGTTGGCTGCCACACCGGATAGGTTTTGCGTGGTGAGGCTTTGACGGTTCTTTGGAAAAAGCTTGGGCCCCGTTCCGCTCCAACGTTCAGCGCCTGCTCACTATGCCCGCAGCAACCCTGACTGTTGCCTTTACCACTCCGACGCGCTTGCCTTCGCCGTCTACAAGATGCACACTGTCTATTTGACCCTTGCACTCTACGGCAGCCCTTTCCTGTCTGCTCCTCTTCCGTCACCCATGGTGTTGGAACGGCTTTGCAACGTCCTTCTCCCATAATCTAGCCCCGACGCGACCATTGTTGGTTATTCGTCCTATTCATGGATCCCAAAGCCGCATGTCTGCTAGGTTCCAGCTTTCTACAGCGTTCCAACGGAGTGGGAATGTCGGCAAGGTGGTGAAGCCAAAAATCAGGGTTGCTGTGGGCACAGTGAGCAGGCGCCGAAAGTTGGAGCGGAACGGGGCCCAAGCCTTTTCCAAAGAACCGTCAAAGCCTCACCACGCAACCCTATATGGTGTGGCAGTGTGGCAGGCAACCGCCCCGACTTTTGGATGTCTTTAACGCTTTTAAGAGGTTGCACTGAATTTAAGACCCAAAATTGGCCATTCAAAAGTCGCCGAGAATTTGTGAATGTTTGACTTCCGGGTCGGTGTCTTTTCCCAAAGCCATGAGGCTGCCAAGTTTCGGTTGGGTACACCGCTTGCCATCACCTGTGGTGATCCAGCTGCCAGCAGGAATACTTCCAGGTTTGGTCACCACCTTTCACGACTGGCCTGAAAGGATCGTGCAAATGATCTCTGTTCGTTGTCTGCGCTGCCTGTGAGCTCGTACGCAGATATATCAGAGAAAGCTGCGCACTCTGTCAAGTAAAAATGGCGGCGAGAAGCTTTACGAGCCTTTTGCGGCAGCTGAGCCAGTCTGGCTGCTGCCTTTCCCTCCATCATGGCCCATCGTGCGCAGTTCGAGGTAAGGAAAGACAGCAATGGTTCCTTGATGTGTCTTGCTGGCCATAGATTGAAAGCCCGACTTTCCTACTGCTCTGTTACGCGCGTGTTCCCCTCAACAGGTTTCGCATCGACCTCGCAACGACATGTCATCACCAAATTCGCTATGCCGGCAATGAGTCCGACGTGAGCTGCAACCTCTGTGCTGAGCAATTACAGAGCGCTAAGTCAGTCTTGATTGTATCCTTTAGAATGACGGAGGGCGGAATCGCAAACTGGAAAGTCAAAGAAGGAAGCAAATTCAGTGCTGGAGATGTCCTCTTGGAAATAGTGAGCTATTCGGATGTCGACTGAAGCCCAAGTGCCAGCAATGCTAAATCTCTCGCAATGCCTCAGGAAACTGACAAGGCAACCATGGATGTCGAAGCACAAGAGGATGGGGTGCTTGGGAAAATCATCGTGAGTGAAGGTTTGCCAGCTTGCGCCCCGGTCTTCGCGCAGAGACTCAAACCCACCTCCTTTAGATCCAAAATGGAGCCAAGGATGTAAAAGTAGGCAAGACGATCGCGCTGCTCGCCGAAGAAGGAGACGACATTTCAAATCTCGAAGCACCTGCAGAAGACTCCTCGCTGGCAGAAATGCCGGTTTCGAAAGATGAGCACGATTCAACCGACCGGTCTTCATCATCATCTTTAGCACAGTCGTCCTCTCAACCCACGCAACCCTCAGCACCCGCGTCATCATCTGCATCGCATGCCGCTCTGCAGATCACTGGTCCTATTTTCCCATCGGTTGCGCGGCTGCTGGCAGAGAACCATGTTTCCTCGAGCGATGCGTTGAGCATCAAGGGTACAGGTGTGCGTGGCATGCTTACCAAAGGTGATGTCCTCGCGTTCCTTGGCAAGGTCAACAGCCCTAATGGATCATTCAAGCCTGCCAAAGCCGGTGTTGCCGCGCTGGGACCTGTACCTGGATTCAGTGTAGGCTCTGTGGCTGCAAGCAAGCCAGCGGACAGCAAGCCGCTGAGCGCCGACGATTTGCGGTCGCTCATCCTTGGTGGCTTGGCAAGCGCTTCACACTCGGCGCGCGCCAAGCAGGCATCAAGCATTGCTGTTTGCCTTGTGTCCCATGGTAAAAGCAGAGCTGGTGCCGGGTTTGACGCGCTGCTTGCTTCATATAGCTTTGGCAGCACAGCGTCGCAAAAGAAGGCTCCTGCCGTCCAAGGAGCGAAAATGGACCCATTCAAAGGCCTGCTTTGAGCGCTTGCTACACGAATCCTAGCTATAGATAATGTACTTTTTTGCAAGATTCAATCGTGATGCAAGGAATACATTACTGTACAACTGATTGAAACCGCGGTTTCCTGAATTTTTTGTCTGAATGTTGAAATACATCTGATGCGCTGTGGCGTAGCCCCTGTCATGTGAGTTGTTGCGATTCTCTGCGTTCTTGTTGCTCCGCTTTCTTGTCTCACGTCGCGTCGTCGCCAGTGCTCAGCCCCCTTCTGTTGAGCGTACGACGTGCGTAAAGTGTCCTGGTACTGGAATTCAAGTGAGTATGCGGTGATGCCAACAGAGAATCTTCCCATTCCTTAAATGCAGCTGAAGCAAGCACTCACTTCTCGCCCGGCAAAGCTCGCAGTCGTCTCTGTAGCCCAGGGTGAACCTGAGCATCTGCTTCCCACCTGCTGGACCGCTCGACACGAGGCCCGGCGAGCTGCAGGCCGTCCTCGTGCGTCCTTTGATAGCGCTCGAAGCACCCACCTCTGAGCCTGGCGCTGTGCCTTGGGCCATTCCTGTCCCCTGCGGGCTTGCATGCTCTGCCATCATGTCAATATCGCTATCCCGCTGGCCAAGCCTGTCTCCGTGCGAACTCGGACTTGCGCCGTCGACGGCCATGCTTGACGAGCAGCTGTTCAACGAGCCGGAGCTGCCAGCCCTGCGCTCTCGTGCTACAGTAGAAAGATGCGAACCGAGATGGGGCGGTTCGTTTGCATTCATGTTGCCCGCTATTCCATTGAACATGCCGCCGCTTCGATGAACCACTGATATGTGATAATGTGGCGACCCAATGACACTGTCGCTGTTACCGGTAATAGCCCTCTTCCTTGAGAGCGGAGACGGTATGATGGGCGTGTAGGCGAGTCCGTGTCCATTGATGCGGTCGCTTTGTTGCAGACGCATTGCTGAAGGTGCCGGGTCGGTTATGGCAGTGGTTGTTACTCTGGTTGTAGAGTGCGAGAACGCATACCTGGGATGAGCTGCTGAGCCTTGTCCCTGTATGCCTAGCATCGAATCTGCGCTCATATCTGGGCCACCTTCAGCATTCGAGAACATAATGACGCTGACGTCGCTTTGCGATCGTTGCTGCCATTGTGCAACCTGTCCCAGGTATGGTGAGGTGCTGCTCAGCGTGGAGGATGGACTACTTAAGCGCAAACGTTGTAGTTCGTAATCGTCCTCAAACGATGTCGAAGGAGTGACAGAGTTGGGTGTGGGATTTGCTGGGGCTGCATGTGGAAGAGGCTGCGTTCGTGCATTATGAGACGGGTTAACCGCAATCTGCATGCTGGGTAGGTCAGTATCGATCGTGGAAAATCGGGGCGACCATGCAGAACTGACTGAAACGCCACTAGGGTGGCAGATTTGAGCCGTGCTGTTTTCGACGTGTATGCGTTTCTGCATTCCAAAGTGTCAACGCAGGGCCGAGCGTGTTTTGCATCAACAGATACCCACATTTGGCGAGAGAGGTCCACTTGATGGCCCGCCAAGATCCTCGTCGCTTGCTTCGCTGTCATTATGTGGGGATCTTCTCTTTTTCCTTGCCCTGTTCCAAGAATATGTATCTACCGAATACGTGTCCTCCGCAAGCACTTGTCGGTGCATGTGTGCTTCCGTGTGTTGTTCTGAAGGTGGCAGTAGAGAAGGGCGGCAAGTCATGCCGGGTAGGACTTCCATCTCGTTCATTGTGTAATGTGGCGGTCAAAGACACTTGCAGCTAGCCCGCAACGCTCAAATCGAGCGACAGACTGAGCCTCTATCTGCTTCAGAGAAGACAGAGATCGACGGTTGCATCTGCAGGTGGCTCTTCGTCTCCCGGCGAAAGCGGGATGCCCATTCAACTTTGGCGTACAAGCAGTAGTTCCCAAACTCGCAGCAAGGTTTATCTAATGAGCGACTAGACGATGAAGTCGATGAGGCAGCAAGTTGTTGCGTTAGATATAAAATGGAACGCCACCAGGGCTCGTGTAGATGGCACTGGGTTGGCTTGCTCTCTGCTGTATGCTGCCGCTGCTCCAGACAGAGGAGACAAATCAAGAGACCGACCACCGAAACTCCTCGGACGATATTTGATCGCGTTCGAAAGATCTTGTCCTGAGTATCTCACCGATTTTGAATACCTGAAGCCACCAATCCGGGTGGATTCTGCGACTCTCTTAGAGATGCAACTTGATTATTGCGCCGCACTGGGAGCTAAAATCTGTGCTGGCCGCTGACCACGGTGAAGCCAACACTCCGAAGCAAAGCCATGGCATTTGCATATCGCTGCTTCTGCTGCTGCTGTTGCTTGCTCTTGGTGGTTGTGATTGAATGTAGATCCCGAGTTGCTTAGCTGCTTGGGAAATCGTTCAGAATCCTGCGCCGTAGCTTCCGATTGTTCATGTGGCCTTCATTTGCTGTGAGCATAACATCGGCGCACGACACTGTGTCAAATGGCAACATTTCCAAGGCAAGCCAGCGGCGCCACACCGCCAAATAGTGCCGCGATAATGTATAGAATACATTCAGGTCTGGATCAAGAGAGAGGACCTGGTGCTGTAAGGGACAGTGCTCGCGGCCATCACATTGTCAACGGCCAGGACCCTGCGATCGTCGACGATGTGGAAATGCAGCGACATGTTGACAATCAACATGCCGAGCATGAAGGAAACTCCATTTTTGCTGCCTCAGCTAGAGGCCCTGACCACTCCGATGATGATGACGATGTGGAAAATGGAGATAGGATGAGAAAAGCAAGGTCCCCGCTTCCCCTAGCCTGCCTACCCTGAAGTAGGTCTGAGGATATAGTTGGTGGTATTTAGAGGGGTTTGGTGCATGTATTGGAGCGTGTGCTTCCCTGTCTCTCACATCACAAGACTTCCTTGCAGACAAGAAGAACTGTGCGCTGCCGCTTGCATTATTTGGATTTGTCAACAGTAAGTTCTCACTGCTTCCACAATCCCTCGAATTGGCTCGGCTGATCTAGGCTTCCCTAAATACTAGTTGATGTCTTTCAGAGCTACTTTCCGGCCCAGAGGCATTTCGGAAGGCAAAGGTTACAGCGAGAGCTCTTGGCTTGGAAGCTTCGAGTATTGCTTAATATTAATGTTGGGGCTCTATTGCGGCAGGGCATTCGAAACTTGGCTGTTCAAACCGGTGGATACCACTCGAGTATTTCTGGACCACACACGCGTGGTGAAGACCTTGTAAGCACCTGTGAAAATACTCTTTTGCTCCGGAGTTGCTAGACATTGGCATGGCTCCTTACGTTGTGTGCCAAATGCTTCTTTTCTCTGACACATCCACTGGCAGCTCTTCCTCGGCATCTACAATGTGTTACCTTACCTGGAAATCTTCACCATTCTATACCACATTCTTGCAGGCGCTTATTCCCTAGCATCTTCGACACCGCCAGCAACTTTGGTCGCATTCTTCCGGGCTGCCTTGCAGGTTAAGTGGGAAACTTCAATATGGACATCTCGTGCTTGCTCAGGCCGAGTTTCCTGCTCTTTGTCTTCCCTGTCTGCACAAGCCTAGGTGATATCATCCTTTTTCTATTTTATACGGCGCCTCTCAGATAGGTGATGTCTGAAACTACATTTTGCCTCGTTGCACGACTGAGAATGTGCATAACATTGGTTAATTCAACGGATGCCGGCAATTCTCAGGTATCTGGCAAGAATAGTAGCGGAAACTGGGTCCATGAAAATGGCCTCACTCCAGCCCATCCTTCCATGTGCCGCCTACTGACTTCCTTGTACTCCATGAGTTCCTCCAGGTTATTCATACAGGGGCGGTCAATTGCGATCTGGCGCTATACGAAGCCAGGCGCAGAATTCACGTCAAAATTGCTTGCAGCATGGACACTTCGATCAGACACACTGCTCAAAAGAGAATGTTTAATTGTAGCTCCTCTGGATCCGAAGATATCCAAAATCAAGCAAGGCTCTCTGGCTCAATGAGCGCTACCAATGCGGGCGCCAAATTCATTTCCGGAACCAGACAGGATGATGATGCTATTACCTACAGTGGCAACCTGGGCGCTAACGCCGACAACAACCAGAGCTTCAAAGGCATAACGGATCTCATTGGCTCAGGTAATTGCTGCAAGCATCAGTGGGCCGCCCTTGAGCTCAAGAAATGCTATGCGAAATGCGGCTGCCATGTAGTAAGCGGGTTGGAGGGGTGGCCTGTACGCTCCGTCGTCACTGTCACTTAATCACTCGCCATTTGCGAGCTTAGCATCCTAGCAATTGATCTTAGCGTGCGCGGCCTACCAGGAAGTCTGCTCCCCCCACACCGGGTGGAATTGGCATCATTTGCGGCAGTGCTTCATGCGACAAGGTCGTAAGACGACAGGTTGAGGAGCTACTCACGCCGCATACTAGGAGTCTGGTCGTCATCAATCCTATGATGTAGATCGCAGGAGGCAATGGAAGTTTATCTGACCTCAACGCATTTAAGTACTTATTTGGCACCGTGCAGTAACCAACGACCTGGAAGAATTAGACGTCTGAAGATGAAATACCCTCAGGCCTGATCCGATTACCACAATATGCTCTAGGGTTGTTTCCGATCTCCTGGTGTAGCCATTACTATCAACACCCACATGAGAGAGGCCGAGTCGACTGAATGGAGGTTCTCACAAGTTACGCCAGATGTTCCTGTCCCGGAAGCCGGGATTTGCCATTTTCGGTTCTATTGCTTGATTTTCGCCAAATTCAGTATGATGAAATTTCTCGATAACCCCACATAATACCATCTGTAATCATGGATGAAAATGACATGCATGATTGCAGATTGAGTTGCACCGAACCGTAACGAGACGAGAGATCAACTCGCGTCGCCAACTTTTTTTTTCTTGGTGTGGGAGATCAAGTTCCCTCAGTTCGCCTCAGCGGTTTTCCAGTGCTCGCCTCAATGCTCAAGCAAATGCTCATCGCTCATCAGTAATCAGTCGTCATCTCTGTGACAGGGTGTGCCTTTGATGGATGCTGCTGGCTACATAACTTCGATAAAGTCGATTTTGTGAGGCAGAGAAGCTCCCTCCGGTCTTGTAGCTGAACAGGCTATCCGTCATGACTGGAACGCTACCGCTCTACTGGAAGCTAGCCTCGGACAAGCCGTCCGAGCGGTTAGTCGCTTCTTGCCAACTCGTCGACCAGCTTCTTCATCTTGTAGGCGAAAATGCCAGCAAAGCGCATTCTGTCTCAAATTCTGCTCCCGAGCCCCATGACAACGGCAAGCCGAAAGCAACGTCTCTATCTACTGCGTTGCCACCTCAAGCTCGCTTGTTCAAAGATAGTTTGACCGATTGCTCCACTGCAAAGAGCTTGAATAACGAAATCCTCAGAGCAGACGTAGCTCAAGTTGCCAGGATCGAGTTGGTACTAGAAACGGAAATTCCCACGGAAATTAGCTATGCAATCAAGAGACTCCTCCGAGGACTGGCCTCTCCAAGACAGTCGTCCAGGCTCGGCTTTGCGACGGCCTTGACCGAAGTGGGTTGACGTGCTTGAAGTTTCGAAATAAAGAACTCATCGCTCACGACAGAATCATATAACAATGATCTCTCTTTTACCCCGAATCAGCTACTTTGCAAGCTACCTTCTGGATTGCTAGGCCCAGATGACGTTCTCACGTTGCTACTGCATTACACAAAGATTGAAGGCAAAGCCAGCGGACAAGAAGAGCGAGATGGACTTTTTGCAAAGGTCTTCGCTGTGCATTCGCTCGTTCTTTCTGGGTTGCTCTTCACGCAGGCCAATGGGTTTTCTGCTGCTCACTCTGCGCCTAGTTCATCGGAGTCGACAGACTTGCGCGCTTTCCAACGGGCCATTCATGTCCTTCAGGCCGTGGCTGCCAAGAAAGTGTGGTTGCGAGAGAGCTGTGCGTGGGTGATTATTCAATCACTTAAATCGCTTCGCTCTTGCTCACTCGCAAAAGTGCAGAAGCGGGAAGCAGTGCGCTGGCTTTGGGAGCAACTCTTCATCCTTGCTCCAATGACTGGTAAAAAAGCGGTGCTAACGGCGGATAAGCTCGCGGTCCTGCTATACATGCAGCAGGAAAACTTTTCGGACCACTCCTCCAAGCAAGCGGTAGTGGCGCCTCTCAAATTTGACCAAGCGCTACATCCTGACAACGTCGATATCATCGCTCGCATTCTCAAAGGCGGCGCTGTCACTGAGGTCGGGGATGCAGATAAAGGCGCCGACCTGGAGACAGGGGATGCGGATGCAGCACAAGGGACCTGGCGCCCCGAGATCCCGTTCGCATGGCACGTCATCTTCGACATCTATTTTGGCGAGGATGCAGCAAGCCCCACGTCGGCTGCCGCAGTTAAGCGCGTGCCTTTCGCGACACTCTTCCGCGTTGCAGTCGAGGAAAAGCTTTTTGCTCCATCGGCGTCATCGGAACGCAAGCTCTGGGGTTTCAAAGTGTTCCAGATGGCGTTGGTGCGGATAGCCGCCAGCGCTGAGATCACTGACTTGCAGCTCCTGTTCCAGTCCAATATCATGCGGAGCTGCATCAATCATCTCAGCAAGGCTGATCGATTTTTGCACGCAGCCGCTGTTCGAACCATGGAGGTTCTGCATGAAGTTGCTACCGCAAATCCGAGCACAGCATTGCTCTTCATCAAGCAGTTGCTCGGAAGATATGGAAGCTTGCACTTTGACCGACTCACTGGTACCAAGACGGTTGAAGGGCTGCTTGCCAAGATGGACACGAAAAGCACCAAGGATTACTTGGACTTCGTTATCCAAATGGCTTGTCAATCTCCTCAAGGCCAAGACTCTTTAAGCCCAGCTGAAAGTGACGATGGACCACACCAGCATGTGAGCGCCACCATTGATTTGCGGCGAAAGTGGGCAGTGGAGCAGATGCACATCCTCGTTCGCCAAACGGCCATTCAAAAGGATGAAGCTTGCATCGAGTCAATCCTCAATTTCCTGTGCACCCATGGGTTCGGTCGCCAGAAAAAATCCACAACCCAGCTTCCCCTTGTTCCGATGCCGCCCTTCTCAGCCGATTTTCAAGAGCACTGCAGATCGCGCTTTGTCGCTTGCCTCGGCGAACTCAACGACCAGACCACCACAGTAGTACAAGATGTGCTCGCAAATGGCTTGACGAGGACGTACAAGGCGCAGGGCGTAAAGAGCGGCCGCGAGCGCTGGATCTCGAGCGCCGTGGACATGTTTTATCGTCTCAAGCGCGACAAGAAGAATGTCGATTGGCTGCTTGACGCACAGCTCGACGAGCAGTTGCAAAGCGTACACACTGCTATAGAGGCCTTGAGGAAAACGGCTAGCAGCAGAAAAGATTCGGATGGAGCCCAAGAGACCCGCATGCGCGTACTTGAGGCTCTGCTATGCGCCGGATTTTTCTACAGTGCTAGCATGAACAAATATGAGGATTCGACAGCTGATTTGCTCACCTCGCTCGTTAATTGCAAAGATGCCGCCCTGGTGCCGGAGTTTCAAGGCGACGAGGAGACTCCCAGCTCTGCGCTGGTCTTAACTGACGCCATCGTCAGCTGTCTCGAGCAGCCGTCGGCATTTCTGCGCTCTGCTGCCTTGCAGGCTTTCGGAGTATTAACAGACTTGATTGACGTTGCGGCTATTGATCATATTATCGAGGTGCGTGGCCGCCTTGAACTAGTCTGACGCTGTTAGATTTGTATTGCTGACAAGCTCCATTTTTGGACAATCGCAGCAATTCAACCTCGGTGCGGAGGGAGAAGTGGAAGAGGAGGCGTCCGACGAAGAAAATGCACCTATGTTCCCTGCAGACGCCATCGAGGTTGCGGAGATGACGTCGGACACAAGCTTCGAAGAAAGCGAAGAAGATGAAGCAGACGAAGACGTAGCTGAAGTTGTTAACGAAGAGTTCCGCGCAAAGGTGCAGGCGGCGCTGCGGGAAGCCAACATTGCTGATACAGAGGATGTCGATGGTGAAAATGACAGCGATGGCGATCACAGCTCTGATTCTGGCAGCGAGGTGTCCGACCTGGGTGACGAGCAGATGCTTGCACTCGACGAAAAGCTCGCACAGATCTTCAAGTTGCAAGCGTCGAACAAGAAAGCTGAGCAGAGTAAGTTGACTAAGAGTGCTTATGCTCGTTCATTTCTTCCTCCTGACATGAAATGCTTTTACACTTCTCTTCTATTCTTAGATGCGAAGGTTCAAGCCATGGCTTTCCAGAATCGGCTATTAGATCTCCTTGACATCTTCGCGCGCAAGCAGGCCTGCAACATTCTCCTGCTGCGTCTCTTCAAGCCGCTTCTGCAGCTCGTCAAGGATTCTCAGAAAGACGAGCAGCAGTTACGCAACAAGGCTGCCGGATTGCTGCAGAATCGCATCTGCAAGGCCAAGGAAGTAGTATCGCTTTCACGTGAGGAGACACCGGAAGCGCTGGAGCTGCTCAAGTACATCCATGCCGAGGCGCGCTCCTCGACTGCGTCAGGGGCAGATGCACATTTGACACCTCTGCATTCTGCAGCGAATCTCTACCTGACTAAGGCATTGCTTGGCTCCTCGGATGATCACGCCAACATTGCGCCGGACATCACGGATGTGTATGCGGATACTCTAGCCGAATTTGTTGAACGAAAGCGCAGCGCTGTCAAGCCCGTGTTCGTGTCTGACGCTTTCAAATGCTGTCCTTCCGTAAGCTGGACTCTGCGCGATCGCATCCTGGCCGCATGCAGGCCTGGTCTCGGCGCTGGGACATTCAAACAGGTTCAGGCTTTCCAGCTGCTACAGACGATGGTCACACAGCAGGCGCAGTTAGCGCAGCAGGTGAGTGTACGCACGAGGCTCAGCAGGAATGAAACTTGAGGAGTTGGCTAACGGACCAACTCTCTCCAGGCTTACAAAAACAATAAGGAGCTGCTCGAGTTCCTCCCTGAGGTCGCGCGAACGGTTATTGTAACTCTGCGCGCAGCGTGTACATCCAGTGACGAGGGCGACAGTGCGGGCGCGGGTGAGAGTGCTGCTGGTGGGATGACGATGAACGCCGCTCGCTTGAAAGAAGTGCTCAAATTCGGCATGCAAGCTGCGCGCATCACCCAACGTGCCGTCACTTCGGCAGGAGACCTCGCTGAGAAGGACAACGAGAAGATCAGGAGCACAAGCAAAGACGAAGGAGAAGTGCACGTCAGCGGAGGACATGCGCATATGCTGGCTCGTGTGTGGAACACTGAGAAGCTCCGCGAAGTGGACACTTTGCTCGCGACGAGCAGCCGCTTTGCTCCTTCACCAAGCGTGCGCTCGTTGTGGAAGCAGCTGCTGGGCATCCTTTCTATTCGCTTTGTCGCGCCAGTAGCGGCGCCTACTGGTTCGACAGTGTTGTCAGGTTCAAATACTGCTGGTGCTGCTTCAACAAAGAATGGCAAGGGTGCCAATGGGAAGGAGTTACAAAGCTCCGAATTCGCTGGACAGAAGCGCAAGCATGGGGAAGGTTTGGACGATTCGCGGCCGCCGCCAAAGAATCAGAAGAAGAAAAGCGCGGAGCCGAGAGCAGGACTTCCGGACGAAACGGTGCAAGGGAAGAAGCAGAAGAAGAGCAAGGCCCTTGTCCCGGCTTGAGAATGATGGTCGCGCCTCGGTAGATGAGAGAATGATGATGTCTGTTCGGAATGCATGTATTTCAATAGATTTGCATTCAAGTCGCCATTAATAAAGTGTAAAGACGCAACTATCAAATCTCCCCATTTCCTGCAAATGGGATAGTCATTTCTTGTATAGCCTGGTCGCAAAGCACAAGGCTGTGAACTTGATTCGTCGGTCCTCCTCACACTTCAAAGCCTGCTAACAATAGCAGGTCCACGTTTTTTGCTCATTTTTGCTTTCATTATATGTACGATGTGCCTTTGTGGCTTGACCAGGGTTAACCCAAGCTGGACTGCAAACCTATGCATTCTTCCATTTTATTCCTTCCATCCTTGATCTCACCCTCCTTGCCAATTGTCGAATGCCAAGGTGCTGCGCTATTATGTAATGCAGTCGGCGCACCCAGGCGCAATCGCAAGCCAGTACCGTATGTAAATGACGCGCGTTCCTGATTCCTATCAGATGGTCGGTTTCTCATTGTTTCTCGTATCATCATCGAGTACATAACACATACGTAGACCTCCATCTCTTTAGAGGTATATTTTCAGGCACTGGAAGAAACCGGTAAATTTGTCCAGCTGTATTTGACGTCTGATATCCAGTGGGGTTGTGTATAAGGACCTACGAGAGGTAATCTGCAGCCAATCATTGACACCTTTCCTGTGATGCTTTCCGCCAAGTTCGCAAGCCTCTTATCAAGAAGTCATGTCGCCGAACGAGCCTCTACTACCTTGGCTGTCTGTATCGGAGACTCCGGCAGCAGAATGGATGGGCACACCAGCACTGGATATCTGCCACGCTCTTTGAAGGTCTGCACTGATGTACATATGCCCATTGTGTACATGTCTGCAATTCTCATAATTTAAAAGTACCATTCAAGTACACAGTCAATCGTTACCATTAGCAACATGGTCAAATATGAAGTGGGAAAATGCCGTATGTATGTGTACATGATCAAATAGTACCCATGTACAAACGTAGCCATCAGGGCCTGTCCAAAGTCTTTCGAGAGTCACTTGTCACAGCTTCACAAGGCAGTGTCAAGGCTCGCGGGACTCAGAGAGTGCCAGGACAGGCGTGGCCAGGCGTGGCCAGGCGTGGATAAGCGGGAAGCTCGAAACAGGTTAAGAAGATGCAGCGCCCAAAGAGATACGGGTGTGACTTTCTCACAACAAATTCGCCCTGCTCCACCACACGTGCCAAGATTCCGACCGAAGGGCAGACCAGAGCTCTGGTCAGGCATCAGGCGGTTCGGACGTCGAGCAACGTCCTCGCACTGCCTGAGTGGCATGGTACAGCGCTATTTATTCGCTTGAATTGTGGAGAATGAATGAGACGATTCGGTTCAATGAACAATGGACGATATGAAGATGATTGCGGGACTTGTGAGAAGGGAGTGAAAAGCTTTTCTCGCTCATGACGAGTTGGATTGTTGTAACGGACGGAACGGAACACTTGACCATGCATTCAGCGCTACTGGGGCCTGGGCTCCATCATCAGCACCACCCATATCACTCAGAGTGGACAATGGTATATGCACGTGAATGGTGCTTAGCCTTGTATGAACCTAGCCATTATCGCTGCCTTCATAGAGTGCCTCTGTACATCTGGGGATCAGTCTACTGTGGGCACTGACGGTCGCAACAGGGTGAATGATTGCTGACTCATAAATTGTGAAATTCTGGATTGATTTTGCCTCTGGCATTGGCTGTTGATGTGGGAGTGCGCCCTTATGCTACATGTTTTGCCATGTCCAGCTAGTCGCCACCTGCAGCCAGGGGACTGGTGTTGGTTGATTCACTTTGTATTTTTTACTTTCGCATTTTAGTTGCACCCAGCGTTTCGGCTGCGAAATGACAGACTCTTCCAGAGCAAATATCTCCACTAGATTCTGCTGTGTATATTAGTGCGAGCACAGTCGTGCACTACAGCCCACTGCACAGAAACCTACACTATTCTTTCCTCACTGCCTCGGTGCCTGGATCGCAACAATCAAAGTGTCCAGATCGATGAAAACGCAGCGCGTTGTTTCGCATGAACCCAAGTGGCACCAATCTTGCTGCACCATGTGGCCAGGAAGTGATCTGCAGAGTGCAGGCGGATCGCAGTGGCGGTTCTCTTTCACCCGTACATTGACTATGTGAGAATGAAGTGTTGCGGCGATTGTCACCCTTTTCGCAGACAATGTACCAGGACAATTTGCGCTGCTGCCCAGGCCATTGGGCATGGGCGTCCGTGATCGGCGTGAGCTGCAACAGGCACGCCTGCAGCCCCACCTGACCGTCCATCATCGCATCAATTGAGCAAAGGGAGACTTTAGGGAAGAAAGGCGGCGATCGTCTGCTCAACTGCTGCTTCCAGCCTGGTTGTCTACATAACGGTTTCATTTCATCAGCTCTCCGCTGGCCGGTAATTTGCTGTTACAAGCGCTCCTCGCCTCCTCCCACATGAATGGCACATCCCTTTCCCTGTTGCATCAGGTCATCGTCATCTGCGATTGCCATTACCATTCCCTTCAGCAAAAGACGATGCTAAGGATTTCCCAGAGTGACGTTGGGCCGGGATCATAGCTTGCTTGGCAAGCATTGGCTGAAGCTTTCTTGGAGCTTTTAGACATTTACTCATCGAGAACTCGCCGCTTTTCGCACGTCGCCTCTGAGCTCTTTTATTTAGGTCTCCTTGCGTGACCTTTCGGCAGCGACTGGGCAGTTGGCAGGCAGTCCCCACTTTGTTCTCCGGCCGTAGGGGTAAGGTTGCCTCGTGAGTACCAATACCTCGGCCATTTGGGGCGCTTCGGTCTGACCCAAATGATTGATTTGTAGCGCTTGCTTGCGCCCAGGATATGCGTTTTGACACTTCCCTCCTACTCACCCTGTTCCTGGCCACCACCAGTGCTCAGGCCAAGCCGGTCTTACACCCGAGCCCGTCGCGGACAGCAGGCTATGCCCGCGCCACGCCTTCCACATGGAGCCCTCGCTCGATGGGCCCAGCGCCTGGCACGACCGCAGAGGGCTTTTTCGTCCGCGAACCTCTTGCTCAAGCTGATGTAATGAACACGACAGCCAGCATTAACATCAACGGCACAGCGATTGTTGATGGCATCGGCAACACCCCGAGCGACACCGTTAGTGGCCGCGACGCCAGGGCAGCTTCGATCGTGCCAGATGCGACTCCGGAACGGTGCACTCCTAGCCAAGTCATCGATGGCCATCGAATATCCTGCGGTTGCCCCCAGGAAAGCAGCATAAGCGAAGGGAAATGCGTTCCACCAAGGGTATTAGAAATCCCTTCTTTCTCGGGCAACGGCCAATCCCTTGGACCTTCAGCTTCCCAAACCTGCTCTTGCGCCATTGCCGCGGGTAGCTACATCAACCAGGGCCACTGCTACGCTGCGACTCTGTGCAAAGTTTTGCAAACCACCGGTCGCTCCGCCATCTCTACTTGCACATGTCCAAGTGGAAGCTCCGCCAACAGCAGAGGTCAATGCAGGGCCACGCCCAGCAATGGCGGAGGCGGTTCGCCGCTTAAGTGCACACCTGGACAGAGGCCGACGGCATCTCCCAAATGCGACTGCCAAAGCCCTTCAATGACAAATGCGGCGGGTCTATGCACCAGCAGCGTTCCTCTTGGCCAGTGTTCGAACGGTGAAGCCATCATGACCATTGTGCTGGGCCTGCCGGTTCCGCACTGCACCTGCCCTCCCCCTTCGTCCACTGTGACCGGTACTTGTACGTCAAAGGCCAATGGCGGTGGCGGAGCACCCACTTGCACAGCCGGCCAAAACGTCGGCAACCCAGCTAATCCCAACTGCAATTGCCAGACTCTGAGCACCACGAGTGCCAACGGCCAGTGTACCTCCACGAGCAACAGAGGGGGTGGCGGTTCCACCCCGACTTGCACCCCCGGTCAAAATGTCGGCGACCCGAATAACCCTGATTGCAACTGCAAGAACCCCAGCACTACCAACGATGCTGGTAAGTGCACTTCCACCAATGATAAAGATCCAAGACCGACTGCTTGCCCGCCCGGCTCCCCTGTTGCGAACCCTGGCGGCACTACGACATGCGCTTGCGCTGGACTTTCCATGGTCAACAATGGTTTCTGCCAGGGGCTACTCCAACAACCCTGCACGGCCGGACAACCAATTTTCGGCGGCCCCTTTGCATGCGGGTGCGATGCGCCCCTTATGTCGAGCAACGGTGTGTGCACCACATCTACCAACGGTGTCGGTGGTGGTACGCCTTCCCAGTGTGTTCCTGGATCCGCGCCAACGGCTACTGGCAACCGACAATGCACCTGCGCTCCCGGTGCAACGCCAACCGGCAGCACGACCACGTGCGGCGAGGGAGGTGGCGGCGTCATTCCCACGCCCACATGTGCAGCAGGCGTCGTGCCGGGTTTGTGAACTTGCGCACCTGGAGCAAATCCGGGTCCCGGCGCACTGACTTGCGGAAGCGGCACTGGCGGTAGCAGCGGCAACAGTAGCAGTAGCAGCAACTCTGGCTCAAACTTAAGTCCTAGCCTGACCATCCTCCCTACAAGCAGCGTTAGCAGCTCCATCAGCTCGTCTACTTCTTCGCCACCATCAGGCACAGTTGGTCTCAGTCAGCTTGCCGGTGTCAACAGCACCAGCAACTCTATCCTGCTCTCCATTATGCCTTTGCCGTTGCTCACCAACTTTGGCTCTACTACTGCCATGCTTCCTACAGGAGGTTTGATCATTCTGTTCAATGCAACGGCCTCTGACACCTCCTCCGACATGAATCCTTACGCGTTTGCAACTTCGGCAGGCGCTCCGACTCCTCAGGTGTCCTACAACCCGATCTCCCAGCCTGCAAGCTCGATCAATCCTCAGGGCGGTGCATTGGAACAACCCTTGAACACGACTAGTATCTCACTCCTGTTTAAGCAGGGTCCGTTCTCGGGACAATGCCGCCATAAACAAGAACGGATCTGCCGCTATTCTGGTCGCTCTCATGCCTACAATCGTCGGAAATGTGAAGAGTTGGTAATTGGAGTAAATGCTCTCCCTTGGCTGACAGTTCCAAATTCGATGCTTTTATACCAGGCTCTGCAACTTTCCCAGTCGAGCATTACCATCGGGCAGCTGCTCGCATTCCAGCTGCCGAACGACACGGACAATACCTTGCATCACGCCAACACAATCTGGAAAGGCTACGTTCCCACCACTCACACTCCGGAGCTGCAACAGCAGGTTAATCAGACGAACTCGACCCTGTACAAAGGCCAGAAGACCTCCGCGGAGACCTGGGTTGCATCGTACCTGGACAGGAGCTTCGACATCTACACCAACGCCGGGCGTAGCAAAGCTCCGCAGAATAACCGTGTTTCCAACGGCGACAAACACAATGAACTTGTGCACGATGCACTGATCGGTGTCTTTGTCGGTCTGGCCGGTGTGCTGCTTTTGCTCCTCCTTTTCCTCCTGTGGCGCCGGCGTAGGAAGACGAAGGTACAGGCGGCAATCCGCCGGCCAACTCCGATCCGCTCGAACCGCAGCGCGCTGCGTGAGACATGGCACCCGAATTCGGACGAGCGGGAGCGTGTCATGGTGGGTCACCTTGCCAAGACCTGGTCGCACCACGATGGACAGGTCGGCGGGCGAGAAGGCAGCGTATCACTGTCACGCCATCCATTCGGCGAAGACAAGCACGCGATGAACGTCACTGCTTCCGCTTCTGGCATCTCAGCGGCCATGGAGATGGCAGCCGGTGTGGCCGACGCGGCGGCGCGAGGACGTCACACCAAACGGAGCGTAGTCAGCACACGTACAATACTCAGGACACCCGCCACAGTGATATCAGTCTCACAACATCTCAGCGTATCTGACTTGAATGTGACCAGCAACACAGATTTGCCATCACAGCGGAGACCAACGAGACCACGGTCGCTCCGGAGATGAGCCAGATGCCAGATAACCGGTGCATTCTCTTCTGAAATTGAAGCTTGCTAATCGATAGAGCCCTTCCAGCCTCCTCGACACATTACGAATTTGAACAAAGAAACAACATCTGCACACCATACTGCATATCTGTTCGCCTCCCCTGCTTTCTCTTGCGACTGGTGTCCACCTTGCAGCCATCTCACTCACATAATCACCGTCACCCCTGGCACTACCGTCCAGTTACCCGACTTCCTTCGCTTGCTAGTTCGTGCCGACAGGGCTATGCGCCCCCCACTCCAAACCTCTCTTCAGAGTCAGGCCAAAATACCCTCCAACTTCCTCCTTCATCTTGTATTTACGAAGCAGCATTTACCGCGCACTCGATGCTTTTATATATCCGTGTAATAAACCTGTTCAAATCCCCAGTTCGTTTCCCAGTTCGTTCAGACCCATGTCTACGTCACCTTTGTGAGGCCAACAAAACACGATCATGAGAAAGAGCAATGGTTTTTTTTGTTTTATGTGGACATATTCAGTAGCTTGGGACATTCTCGGAGTGAGTGGGTGATGTAAGGTGATGTTGATGGTGATACAGTTCTACGGATGTTCAGGGAACACATACATTGACAGCTAGAAGCAGCGTGCATAGCTCAACGTCAACAGTTAACGCTCAATCACTGACTGCTATGTGGACAAGCACTCAGCGCGCTCAACCTCAACCGTCCATGCAGAGTGCTGGGTTGTTGGATGCTTTAACAGGTGACAAAACATGAAGGGTGGCGAGCTGCTGCCAATTCCGTCTTTCTGGCCACCTAGATACCATGGGTCCAGCCTCCAACGTAATTCTGCCCTTTCAGAGCCCCTTGCGTAGGCAGTCTCATGAAGTTCGTAATTTGCAACCAAATTCCCCCCGGCACTTCGGCAGACAGTGCGACGATTTCAGCGTGCTGGGGCGTGACCTCGCCGAGAGAATAAAGGCTACTGATCTCGAGAACAGCCCTGTGGGCTGTGTCGGCCCCAGTCTGGATGAATGCGTACCGGCGCCCGGGACCAGAGAGCACAAAAAGCCAAAATCCAAAACGACAGGACCTGTAAGCGCATTGAGAGCGAAATAGATTTAGAGAGGTTCACAGCTCTGGACAACGAATGTAGGCTAGATAGCCCTTAAATTTCATTATCAGGCAACAAGGAACTAGGTTCCAAGGCTTAGGGTTGCGATAGAGATGAGGGTGCAAGTCTAAGGGCAGTAACCAGAAGATGTGGCTTGCGGTTTCAGATTATGAAGCTGTATAAGATGCCAGTTTAAATTGACTGAGCTTCTCTGGGATACTGGCGGGGGGTCTTGATGAGGTAGGTCGTTGCTGAAGGTATCCCCATGGAAACGTGCAGAATGGTGCTTGGCAGAGGAAGCTCGGCAACGTTCCTAGATCGAGTTCCTCTTGGACCTTGTTACGGATTGTGACACAAAAAGCGGCTCGGACCGTCCGAACAGCTGGTGATCGGCGTTGTTTACAATTAAATATTTCTAGTATGTAACTGATTCCATCATGGTCCGTTCACCGTGCCACTTATCGTGGGTCGCAGGCCATAGACCATTTTGATGCTGAGACATACCGCTCTCAGTGGATTGACACCGGAAGAGTAGTGATGAGCGATTTTCAGAATTCTTCAGAGTTACGCCTTAAATATTTAGCCTAAAGCTTGGTGAGATGTCTGACCTCGGCGATGCCAATTGTTGGCCTCTATAGGCATGTAACTTCGGGTATTGAGAGGATTCCTCCTCTCGGATCAATTAATCATCAATCTTGTTCGAAATCTGACATTCTGATCATAATTGTCTATTGGGTATTGGCTACGTTCGGCTACTTGGCGAAGCAACGTGTCAGCTTTGCCCTGCACCGCCTGCGGGTGGTTTCAGCCTGTTAGAGGTATGTAAGTTCAATCATTCATATATGTTGTGGTCGCTTCCAGAACCCAGTGTGCAAATAGCTAACAGAACAATAGAAGGCGGAATTATCGTTACATTGCAAAGGACACAACGGATACACTTTTACAAGCACATATACATCATATATGCAAATTGCAAAAGCGTATATGAATATGAAGATGTAAAGCTTGCAACATTCGATGTTGTCACAATTCTATAATACCAGCCCACCACGGTCCCCACTCTCTTGCCAATGCTCATTTACAATACTTTTCAATTACTTAGCCTAGAGTTCTGTCAACTTTACGTAGCTCTGCTCGGCTTCAATACCCGCAAATGGCAACGAGCAACTTGCCAGGCATCGCAAGAAAGGTCCCAGATCCAGCATCAGTAACTATATCACCGACTGTTCTGCGAGCGTAAGTCAATTGGGCTTACCGAGCACCCTCTCACCGCCTTCGCCATCGCCCTTGATGAAAGGTTACATGCGCTTGACTAGCTTCTTGAGCGCGATAACTTCGCGACTCACGCGCTGTAGATGAGCTGGGCGGGTTCCTATTTACGTGAGACAAAGTTCCGCCGATAGTCGGCGCCTTCTCGCCTGACGAAAAAAGGTTCGCCTCACCCCACGAGCGGGGAATTGATGCGTACGACTAGCTGCTCGCCGAGCGTGTGGAAGTGAAGCGAGTAGGCCGAGGCGACAGCCGCCAGCACTGCCTCCCATACCGACGCTGAATCGCCCTGCAGGATTCTCCCCCTTTGCCATTCCGGTTGCGAAATCAGGTCCAAAACTATGCAACGGGAACGGGAGAGTGGGAGAGTTGCGGGATCCCAAGGGAAACTGAGAAACCTCGCAATATCCCGATCCCAAACCGGGAACATATTCAGAACCAAAGATAAGTTGCGCTACCTGCCTGCTGGCGGGCAGGCTCTTCTCTCTCCACTCGATGCAATACGATGAGTACGATCTTAAATCTCAAGTGTATGTGTGTCACCATCTGGCAGCTGCTCTTCGGATGGCGTTTCTGGCTACACCTCCAAGGAGGCGCTGGCCAGACCGCCATATGTGCTGCCGGCTCGAGATCACCGCAATACGCAACAAGCTCTCCATTCCGTGAAAACTGTGCTCCGTATCCAAATTGATCTGCATCATTCCCTCTCTCCATTCCACGACTTTGAGTGGTAGGGTTGTGCGAGGCTTAAATACTTTACCCTGGGTTTCCCCCGCTGAAATGCACCGAAACGTATTGCCGAAGGGGCGCTAGCCTGGGCTGAACATACCGTCCTCACGGGAGCTCAGCACTACTACATCCCCTTTCGGACTTCCCAGGAACATATGAGACGGGAGCACACGGGCCGAGGCCTGAATGCGGGCACACAGGTCGGCACCATTTTCTTGAATGACTGATCGTCATCGAAAGATGCCAAAGGCACTAGTGAAAATGAAAGCCTCAGCCCCGTCTCCGCCCCGGCAAAGATCACGAACATTGTGGAAAGCGCCTGTTGAAACGCCTGGCGCGGGGAACCAGAGGAATGAGTTTGGCCAGTCAAGGACATCGGGAGGCAATTGAAAGAGCAGACATATCCCGAAAGAAATCTCAAAGTTGAGCCACCAGGTGGATACCCCTCGCTCCAGCAACATCCGACATGATTCATTCACCTTTCTATTTCGGTTGCTCCAGACAGGTGTCCGAAGACTTGAAGAACAATTCGCTCTGCCTCGAGCTTAACTAGATACCCACCTTCCGCGCTTTAACTCTATGTCGCCAGAGGAGACAGCCTTCTTGACAGTATGGCGATCCGGCATTGTCTGAATCGGCACCTTCAGCGTTTTCTGAAACTTCCGGAAGAAGAGGTGCACGAGGACGACCTGCCACTTGCCACCCTCGGAGGAAGTGGCGGTGGCTATAGAGCTTGACACTGAGCTTTTTGAGCTACATTGCGCAGATGCAGGTCGCAGAAGCACAGTTCTGGGCATTGGTTTCCTATGTCGCAGGTATAAGCGAAACCTGCTGGGCGATTGCTTCGTGAGTTCTGAGCAGCACTTGCACTCCCATGTTCCGATGCCAAAGGCTCAAAGCCAGATGCTACCTTCTGACTACAACAGGCTACACATTTTTGCACATCTTGGTACGGTTCTACTTGTTTCATCACTTCACAACGTCATCTGGCAGACATGCGCTTTCGGCAAGTGCAATCAATGCCGTTGCATGATTATCGGAAGAAATCTTCTTTCAGCTTGCACCCATCATCCGCAAGCTGAAAGGCTGCAAGGTGTATCCCACTCCCTTGGGTGGTATTGCACACTTATGACGACGCACATCTTCCTGCGTCCTGCCATGTGGAGGATTGCACCGGATGAAAAGAAAACGGCGCAAGAAGAGCGACAACAACATGCTGCAAATACTGGCCAGTCAGCTGGTAGCAGGGTCGGCGAGGAGGCAGAGGAACAAGGCACCATGAACGAGGATTGGTTTAAACGGTTAAGCATCGCAGTGACGAATGGAATCAACGACGGACCCAACCCTTTGCCGATAATCACGGCCGTCAGACAGGAGCGTCCGTAGACGGACTACAAGAGCAAAGAAGATCCCTTTGAGGATGAAGGAAAGTAATTGAACAGCCAGGAGGGCGGAAACGCATGGTGGCAATGGTTGCCATTCAGTCCTTACGAGTTTGGAAGCGATGAGCTGGGTGAGGCCATGAAACACAGAGCAACCCGTTGATACACAAGTCTGACGCAGCTTGCACATCTCGTGGTTACAGAGGTGTGGATACCCATGTGGCTCTTTGACCGATGCTTCGACAAGGGCACATCCATCCAATGAATGCCAGGGTTGACCCTTCCATCGGGCTCGGTCGTTGCACATTTGCACCCACAGGCCCGCCCTCCGCCTACCTTTCGACCATCTTCCGCAACTTTCCGCCAGGAGCGGTGGGCGAAAAGGGCCGTCAATGGTGTGACCACTTGGTCAAGAGGCATAAGAAAGGTAAAAGAAAGCTGCAAAACAACCACCGATTCATGCACAGAACGAGCCCAACCCGGTGTTCGGTGCCGGAAACCTCGAGGGCAAAGGGAACGGCTTCAAAACGCCATGTGTACCCCCACTGATTCCGGATTGAGCAGCAACAAACTAAGCAGACCTTGACTTTCGAAGGACCCTGGACTCGAGAGTCAATCGAGAGTCTCATCAATCATTGTGTAGAGAGCACCGAAGTCTGAACATGTTACACTGCGCTGTGTGGCACTGAGTGATTGAGGGAGCACCTCTCATTGCCGGCCCTATCGCCCAAATGATCGCGTTTGTATCCCAAGGCGGCATGAAACTCGTCTATTATGGTTAAGAAGCAAGCCATGCGCAGCCCCGCCTCCTTCGGCGATAAGGCGATCTTTGACATGCATGCTTGTACATACCGGCGATAGCGTAGTCAATGATTTGGTAAGGTTCATGAGCCCAAGACAACGATGAGTTGGTTGCATGAGGCATGACGAAGGAAGATGGCCAAACGGGGAATTTCCCCAGCATCGAAGGCGACAATCTCGCCTGAACTGAGCCGTCAAGTCTGTTGAATCTGGTGTCAAGGAGTACAAAGTCAGCGACCGAGTCGGCGCATTCACGTACCTGGCCCGCGACGCCCAGTACCGCTGCAGACCACGGCCAAACAGTCGCTCCGGAGCAATTGAGGTTTCGCATACTCGAGAATGTTAGCTTCGATGAGGCGGCTCCGATCAGACTCGATTGCTTGACCACGGTCATTGATCTCTTTGACGGGCTCAAACTATCTCAGCTAACCTACAATGGCTAGCCGGCTACAGGTACAGGAGGGGAGCCACCCGTCATCTAGGCAGGTTCCTCGTCGGTTGGAAGTTACGCCGTACGACTTGCGCACCTCGCCAGGAACCGCTTCATTGCAATAGCAGGTACTGCGAAGACAGCGTATGTCCAGTCGCTCGATGCACAGACTGTCGTCAATTACAAGGGAACAGACGAAGTTCCTCCGATCGACGAGACCGTAGCGCCTGCCACGAGCATTCGTTGACATCCTCGAGAATGGCACGTCCGGCTCGCTCGGCAACGTCCTCAAGCATGCCAGCGGTGGCGGCACCATCACAGCTGTCCTCTCAAGCGAGTATGACGACGATCTGAAGAAAGTCAAGCAGCCCTTGCTCTCTGGCGTCAGTGTCAGACTTGTGTCCATTGTAGAGGCGTACGCGTGGCGCCGACAGTATTGGGAATATGTATTCGTCGCGAAGCTGAATGGATGGATCGGCGAAGGCAAGTTCAAAGCGAACCGTGTGAGAGTTATTCGCGGTCACCTCAAAGGCGTGCAAGAAGGTCGGGAGCTGCTTGCAGCAGGGCAAGGTCAACAGAGAGAAACGTTGACTGTGAGTCGAATATATCTCCTCGTTTGCTGCACCCATCTCTTGAGACGCTATCATGATCTCTTTCATTTGCAGGCCACATTGATGAGCCCGAGTACATTAAAACGCTTTCCGCTATGTGCCACTCTCAGACACGAATCTTCTCCGACTCCGTGATTAGCAATACGAGTCTGGAATACAACAGTGCATGGAATGCGAGCGGAGGACCTTGGGGTATCATCTTTTGCTTTTGCTCTTCGAAAATTAAGTGGTAAGCTTGCAATAAAGTTGAACATTGAGGAATGTCAAGGCGTTTTGCCGATGGCGTTGAGCTGTGTGTGCAGCTGTTGCATAGGATCGTCAATCTCTTCCAGTGGCGAAGCCAGGCTGACCGGCTCCTCGAGATTGAAACTCAGCATCTCCAGCGCATCCTGGGCATCAAGGTAGATGCTCTCCTCTTGTTCACGTCGCGGCAGATTGCGCCCCCCGCTCAGAGTACCGGCAATTGTGCGCTCGCCCTCGTTGTCGGCCAGCTGGAGACCAAGCGCGGACGGTGGGCTCAATGGACAGTCGATACGATTGATGTCATCTGCCAACTCTTCTTTCTCCTCATCGCGTGCCTGCGCGCACGCTGCTGCATCAACATAGGCAGACGCGGAACTGGGCTCCGGTTGAACAACCGACAGCTCTGCTCTGTTCGCAGGTGAGGAAGACGGAATGGAGTCCTTGTTGGAGTCCACATTTCCTGATCCAGGTTCAACATCGTTTGTAACAGGTGCAGACACAGTCGCACCGGAGGGTACGCTGCTTGTTGATGCTTGTTCAGAGTCCGAGTGGCCTACTCTCGCCGTCTCCTCGGTTTCAACAGGCGTAGGCTCTGCCTCAACGATGGGGTCAAAGAGCCACTCATGTGCCATGATAATGATCTTGACAATGTGGGCTGCCTTGCCGATGTTTCCAAAGCCCTCAGCCACACTGCTTGGGCTAGGTGGAGGGTTCAGGAGAGAAGTGCCTACATGTGAAAGCATTGGTGGCTCAACAACTGGCACTCATTCCAGAGAAAAGCCAATAAACTCACCGAACACGAGACCGATGTTGTGCGGCGCCATCAGGTTCTCCTTGCCTTCTTCTACCACCCGCGACAAATGCTGCGAAGTCCTCTCCAGAAGGTTGAAATGTGGTTTAGGAAAGCTCCAGATCAACTCTCGAATCGTGGTTAGCCGGTCTTCCTCGTTCTCAATTTGCTCCGCTGCGATCATGCGATGATAACAGTTGAAGGGAATGCAGGGCTCTGGCAGATCACGGAACCATTGCTTGATGAGGCCAGCAATAGTGTGTACGTCGCTGAAGTCGCCCGTTGACAAGTTGACTTGGTCTGCCGGCTGCCTTTCGAAAGCCGCCTTCAGCCCCATGATGGCGCTCTTCGCACCGGAGATACGGTAGATGCCTTGTTCTCGCAGGCCGCGGGCTTCGATTTCGGCAAACATGCGTTCAATGGCAATCGGCACGAGCCGCGCCTCTCGCTCGACAATGACAAAGAGTGGAACACCAAACAGAGGCACTGGCGGGAAAGCACATATAAGACGGATGTACAGGCGAAAGTAGTTAGTCAGCTTCTACTCACCGCCTTTGTTGCCTGATGCGCTGCCTCTCGAAGCAGGTCTGCGCGGTATGAAGGCCTTTGCAGCCTGGTCTATTATACGAATCCACTCTGTCATCTCTCCTTGGCTTGGCGCTTGAAGCAAGTACTTGCCACCCTCTGCCGTGGTGAGGTGGAAGATAAATGATCTTTGAGAGTTCGACCAGACAGAGACCTGAGCTGCCCCGCAACGGGCAATGAGCGACGCTTTGGAAGTCGGAATGCTTGTGAGCAATTCTGCGGGAGGGCGTGTCGCGGCCGCCGCTTGGTCGTGCTTTTCGTGCAGCACTGGTCGTACAGCATTCCGGAAAAGAGCTGTCATACGACGCGCGCGCTTCTCAGATGCGGGTGCAGTAGGGGCTATGGTGGCGTTGGAATTAGCCTTGCGAAGTTCGGCAGCAGCTGCGGCGTCGGAAGCGGCTTTGGAATCCTGATCGATTGCATCGAAAGCCATCCGCAATCGTTTTTGACGCTCGTGCTGCTCCGCGAGAAAATTGTTCAAAGGCTTCATGCTGCGCCAGCGGCTAGAGGTCGAGCCAGCAGGGGCGTAGCTTGCCTCGCGGCTTGCCTCTTCCTTGAAAAACTTACGATCCCAGATAACACCACCGAGCGCTATTTGCATTGACTTGAGCCGAGCGCTGGCCACATCGAGCTCTGCCTGAGATGTCTGTTGCTGTCCGATACCGGAGGCATTAATGAGATTCCAGACGTTGCGATACTTGTCCCATGGGATGAGAGGTGCAGCGTCGTCGCTGACATCATAAGGCTGTGTAATCGCTTCAGCCAGACATCCGAGGATCCACCCTATATCGATGGTGCAAGCGCGTTGACCTGCGACGTCCCACATATTTTTCGCTATTTCAGCCTGCGGTCCGAGGCGAGTCAATGACTCTACGCTGCCTTGACGGGCTTGAGCAACGCCTTGCCACGCCGCGCTAAAAATTCGCGATTCGGAAGACGTGATGCTGCTGGTGATAGCGGATTCCACAAAGCCAGCGATGCATGCTTTCTGAAACACAGTATGCGGGCCATCAGCACCCAGGCCGCGGCCTTTGGACATGCGCGCGCGACAGATAAAGATCGCATCCAAAAGTTTCGAGAGTCGCTCTTGCCGTTTCACGAGACCAATTCGTGGTTCAGTGCTGTCGACGAAAGCAGTTCTAAGTTTCCATGCGCTCGTCGGCCATATTCACATTCTTAGACTCACATCTGAATGGCGATCCATCCGCGGAGAAGATTCTGTGCGGCACATACATCACGCACCGCGCCAGGAAGGGCTTGCTGCAAGGTGAGTGATTGGGGATTAGCTCCCGCAAGGCGGATGATCTCGAGCATCTTGTACATTGTCGTGCCAGAAACGCCATCTTCTCCACTGCTTTTACGCGGAGGGAACCAGCCAGTCGTGTCGCTTGCCTGCCGCTCGAAAATTTCACTGACAATGAGATAGTCCCTGCGTGTAATTTTCTCTGCAAAGACAGTTGCAACAGGCTCGAGGTAGTCGACGACCTCCTGAGCGGACGCTTTGTCAATGTCAAAAGGATCGGTCTGTGAGCTTGACGGCGGTGAGAAATTGGATGCAGCTAAGCTCGTCTTTCTCAGGAAAGCTTCTGCATCGAGATTCGGTCGCATGAGATGGAGCTTGAAAGCCGAGGCGGCATCTTCGTAAAATGCTGCAATACGGGCCCTGTCTGGATCGTCTTCGAATTCGTCAAGTGTGGGGCGCTCCCGCAAGAACGAGCTTGTAGCTGCCCAAAGCTCCCGGTCGTCGATGAAGTCCTGCGCATAGTCATGCAGCCATTTCCGCAAGATACTGAGGACGCCGACTCGGACGCGCGTAACAGTATCCCAGTCGACCGACTGGGCAGACGATGAGGCTGTTGATATTGGATACGACCACGAGGGGAATTGACTCGAAGATCGTTGCTGCACAGGTAATGCGAGCTCGCGACCAGCATTTATCGCCCCGACGAAGCGTTTGCGTAGAAGGTCGAAGAGAACACCAGGTGAGCAAATACCACGATATGTGCCCAAAAAGGCAGCTGTCAGGTCACCAGTGTCCAGAGAGAGTTGGCTGCGGAGAGACAAAGGGACTTCGCCGTTGTCGTCGGAGACTTGAACCTGAATGTGTCTGACACCCATTAGGATCACGTCGACTGCAACAGTGACAGGAAAAATGTGAGTGACAACCTTGCGCCAAAAAGGGTTAAAATCGCACGCACTCATTCTCTCCAATGTCGCAGCCTTAACCTCAACCAGCATAACAGTGCCAGTATCTGCAATGGAACTGCGGTTGGAAGCCGGCAGACTTGACCGCTTTGAGACCTGGGATGGAGGACGTGAGGAGCGCGCAAAGTCTTGAGAGAAGCGCTTGCTTCCACAAGGCGAAGCCGACGAATTGCCCAAGGACTCGCCCATTGGCCTCAAGATCAGTTCAGTGCCAATCCTAATCTCGGCGTGATCATTTGTGCCTACGGTCACCGGCTTGAAAGTGCGCAGGAATGGACTCCGACGGTCGCCTTTGAGAGAAGCGAAAGGTAGAGTCTTGGACCGCAAGATCATCGCTGCTGCATTTGGCGCGGCACCTTGCAGTTGTGAGCTGTGCGTAATAGTGGCATCCTTTTCTCCATCATTGAAGTTAGGAAGCTTTGGTAGGTCGCCATTGGCTGCTTGCGAAATCCACTCGGGGTCCACGACTCGCTGAAGAGGCAAAGGGTTGACGAATAGCAGGGGTGTGGTCGCATTTGCTGCAACCGTCTGAGATGGGCGCTGGCGCCAACTAATGCCGTTGCTACCCAAAGTCCGCGGCTCAATGTGATAGGAGCGCTCGAGGTAGAATGTGAGAGCCTCAGGTCGAGGCCTGGTCCGGTACGCATCGAAGAGCGTCTTGTACTCCAATAGCAAGGGTACTACGGGCCTGATCTCACTGCCAAATGCAGAGTTCGCGCTGTGTGCGTCCTTCTGCACCTCGGCAAGCAAGTGGAAGAGCTGCGTTGACAGACGATTGCTCCTCCGCAAGTCCAGTTCCACACCGCCATCCGTCCCCATCTGTAGTTCTCCAGGAAGGTCGAGGCTTCCCAAGAAAGGGATGGAACCAAGCGACTCGCCATGCAGACCTTTCGGATTTGGGATATCCGGCGAGCTCAGAAGAGGGTTGACTTGAGTTGATAGCATCGACTCAGTCCAGCCAACCTTTGCGAGGGAGGGACACCAGAATTTGGCCATGAGATCCTTGTCGCCAGGTGCCACAAAGCGCCAAGTAGTCTCGAGGCGAGCGACAGCACGAGAGCAGAGCGCGGCGACTACCGCGGTCCAGCCCGCGATGTCTCCGTATGCTTGCAGATACGATGTGACTGCGATCCAGTGGCGCAGAATGGCGGCCCGATGGCGCGCGACGGCCTGTGCCTGCCCTGCAGCGGCTGTGGGCCCGTTGTCTGAAGCCTGTGATTGCACGGAGAAAACCTGTTCCAAGACCAGCTCGGTCACAGGGTGCAAGGACTTCGTGTCAAACGAAAGAAGCGAATTTTTCTGCTCCCTTGCGTTGAGGATGCTCGAAAGATCCAAGTAAGGGCGCAGAACTTGCGATGTTTCTCGGACATGCCACGCTTGAATCTGCTGCGCAATTTCCTGTGGTGGGAGCGTAACGAGGAGCCCATCTGGAAAGGCTCCGTTCAGAAGCGGTCGAAGGTTGGTTCGCTTGGACGCTTCGATGGCTGCACAGGGTATATCGTCTGAAAACTTGGCAGCCTCAAAAGTGGCCACCCAGGCTGGCAGCGGTGCTTGCACCGCCTCGCAGATGGTACGTAGCGCTGCGATGGCCTGTTCCTTCGCTTTGCGTGAAATCAACTCAGGCTCGAGCGCCGCAATCAGCATGCGCACCGGTGCACTTTTTGATTGACTGGTCTTGCATGCTTTCGCCACCTCGTCCAACAGCGAGGCGAGAGCGTCGTGATGGAGGATGGCAGCGACGACAAGCGAACGCACGAACGTCCGACACTCTTCACCCGCCTCCTCGGTGACCCCGTCCATAGTGATGGTGGTATCACGGTTCGCAACTGATGGTGACCGTTTCTCCGTTGCTTGTGTGGCATGCACCAACTCGTGCGCTAGAGCTGGCAGCGAGCCAGAGTCCACTCGGCGCTCCCACGAGCCAGGGTCTTCTTGGGCGACAACAAGTTTGAGCTCTGGATGGTGGTCGGGGCGCACCCAAGGCGCTGCGAATCGAGGAACATCTGGCTTCCCAGGGTTCTGCTCGACGGTGCCAAGCCGAGGCACCGACGGAGAGGGAGATGGAAGAGACAGCTGCTTGAAGCTCGGCGACTCGGCGAGATTACCATTAGTTGGGCTGGTAGCTCGCTGCGATGAAGGTGATGAGGCGGCGATCGAGCCGGACGAGGCTGTGGCGCTCAATAGATCGCGGGTGTTCAAGCCGCTACGCTTGAGCGCCTCGGCGTCCAACGGTGCTATGCCATTGTACTGATCGCTCAGACCACCTGTGGCCGCTTTGGGCGTGGGCCGGACGATACCGGCAGGGAAGACGGCACGAACTTCCTCGACAAGTCCGCTGGGTGGCTTGTAAAATTGCAGGTTGCCATTCTGCATGACTACTTTGTACGGCTTCCAGCCCTTGGTGATGTCCTTCTCCTTTCCCTCGTTGAGCTGTGCATACGAGAGGGAAATGTTGATATTGCGATTGAGCAAGCCCTGGAAAGATGCGCCGGGCGGCAGGGGAATATTCATGGACTGCGGAGAGGCAGACACGCCGCGGCCTACCCCTGCCCCTGCACCTGTGCAAGCGCTATCGGTGGAAGAGAGCATGGACGTTGCTCCAGTAGATGATGACGACACCTGGCGCATGGCGCTACTGGCGCTGCCTGAAGCGGTCGCGACGCCTAGCGAATTCGCCAAGCTCTGGCTCCGCCCCGCAGAGCCGGTATTGCTGGCATCAAGGGTCCCTATAGTTCCCTTTTGCGCTTCCTTAGAGCTAAACGGAAGACGCGAGGCCTTGCGCGCGTGCTGCTGCTGCGCTTCTCGCAGCCGGTTTTGTTGTTGGTGCTGCGGCGGCAGCGGCGGCATTGCGGGCGGTCGTTGGCCATTGGCAGCACCCATTGCCTGGTGATTGCCGCTGCTTACGATGATCGACGCAGCACGTCCATGTTGGTATGATTGCGACTGATGTGGCTGTTGCGGCGGTGGCTGCTGTTGGTCAAGTCCAAGTACGCGGAGCTTGTGCGGAGGCGCCATGCTTCCGCTACTGGTGATAGAAGCGGCCCCAGGCGATGTAGGCATGAGCGCGGGACTTGAAAACTGACTCAGGTCGTCGACACTGCGCGAGAACGCCATGCTGTTGCCGCTGACAAAGTTTGGTGACGGAGACCGCAGGTACGGGCTCCGCTGCGCGGGGAAGCCACCGGTGCCAAGGTCAGCATTCGGGTTAGCGTGGGTATTTGCACTGGTGAATGCTGCACGCGAGGCGGCCGCAGCTGCGTCTGGAGGGAGCGGCGGGACATCCGATCGTGCATGCAGGTCAGACTGACTCCTGCTGGAATAGCCATAGCCTGCCATGCCCATGCCAAGCCCCATCATGCGCTCTCCCTCGCGGTCCAAAGCCATGCTGGACCTGCCCAGCGGGCTCTGTGCAACCGCAAAGGACTGCCGCGGAGCAGAGACAGATGTCTGCGAAGGCTTGCGCTCGCGGCCCATGCTAAAGAAGCTGCGCTTCGTCGGGCTCGACGCTGCTGCGAGGGGGGAACTAATCTCGTCTGTCGCAAAGCTAGGCCGCGGCGGGAGTCCATACGGATCCTCGACGCCTTGCTCCCGCTGGCCATGGATGGTGCTGCCTCCGTTCGCAAGCCCTGGCCCCGAGCTCCCTCGTCGCATAGGAATGTACGGAGCGCCTGCTCCGTTGCCTCCGAAAGCCATGCCCATTCCTGCATCCATGCCCCACCCTTCCTGTACGGCCGGCATGGAACTCGAAGAGTGGATCACTCCTGGTCCTCCTTGTTGCATCAGCTGCTGCTGCTGCGCGATGGCAGCGGACTGTACCTGCATTTGCCCTTGGTTCTGCTGGTTGCTACCAAAGGATGCCTTCGCTTTCGAGAGGAGAAAGTTGAAAGCCGATTGGCTGCGACCCAGACTCGAGGCCTGCTGCTGCAATTGCTGGAATCCGTGCGTCGCGGCGGTCGCCTGTTGCTGTTGCTGCAAAGGGTGGATGTCTATGGATATGCTTTGCGGCAAACCGGTACTTCTCCCGGGTCCAGGTTGACTGTATGCGGCTTCCCTCGCACCTGGGCCCGCTTCATGCCAGGGCGGCAGCGGAAGAGCCACGCCTGCGCTATGTTGCCCTTGCTGCTCAGGACGCAGCTTAGGGTTGTTTGCGGCGGCCGCAGCCACAGCAGCAGCGGATGTGCCCTTCGAAGAGCCGTTGCGATCCCCCTCTCCCAAGGCAGCTGACCCGTTCACAGGTGTGCCGACGCTGGTTGCTCCTGAGGGCCCCAAGCTATTGCTACTACCGCCGCCTAGCCCGGGCGAAGGCAGGGGTGGAACAGGCAGCGACTTATTGCTTCCAAGCCCAGTAGAGCTTGATAATGACGCGCTCAGCCCGCCCTGCCCCTCACTCGGCCCTTGACCTTGGCTTGCAGCATTGATGCTGTTGCTGCTGCCTGCGCTGGAGTTGAAGTTGTCAGAGCGCTTCTCCTTGCCTCTGCGGAGCATGTTGGGCGTCGCTAGCTAGCTTTCCCTTGAAATGAAACCGTCGATGCCATGCGAAGAAGATCTATCGCTGCTAACGTAGGCGTGAGCCGCGGCTGGCGTTGCGGCCAGGTTTCTATCGGATGTAATTGTTGGCGTGTGCGTATCGTTGGTCCGCAGTAAACAGCATGTACGATGCTGTAGTCTGCTTTTACTTTGGCATCTGATGGAACTGGGTTCTGTTTGGAAGTAATCCTATCACGAGTCAGAGGGCCGCCGCGTTGCTCGCCTCCTGAGTCGACCTTGACGCTGCTCACCAAGCGTTTACATAGACACACCGACGCCCCGACGCCCCGTTCGGCGCAGACCTAGTGACTTGCTGCCAACACGCATAAGCACGCATCCACAGACACACCGATGCACAAGACCGGGGCCCGTTTGCAGCCCTGCTGTCGAGGGATGCTGTGCCCTGCGCAGAACAAAGGACATGCTCCAGGAAGGATAGGGAAGAAGCAATGGAATGTGATGAGCTCCTCGTCGGACGACCACGAGCATGAAGTCGGGTCGTCTGTAATATGTACTTTGTTGGGAGCAAGCTGTAGTACTTGGGAGGCTGGAGCAATGCCCTCCCAACGCCAAGGGCTGTCCTCAGTCAGCGATCCAGCACTGTCTCAGTGTTCAGTGGAGGCGCCCCCTCCCCGCAGTTGCCACACTGGTGTGACAAGACCGCAGCGCAGCGCGCTTCCTACAGACAACAAAAGGAGGAGACACTGGGCCTGTGTGTATATTTATGTCATATGCACTTTTGACGCCCGACACCGCCCGGCGATGTGGCGTAGTTCACACTGCCGCAATGCTGCCAACGCCACTCTCGCACACACACAACAGGACGACAAATGCACTCTTGCCCTCTTGCCGGCCACCCAAGTTTTTAAGCAACTCACCGCACTTTCGAAGACCATCGGAGAGGCCCTGCCCCCCCACCACCCAGCCAGCCTCCAAGAGACCCCTCAAGGCCCAAGGCCAATTAGGAAAAGTATCCCCTCGACCCTTCACATCAGTACTCCGCTCTCGGCGCTTGCCGAGTTGATGAGTGCAGAGTGCAGGTGCCTCCTGAAGTCGAGCCACACGGCGCAGCCAAAGTCTAGTTCTGACACCGTGATCTCATCGTGCGGCAATGGGCCTACGCCTGCTACGCACGAGCCGAGGAGACAACACTGCTTGCCTCCTTGGCATTCAGACTCAACGCGCGCAATGAGATGCTCAATTCGCGCTCAACTTCAAGCTCCACCTGCTCCAGCTTTGGCGATATTCGTCCCTACTTCTCCACCATACATTGGATGGCGAAAATAGTCCCAGGAACACCTTTCTATGCTCGTCGGCGATACATTTATTACCGGCGATGACTGCGGTGGCGTCCGTCGACGGACGCATCCCGTACAATCCCCAAGCGCGCGCATGGAGGTTCGATCAGAACGCAGAGTCTCAGTCAGCCTCAAGGCGTTCAGACCAGGCGCAGCGCTCGATTGATCGCACGCTCGCTCGCTGCGTTATAGGCGCACCGTGGAAGCGCTCAATCCCTGTCAAGCCAACAGACTACTCATTCCGTCGTCTGTGTCACAGGGCAGCTCACGACCAGGTCAGGACAACAGTGCAAGCCCTTTGCCAAACCAAGGGGCGCACTAAGGAAGTATGATTTCGGAACTAAGGCGTGATGACCATCTACAGGTTTGCATTACCTTCGAGCGCTGTTAACGAGAATGCGCAATTATGAAGCTGAGTCAAATGTCCACGCACTGTGCACAATTAAGCACAGCCTCGACACTTCCACGAGCCTCCATGACGAACTCCCAAAGACGCATTCAACGAGCGGTGAGAGTGTATCTGTCAGAAAGTCCCCAACCGTCTTTTGGTCGCACTGGTATTCTCAAGCAAGCTGTTCAGTCCTTCACAAGCGGTAACCATAGCGCCAAAAGCTGGTCACAGACTTAAAGCCACTTCTGCCCTTACCAGGTTACATAATAGCTTGATTAACCCTAACTTGTGCCCCGACCAAATACCACCTCACTAAGCCTACTACATTACTAAGCTTATCAACCAAGCTTATCATTTTACCAAACGTACCACGTTACCAAGCCTCCAAATGTCACACAAGTACGGCAGCCACCGCCCCAACCCTCGACCCTCAGTTCACCGCTCAGGTCAACGCGATTCTGCAAACAGCCAAGCTCAGCAACTACACCTCGAAGCCCACGGATTTTCGCAAGTGACCAACTAGTTTGAACTAGCAATCATAGCGCTGAAGAGCTGGTCACGACCCCTGAGCTTCCTTTGTCTTACCCCGTTACATCATAGATTTTTGACTGTCGGAGGCTTCGTAACGTGGCAAGCTTGGTAGCATGGAAAATTGGTAACTTAAAAAGCTTGGTAACATGGTAGCTGGCCGGAGGCAAATCTACATAGCCCATCTCCCCTCCCTTCATCGCATGCACTGCGCGACACAGCATTTGGCTCCTTGTACTAGTGAATGCAATGAAACCGATGAAGTCGTATGACTACCGCGTGACGCTAGGATACAAGACGGCCACGAGTCGCGAATCACGCACATAAGCATGAACGCCCGCAGTGGCCTTCCGGCAGTATAGGTTGGCAGCAAACAACGCTGTCCGTTGGGAACCATGGCGAATATCCGACTGCGGCACATTGCGCTCTACCCCAAGCGCACGGCTCTCTCCTCCGCACCGTTCAGCTCGCTTTATTTTTGTCATCTCATTCAAGTAATCCTCTCTGCCGTCTCCTTCCCTCCCTGCATGTCTGCTCAAGCGCTCAAAGCTAACACGACTAAGAGAGTAGGTGAGTAGCTCATCGCATCCCGAGCTGTCTCTGCTCAAACGCAATGCGAATGCAACTGGGAACGAAATATCCTTCCAGCTTTGTCCTTTGTGTCCTCGCCAGTTTCTTCCGCTCTGCTGACAGACTCAAGTACCTCCACTTTCGTTCCTCTGCATGGGCATCAGCAAGGAGTGCAGCAGGTACCATCAAGTCCTCCAGATTGACTTCTTCGTCAGCAGCAACGGCCGCCAGCACGCTTCATGTCACCGCAGCCCAACCCACGCAATGCCTCGCGCCCTCGCCGCCCACACTTCGTCCTAGAATCTCACCGCTGGCGGTGAGATATCTCAGGAATAATAGCAGTTGCCCCCCTCAGCAGCGCGGTACCGTGACCGACTTCTATCAGTGCATCGCTGAACCGAAAGCACAGCTAGCGGAGGCCCGCCGTCACCAAGATAGTCAACGACCTTTCCAACCGCATCTCCGGCTTGGAATCTGTGAGTCGTCCTATGTTACTTGGTGGAGACACCCTTACTCGCTTGATTGGGGCAACAGTGGCCCGCGTTCAGGCTACACCCACGGCTAGTGAGTACGTCTGTTTCCATGGCCTGGGCACTGGCTTAGCGGTGCAGATCGCGAGCGCGTGCTCGAGTTCGGCTTTACGGTTCTGGGTTTCGCAAGTCTTTGCAACCTTACTTCCGACCTCGGTACAGCGGTTCTAGAGGGACTACCCCTGTTCGGCGCAACAGACATGGGTGGACACCCGACTCGACACTTCGAAATGCAAGCGAGGACAACACTTGTTTCGGGAAGTGCGTCCCGAACCTCCGAACCTGCAGGATTTCCGCTCTCTTCACCGTCTATATCACCGCGGGGGGAGGGGAGGACGTTCTTGGACATGGATCAATCCCTAGACCAAGTCGCGTGGGTGTATCAGAACTTGCAACACTGCGAGTTTCAGTGGACGTTTCGCTGCGCTTTCATCTTATTCTCTAAGACCCGCCTGCTCGCGGACAGGCATAGTATACAGTGGAGGCACGTGGATGCTACCACTTACTCAAGGTGTGCCTCACTCGCGATCCGATCGCCCGCCCCGTGTGACAACGAGCCGTGCAGGTTGTACAATCAGGGCAAGGGTGGGAATGAGAAAAGTACCTGCAAGCGACAACGCGTCTGCTTGACCTGCTGTGCGAGCAGGCATGCCGCTAGCTCTTACCCAACCAAGAACAACAACCTTTCAAACGCACAATCACAATCACAATTGTAGTGCAGCACTGCCCTCTCAACCTATGCACGTCTATCACTCCGCTACAAGTCCCACGTCGGCGGAGTCGCCTGGTGAGCTTGTTGCAGATCGCATGGTCTTAGCACACTACGCATAACCCCCGCTTTGACGCATGTGTCGAGCGGGCGCGCGAACGTCTGCAACAGCCTCGGTCGTGTCGAACACAAGTCGCGCGGTGACGACTGCATCAGTCCTGATCACACATCCCTCTGCCAAGGTAGGCCAAGGCGACCATCACGTGCCAGTGCCCACATTGGGTCCAGCTTTATCAAGCTCTTCGGCGTGTGTAGACCTCTTTCTAATTCGCATGGTGGCGCACAGCAAGCCATTGCCACTAGCTCGCCCTACCTTGTCCTTCCAGGAGCTGAGTTGCTCCGGTTCGACGAAATTGGTAGGGACTTCACCTTGCGCCCAGCAGTCACACAACTGGCGGTGCCTGCTGTAACCCTATTCCGACCGACATGCAGTCGAGCAAGTGCTTAGCGGGCTGCAGCACGGCCTCCTGATTGGCTATAGCGGCCCTTCGAGGGACGCTTCGCAGCCTCATGTTCGCAACTTGCCTATGTTCGACCTGGGTCTGCAGCGCGTCCTGGAGGGTATGGATAAGAGGTTGAAGCGTGTTCAGGGTTCGCGCTGGTGCGGACGCATCGTAGATCGTCTGCTCGCCGATTGGGGCCGTGCCTAAGGACGAGACTCAACATCGCAGCGTCTTTCACCTGTGGTGGCCTAGGAATGATCAACGCCATGCCTTCCATCAATGCTGGCATATCCACTGTGGTCCCTGTTGTTCGCTACGATGTCATGCAGCGCATCATTGACGGCTTCGCGGCCTGCCTCAACTTCTGCCTATGCAAGAATTGACCTGAAAAACACTTTCCCCACTTCCGAGTAGCACGGTTTGACCTCCAGCTAGACGGTCACTTCTATGACGATCGATGTCGTCTCTTTGGCTATTGTTCGAGCGCGTTCCTATTTAAGGCACTTGCAGAGTGCATCCATTGAACCTGTGATGTTGCCCGAGGGGTAGAGAGGACGCATTACCTCGGTGGCAGCTTTGGGGCGGCCCTCGATGGCCATCCCTACCGACCAGTTCTCGTACAAGCTGAGAGAAAGACCGCATGGGGGAAGACGTCCTTAGAAGCTCTCGACATCCTCTTCAAATCAGGCATCTAGATAGCCTCCATCGCGGAGGAGTGTCAAGAAGAACTGCTCTGTGAGATTGACAGCATCCTCCCCGCAGACAACGCTTTTTACTCGATCCATTGACGGTCTTGCCTGCACGATCACAGCGTTCCGGCTTATCACGTCTGGCCGCCCCTCCTCGGTGTCGGTCTTCTCATTGCGTGGTGGTGGTTTCTCGAGCGAGCGTTTCCTTGCGGCCGTCAAAGCGGCGCTGGGTGTTATGGGGTTGTCCCCCCTGAGATACGCTGGTCACTGCTTCCGATGGGGGGCGACCACGTGGGCGTGCTTGTGGTGCGGCGCCGGAGGACATGCAAACGTGTGGCCACTGGCGGTCCTCTACGTACCGCCGCTACATCCACAAGTCACCTGCGCATTGAGCTGCGTTAGCAAGAACCACCCTCTGTTCGCGCAATGAGGGTCCGCCTGTACCCGACTCGGCATGCTGGCGAGACTTGCACTTCCAGCCTGCCTATCCGACCGCACCCTGGTCCCATTCTTCGCACCCAACCGCTCCGGCGGGTGTCTACCTCGACCTTGCTCCTTTTCCTTCCATTGCCACCACTACCACCCACACTCTCTTGTACCACCTCTTAGCCCGCTTTCAGATAGTGCGACGCACCCGGCGAGCGATCGGGAGCATGGGATATGTCAATGCAAGTCGAGGAGTCTAGCTACATGTGCGGATGGTACATGACGGTATAATACGAAGCTGAATGCGAGAGAGCGACGCGAGAGGATGCCTCCCTTCACGGCTCAAGGCGTGCTTGCTGCAGTGAGACTACGTTGTTCCCCGCAGTGAGGTAGCCCATCACTAGCTGCCCTCACATCCCATGTATCAATCAATCAACTTTCGCCTTGGTAAGCGACAAGCGCGAATGATGCGTCATTTTCATGAACCCGAATGCGAAAGTGATGAGCGGGATTTACAGCGAAACCAGCTCATCCAAAGAGAGCTAACAAACCAATGCTCCACAAAAACGTGCGGCATCTCTTCACTCTTGTGTGCGGTTGGGCGTCAGTACAGTAGTCAGCTGTTGAATGCCTCGCAATCTTCGGCTGTCCGCAAGGAGCCAACAAACATCGAAATTGTGATAGCACCTTGAATTACGCTCTCAGCCTGTTTAGAGCCCTGACAACAAGCCGGTCGACGTCTGCGAGGATCAAACTTGCGTCAGAAACTGCTTGTGCGACTTCACCCGCGCTGCAACCCCTCGCCGTGTTTTACCGCTGCCCACGATGCCGACTCCGCTGTGCGCTGACGGCAAGCTCCGTCCGACGTACGAGGACATTCACAAGCTGATCGACCGCAGCGCCGCCTACATCAAGGCTGATTTCGACCCGGACCTGATGGTCCTCATCAGCGGCGGCGGGCTGATTCCCGGTCGCATCATGCGCTCCTTCCTCAAGCGACCCTCGGAGCTTGATCCCACACGCCTGCGCAACATCCCTACGCAGGCCATCGGCCTCAGTCTATACGAAGAGGTGGCAGGCATGGTTGAGGGGTCAATTGGCAAGTCTGTCACACGCACGCAGTGGATTTCGGAGAAAGCGCTCCTGGGCCACAAAGACCCGTCCAAGAAGGTCGAAGAGGGCAAAGATGCCGGTGGCTTGGTCGGCAAGAAGATCCTTATCGTCGACGAAGTAGATGACTCTCGAACAACTCTACAGTGCGTCAGACCTTCTTACCTCTGCTGCTACCATTCGCATCGCGCAAACCACCTCTAATGCGGGAAATCATCTCTTCTACTTGAACATTCTGTTCCACGCAGGTACGCCTACCAAGAACTGTACAACGATGTGCGCCAGGCCCTTTCCTCCATGTCGGAGCAAGAACGAGCCGCGGTGCCCGCCACAAAGTTTGCCTGCTTTGTCGTGCACAACAAGCGCAACATCAAGAAGGGTAAGTTACCCATCCTCAACGAGAACAACCACATCGCCGGTGATGGAGCTGCACCCGCAAACAATAACCAACCTGTAGAGCGGATAGAGAATGGTATCGTCGAGGGTATCAGGTATTACGCCGGCGAGGACACGGAGAATGAGTGGATGTGAGCCTCATTTCAGTCAGTGATTCGTTAGATCCGAAAAATTACTGACAACGTCCAATTCTTTGCCACTGATCTTTCAGCGCCTATCCTTGGGAATCGGAGGACATCACCGAGCACAACCGCCTAGCCGCCGACGCACGCAAGAAGGCCGGCCAAAAGTGATTTTTTCTTTCGTTGGAGTACTTCCCGCTAGACGCGCATCAGCATCTCCTGCAAAACGCATCCTATCGGAAGTGTGAAATGTATTATTCAAAAGCTCTTGGCGGGACCGCACGAGGCGATCACAGGCCAGGCGATGCGCCTACACTATACAAAGCGACTGCCATCCTGCATATACTGCGGCACGAGACCCAACTCCTCCGCCTTCTTGGGCAAATTGGTCTCGCCCGTTATTGCGCTTCCATCAGTCATCGAACCGTTCTTTCTCTTTTCGGATTCTTCCGCATCGGGTCGTGTAAAGAAGTCAGCGAGCATGATTGTGGTCATGAGGATAGCTGCGATGCCGAAGACGAGGGCTGATAGGAAAGAGATTTTGGGGATGCGCGCATTATCATCGTGGTCAGGATCACGCGCTCTGATTTCGGCTTGCGAAGGGACGCACCTAATGACCGCCGTGTGGCATCCCATTTGATGTTCTGCTCAATCTCTGTCTTGAGGTCGCTGAGCGAAATAGTGAAGCGGTTGTGCAAATCCTGAATATCCTGCTCCAGTTGGTTTTGCTCTTCCTTGGATTCGGATTTGCGGTTGTTCATGTCAACTTGGATGCTGCGAAGCAAGGGTCGTATCAACATCACGTGTGTGATTCCCAGCGGCTCAAGCGATGTAAGCGTCGTCGAACTCACTCATGCTTAAGCGTGTTTATGTCCTCGCGCATCTTTTGGTTCATGCTGTCAACTTCGCGTTGCAGAAGCGTAGTCAGGCTTCGTAAGGACGCCGCATCGTTACGAGCCTTGACCTGTAATTCCGTACGCAATTCGGACAAGGCTGCGCTGAATAGATATGCCTCCTGTGTAGGATTCAATCCGCAAAACGTTGAGCGCCACAAAAATGGAATAAGTCATCAGGCACTCACATTCTCCAGATCAGTCTTGTCGAGTGCGCGCTGCAGCATGGCATTGTTCCTGTCTGCCAACAAAGCTCTCGTCGCCTCCATGATCGCTTGTGCTGGATCTCGGTGCTGCGCTAGCTGTAGGTCTGCATTATGATCGGAATCCTCCGCCGCTCCCTCTATCTCCTTTTCCTTTCCCTTCCGATCCGCAGACATCCATGGGGCCTTTCGGACAAACCCAGCTTCCTCAAGCTTATTCACGAACTCCCTCGTGTCGAAGGGATGGGAGGCTTTTGGAATCACGCGCGAGTATGCTTGACTAGAGGAGTCGTATGGGGCCACTGAGACGAGCTCTGTTCCCGCAGACATTTGTTCGGTCATTGATCCCGAGAATGCGGTGCTCTCTACCTGTCCATTTGCATCCTCCAGAGTGCGGCCCTCTGAGTCGCGAGTGGGCGATCGAGAGCTCGGGCCTGAGGTCAGCGCATTGAGCCTCCGAAAGTCTTCCGTCCGATTTTGTGCATGCATAGATCGACGCTTCAGCAATTCCTCACTGTCTATGAATGGATCCGAGCTCGACTCTGGGGCCGAAGAGGCGGCGGACCAGAAGGCCCCTAACTCAGGCACGGATGAAGGTGAGCTTGTACTTTCCGCTGTTTTGTCTGACGGCGAGGATGATGGTGATGAAGATGCCTGACGCTGACTGTTTGTCTTTCTCCTGGATGCAGAAGAGCTAGCCAGATTTGCTGAGTACGCTGCAGCAGCGGCAGCATCTGAGAGCTGGTGTTTGGTGTCCTTTTTGCTGGATGAGACGGTGCCCGCATCTCGGGCCTCCCCATTCCCTGAGAAGTTACTCGATTCTGCTCCAGTCGAGTACCAACGCTGTCGAAATAGAGGCATACCATTCCCTGCAGTTACTCTACGGAAATGTCTTCCGCTGCAAGCGCCCTCGTTGCAGATACGCCCATCGCGGGAAAGTTGGGTGCATGGAGTAATTGTGATCACTTGGACGCCTCGCACTGGGCCGCCAGAGCTCGAGGCCACGACGGATAGCAGCCTTCCGGCAGATGACCGCATTTCTCAGCTTACTACGAGCAGGTCTCGATGCCCTGTTTCGATCCATAACACTCAAAGACGAACCTGTTGGACGCTGCGGGAAGAGATCGTAGATAGAGGAAGGGAAGGGCGGTAGATGGATATCACACGGGCGCGGTCCTATCATGGACACACTGCGAGACCAACACTTGCGCCGCCGTGCGGTGCGGCAAGTCTCCGATGCATCACTGAACCTTGAATTCGGAAAGGATATGCTTTAGGGCTCGTCCATTATGTCCCATCCTCCTCTTGGTACTTGAAACAGCGCCACCTAGCGCCTCCACAGGCTGAGCAGAAACTTCATGTCTAAACATAGCTGATATCAGAGGCTAGGCGAAATATGCGTCAATGGCCGACTCGTCGGTCCATAATGGCTGGCTCCCCGGCCCAGAGAGCGACAACCGTTCCCCAACTTGCTCGGAAAGCATGTCTGCTCTAAGCAGATCCTCTTCCATGCAGAGCGCATCGACGCATGATGGCATCGACCTCATGGAAGGCGCTTCTGGCCTACCTCTGGCTGGTTAGTCTCTTTTGCCAGTGCTGCGGTACATGCAGCGCTTCGAGGGGAATGTTACTGACGTCTTTACGCGTACTCCTTATTGCACTCGCCTCTCCTAAACGAATGGAACACATGCCTTTAGATCTCCTCGAAACCTTTTGGGACTCTCGCGTGGATCTTCTGGACCGTAAGCTCAAAACTTTGTCCGAAGAGGTCAAGTTTAAAGCAAAGCAGCGGCGAGATAAACTCGTTCAAAGGGCCAAAGGCCAGAAGGAACTGAAAGCACTACAGAAGGAAGCAGAGAAGTTGCGGCAAGGGGTGAGCTCTGCAGCACACGGATTGAAAATTTGGCCTATCTGCTGAGATTACAATGTACGGTCAAGGTTGTCGAACGCGTTGAAAAGCTTAGCGAAAGATGGAGCGACGCCAAGATGGTCAGGACGAGGGATAAGGTCTCCTTTGTCATCGGCGTAATGTGAGCCCCCTCCCAGACTGGCATGATTTGTAAATCAGCTAGAGAAGGCTGAACTTTTCGCCAACAGGAACCTCGTCATATCGTCTCTCATCTTTGCTCTCAGGCCCGAGTGGCTAGCGACGGTATACACCATTCAATGCCTTTACTTCTTGCCGATACGGATCTTCACATATACACGCAAAAAGTGGCATTACTTTTTATTTGACGTAAGTCAACCTTGGTGTATGCTACATTACAGCGTGCTGAAGATCAACTCGCCCCTTTGATGATGCCGATCGCAGTTTTGTTACTTTTTAAAGTAAGTCACGGTGCAAGGCGCAGATGACACGGATGTGTTGTACCTGATCCTTGGATGATTATGTACGGATGGCCGCTACTGCAGTGTGGCGAATTTGGTATTTATCTGGTTAATGCCGCAGTCCAAGTTCCTATTAACGGTGTGAGTCGAACAAGGAGACGAAAAGGATGATCTGGGCCTCAACGGCAACGTAGCTCATTCGTGCCACTCCTCCAACAGTTGCTACTGCGCCGCGCATGGTCCTTTGGCAGCGGCAATTCCAACATGGAGAAACTCGATGACTTTTCACTCTCTAGACAAGGTATGCATGCAGTTATCCAACTGCGGTGCATGTCCTCATCTTCTTGCTACTTCACGCTTTTCTTTCTGCAGATGACTTCGCTCTTTATCCACCTCTACCCACTTCTGGTCTTTGTCGCTATCCGCCACTTCATCCCCCCTGATATTGCGTACAAGCAATATCCGGCACTCGCTCAGATGGTGCATCTGAACAGTTTCAGAACATTTTTCTTCAATGTGGGGGTGTACATTGTTTGTGCGTATCTTGCACGTCTATTTACAGAGCATAGGCCAAACTGACCCTTGGGCTGGCAACGTGTTCCGCTTGGTTTGCGCCAGGGCAATCACTTTACTACGTTGTAATGGTTCCAAGGCGGTTTAAGATCGAAAGTGGTGAACGCACGAACAGCTATAGCACACTCAGTCAGGGTAAAGGCGCAGTTGCAAACTTGCTATCGAAAGCAAAGCCGCAGAGACGCGAGCCCGCTTTCATGCGTGAGTCTTTTTATATTGGACCCATAGCACCTCTTGGACGTTAGCATTGACGATTCATTCGTTTTCTCAGTGCTCCAGTTTGTATACACCATTATTACCACAGTGCGTACATAAGCTCTACATCGGACGCCACCGACGCTCTGTTGACGCTGAGATTTCTCCTTCTTTGCAGCTGCCCGCACCTCTTCTGTTCTACCGATCGAAGACGGCTTCTGCAGTGCTGGTTCTATTTGTGCTGCTCATGAGCGTGATTAACGGTGAGCCCACTGTCTATTTGAGCATGAATCATGGGTGCTGACACATAACCGATCCATGCATACAGGTGCTTCTTACTATGTCGAGGTAAGCATTGAAGCTGTTGTGTAAACAGCAATGTTATCATCTTGGCTCATGCTTGTGTTCAATTCCGGCAGGTCTGGGGGCGCCGCTTTGAGAAAGAGCTGATCGCCTTGCGCAAGGAACTTGAGGCTGCGCGTTCCGCCGATCAAGCCGTGAAAAGCGCATTGGAAGACAGTTCAGACTTGGGAAATAATATTCCCCCGCCATCTGACAGTGCAAGCAGTGACGTTACAGTGGTGGAAGCCAAGAAGGATAAGTAGGCTCCTCTCGTGTCCCTCTTCAGGCCATGACACTTGGGCCAATGTTGTATAGTACCGATGCATGACGAACCCATGTGAAGTGTCAATTCATGTCGTCCAAAGACGGCCCTCACCGTCTGCGCCGGCGGTAAGCAACCATGGCTGCGTCGGATGCCATTTGGCGTCTAGTAGGCCCAGCCCGTTCTTAATTTCATGCCCACGAAGCACCTTGAGCGGAACGATCAGTGCATTCTGGCTAAAATCCGAGAACACATTCCCATGGAAGATCTGCGCCGTGCCATCGTCTGAGACGGAAGCGAAGAGCGGGTAGGATCTGTGGAAGCAGACCGCGCGGATGGCTCTTGAATGGTAGCGCAGCGTCTTGTATGGCTTGTTGCTTAGCTCGAGGTCGAACCAAATCAGGCGCTTGTCGTAGCTTCCGACAATAAGATTGTCGCCACCAGGGTGAATGTCCAGCGAGCTGATCCATTTTAGACCGGTCAAGAGCGTCTTCATCAGCTGCTGCGCCGCGAGATCGTAGATGCGAATGTACCGCTGCGTCGCGACGAAAAGCTGTGGCTTGAAAGGATGGAAAGCGACTTTCTGCACTGCGGAGCCTTTGTTTGCCTTTCGGAACGGCGCCTGACTGCGATGCTTGCTGAGTTGATGAACAAGGACAGCGGAGGCACCTGCGTCGCTGGCGACCGTGGCAAAGTAGTCGCCCTTGGCATGCCATTGGACTTGCTTGGGCGTCCCTGGTACGGCGATGTGCGCGGCGACGCCCCTGTTGCGCTCGACATCTCTCGGCCGCGTCCACTTGACGGGGTTCTTGGCCATGTCGGCCGACTCGGTGCCAGGCATCTGGTAGCCAGACGTTGCAAAGAGGAAGGAGGGCGAGGCGGTGGGGGCATGACCCACGTTCGCTTGCGGTGGAGCAATGACGGTGACTTTTCCAGCACTGTCACAACGTTGGAGCAGAGCCAGTGTCAGCTTAGCCCGAAAGGAAGATGCAAGGTGGGAGAGCAATGAATGAAAGTGGACTCACGTGGTAGCTACGAGGATGCCCATCGCCTTGTTTGGGCACCATTCGACGCTCTGCACCGGTGCTCGCTCGCTAGATGGAGAAGCAGCATGCAGGTCCCAAACTGCAGCGCATCTGCCAATGGCCAAGTCCCATAGTCTGACACGACCGTCGTCTGCGCCTGTAGCGCACCACACGCCCAGGGGATCAATTGCAATGCACCTGACTCGAAGCGGAGAGGCGTCGCCTGCACCCGGATGGCTATAGATCACGCCGGTCATACTCGGAAACGGCCGGAGATCCTTAGGACTCGGCAGTTTCGGCACCAGCGACTCCGGATCGTCAATGTCGACGCGCTTCTTGCGGATTCTGGGCGCCAGGTAGAGATCGAGGCAGCGTTCGAACCGCTCTTGCATGAAATTCTGGTAGCCGGGCACATTACGCAACGACGGATGCTTTGCGGGCATGAAGTTGATCTTGCGGTCTGCCGGGTCAGTCGACTCAAATTCTTTGCGCTCTTCGTTGTTGAACAGGTACTCTGCTGGTGGATTGTAGCTTTCGGCGTGGCCGGGTAATGGCATCTTGGGCGCTGGCATGTTCATCGGATGATCCGGGTGAGGTTCATCGGCCTCGGACCAGATGTTGTAGAACGGCGGTCGCTCGGCAGTCGGTGCACGCGGCACAATTCGACCCTGTCGGATGGCACGGACGATCTTCATGACCTTCTTGTGCTCCCATTTACTTGGAACAAATCTTCGCTTCGGCTCCGGCTTGGCTGTCATAGGTGTCTGCAGCTCCTTTCCCTTCCCCGTGAACCATTCGACCGTCGGCTCGTATGGATCATAAGATCCATCTGGAATTTCGGCGTTTTGCAGCCTGCGAATGATGTCGAGTTCCTCATCGGTCAATCTGATGTCCTGTCCGGTCATCTTGTCCTGCGCGCTCATCCAGCTTTCTGGATCGTCCACTGTGCTGAGGAACCTGTCGAGCTCGTCTCCCTTGGCGGGCCGCATGACCTTCTTGCCGTCCATGTCGTAACCAATGTGCGGAAGATCGTCGTACCATTCGAGTGGGACGTTGCCGATCCGATTCGGTGCATCCTCTGTCGAGGAGTCCGAGTCGTAGTTGGGCTCGATAGCTGGGTAGACACGCTTCGGCTTTCCAGTAATATCGCTGACCTTCCAGACACCTTTGCTGCTTCCGTCCGGATTCTGACGGTCCGGATCAAAGGCTTGTGCAGCTTCGTCCCTGTTGATGCCAAGGACATTGTAGGATGTATCCTCCGTCGGCTTCCCGTTCGGCCCTCTAGCTTCTTCCATCATTCTCTCTAGCGTCTCATCTAACTCAGAGATGTCTGTCTCTTGTCCCTGCTCATCTGCGAGCGCGCTCTCCCTCAGGTCCCCTTCGTCCGATCCATCCCAATTGTCGATATCTTCACTATCGAATCCCTCTTCCGACTCCGACTCGGAGCCCGAGTCTGCGCCATCGGCGTTGTCTCGTGACTCTTCTTCTGCTTTCTCTTCCTCAGGAAAAGCATCTTCCTCGTCTGAACTCTGCCCCGGATCTATAACTGGGATGTCGTCTTCCCCTTGATCTTCTTGATCCCCTTCTGCACCGTCCTCATCTTCAGGCTCTGGAAGCCGCAGCATGCCGTCTTCTGGAAACAGGCTAGAGGAAATTCGCTGGTCATCCGACTTGCCACCAATGCCCCCATTCTGTGCATCGGCAGCCGTCGGCCTCTTTCGTTTCCCCACTGCTACACCAGAGGCATCCGAGGATGAAGGTCGAGGGAGCTTGCCATGCACCGGCGGTGGTGCCATCTTGTCGTCGCCTCTCGCTCTTCTTTCTAGCTTTCCGCAAAAGAATGAGCTATCGAACCGTGTACTCTCACGGTCGATATGCACTTCCGACTACGTGTCTGATCCATTCGAGAAAGACCAAAAATTGCGCATTCCATAAGAGCAGTGACCTCGCTTCCGTGTAGTACTTGTCGCTGCGATTGGTCCAAGCAAGAGTCCGTGATCGCTGCTGGAGGCAAATTTTTTGCTCGTTCCGCTGATCGTTATTACATAAGCATCATTCAGTTTGGCGTGTCGGAGTGGACGTTGCTCGAGTAGCTTCTACGCTGTTCTCCTCTTGTGCCGTCGCCCACTCCCTACTACGGTTTCGGTCACCAGCGCTGCTCTTTTGACCAGGGCGCAGCTGTTTTCAAACTGCGGCGACTTGCGGGTGTAGCGCGCGTCTGGCACAGCTTGACCCAGGCCAGGTTCCGCTTCCGATATAATACTTGGACTGCACACAGGCCACTTCTGCATGAGTCGTAACAGTTGCTTGAACTGAGCTCACCTGCACACAACCTTGGGGCACCCTAGCTCAGATGCTTGATATTATATAAAGCATCTGAACTACAGGTCCAATCAGACTTGACACAAAGCGCATTCAACTGTGGTAGGAATCTTGTTGGTCAATATCAATAGAGCCACCGCACTTTACTACATATCTGCTACTTGGTATAGAAGCACTGCTCAAGAGGACGCATGTGAAGGATCGCCGAACGTTCCTTTGTCTCTTTAGAATAGCTGCAGCATCAATCTTCATGTGAAATAACATTATAATCGGCGTAACGCTTTTGCGCGCAGACGGTACACGTCTGTGGCCCGCCTGTACAGTTTTCTCAACAAGGTGACCTGTGTCAGCCTGCGCGTCCAGATCGTAATGCCCACCACCTTCAACCTCCCTTTGACAAGGATGCCGACGGTGAAACTTTGCGACACTCACGCCCAAATTGTCCCATTTCTTCCACGGGAATGGTATGGACCCTTCAAGCGTGGAGTTTTGCATGTCCCGCATGGATGTTATCGAGATTCATGGGTTCATCCCCAGGCAATTCGTCATGACTGGCAGATAAAATGTGGTCGAACTCGGACTCGAGGCGAGCGGACGGCAAAGAAGGTACGAAGGCGTGCGACCGTTCACCTTTGTGGCAAGGCCCGACCAGGCATTCCACTCCGCCTCTTGTGAACTGGATGCGAATGATGGGCTTCTGTCAGGGTTGTTGTCATCCGGCTGCTATTCACGTGAATTGACTTGTGGGTGCACGCTTACCGCAACTCGCGTGATGTGGGTAGCTCTCTCTGCAGAGTAGTCATCTTCTTTTGAGAGAGTCTGTGTTGATCGTCGTCATGATTAAAGTGCAAGGATTGAGAAGCAGCAGAATTGATATCCCAAGGTTATTCCAGACAGCATCTAGCAAGGCGTTGTAGCTCCTGAAGAAAAGCTCTAGGAGAAGGAGCGATATCTTTGTGCATCTGAGGAGCCGAGCTAGAATATCCGCCGTATCTAATTTGAGGATCAACGATTGGAGCTACAAGCCATTGCGCTTGAGCTCCGAGTTTCTAGTCCCTTGACGCGTTCTAGTGTGGAAGAGGGCTTCGACTAGTCGTGATGAGCTGCCCTGTGGCAATCTCATGCTCAACACTACTTCTACTAACGGCTGCAAGCGAGTTTCACCAGGGACGTACCCAGACTTTCGAATGGGCTCTTCTCGAGAAAGCGGGGCTTGCGTGGCAACGCTTACGTGTAAGTGTACGTCGTGTGAATCATTCCCGTCAGTTCAATGACCTTCAATTTGGGTTATCGTGGGCTTGATGGGTCGTAACTTGAAACACCCTCATACGGAGCGAAGCTGAGCGTCAGCCAAAGGCGGAAGCCAGAGGACGGGAGACCAAGGAGTGCATGGAGGAGGAATTCATAGTAGGTTACGGGGCGGGACAGGGTGAGAGCGGGTAATGTACAAGCTTTGGTGTGGAGGTGGTGTCGGAGAGAGTGAGAGGTGCGACTAGGCTTTATAGAGACAGTCGGCAACCTCCACCCAGGCTCTTCGATTCGTGGAATGCTCTGACGACGTTGCAACTTGAGTCGCCTTCTATATTCGCGAAAAGAGCCTGGAGAGTGACATTGCGGGTTTCAATTCCAGGGCGAGAATAGAAGCAGGCAGCACCGTGCCGCGACTCTCGAACGCCCGTTTTGATTGCTGCTGCAGAGGACTGCTTTGCGTTTGTGCATGCGTGCGCGAGTCCGTGCCGATCAGCGAAGAGCGCGCCCCCTCTCATCTACGTCGCGAGCGAGTGAGTGGGTGAGCAAGTATCCGAATGGTTCAATGAATGCAGTCGGCTGAAGCGTTCCTCGCTTAGATGAGGTCCGCAACGTTGAGCGGCATCTCCTCGATCTGGGTCGAGTAGAACTTCTCAATGTCGCGCATCATTAGGACGTCGTCGCTAGTGACGAAGTTGATCGCGACACCCTTCCTACCGAAACGACCGCCTCGACCGATACGGTGGATGTAGTTCTCGCGGTTGCTTGGTAGGTCATAGTTGATGACGAGCGAGACCTGTTGCACGTCAATGCCGCGCGCGAGCAAGTCGGTCGTGATGAGCACACGCGACGAACCGGATCGGAACTCGCGCATGATGACGTCGCGCTGCGCCTGGTCCATGTCGCCGTGCATAGCCGAGACGGTGAACTCGCGTGAGGTGAGCTTGTCAGTGAGCCAGTCGACCTTTCTGCGCGTGTTGCAGAAGATGACCGCCTGTGTGATGGTGACCGTCTCGTACAGGTCGCACAGCGTGTCCAGCTTCCAGTCTTCCTTCTCAATTGCAACGTAGAACTGCTTGATACCTTCCAGCGTCAGCTCGTCCCGCTTGACAAGGATGCGCACAGGATCGCGCATGAACTTCTTCGTCACCTCCAGCACGTCCTGCGGCATGGTGGCAGAGAGCAGAACAACCTGAGTGTCCTGCGGCAAGCGCTGGAACACCTCGTACATCTGGTCCTTGAAACCCTTGCTTAGCATCTCGTCTGCCTCGTCGAGGCAGAAGAGCTTGAGGTGGTCAGTGCGGAAGGCGCGACGGTTGATCATGTCGTACACACGGCCTGGGGTACCGACGACAACGTGGCAGCCCTCCTGCAGCTTGGCCATGTCCTCACGGACATTGGTACCGCCAACGCAGGCATGGCAGTCGATGCTCATGTAGTCACCGAGCGCGATGACGACCTTCTGAATCTGAATCGCCAGCTCACGCGTCGGGGCGAGGATGAGTGCCTGCACGTTCTTGATCGACGGGTCGATGCGCTGCAGAATCGAGATGGAGAAGGTGGCGGTCTTGCCGGTACCGGACTGGGCCTGAGCAATGACATCGTTACCCTTGATGACGGGAACAATGGCACGGGCCTGGATAGCAGAGGGCTTCTCAAAACTGGACAGAGGAAAACATGCATGTCTCTGATCAGCATCTGTGTTGCGAGTTCCACAATTGCGCGACTGAAGACTCACCCGTAAGCGTAGACACCACGGAGAAGCTCGGGCTTCAATTCCATGTTGTCAAAGTTGTCGATGACCTGGTCCCAGTTGGACTCGATCTCGACACCCTCAAGCTGGAGGTCGTTACCCTCACCGCCGACGGCGGCAACATCCTCAGGCCTGGTGAAAATGTGAAGAAGACAATGGTCAGTATCGAGGCCCCATGCGCAAGAGAATGCAACAGTTGCACATTGAACAAGAATAAACCTGCAGCGCAGGCCCTTTGTGATCATGCTTCCGCCCAATGCGCAGCATTCACGCAGGCAAAGCCAACCCTATGGCTATGCAAGTCCAACCAGGGTCCAGAATGGTGGCGGCAGCACACGGAATGATTACGCCCTCCTGCCAGAAGCCTCAAATCACCTGTGCCTGATGGCCATCTACCGAACAAGCACTAGCAATAACTCACTTCGACATGATTGCTAGTGGTTTTTGAGACTTTCAGATTCGCTTCTTCTCCTGTACTCGGGAAGAAACGATACCTGAAAGGTAGAATGGCGTGTGAACGTAAAAAAGAGCTGAAGATTGAGCAAAGCGCAATCCAGCAGAAAGATGTATCAGTTTACCAACAAAACAGGTCCACAAAGACAGCGAAAACTCTTGGGAGCAAGACATGGGCTGTGCGCATCGCCACCGAACAGGAAGAACAGTGGATGGATCGCCCAGCAAAGCCAGTGTGGCCACTCGCATCCACCGTGTGCGCACCGGCGTCGACCCTCCCACCTTCGCGCGTATCCACGGCGCCCGCCCAGCTCCACTTCTTCCCAGCTGCAACATACCTTGTGAAAAGCGATGTTTGTGTTCAAAAAGGAACTCAATCCCTTGTATTAGAAGAGGAAGGGAGGGTCAAGGTGAAAGGAAGGGGATTGCAAGGAAGAAGAAGAAAGAGCAGGTGCTGTGCGCGTTGTTGTCCATCCACTTGCTCTTTCTCTCTCTTTCTCTCTTTGGCTTCTTTAGTGGAATTTCTCAGTGGGCAAAGAAAGACATGCTTGGAAAAAAATTTGTCCACACCCACACCCAACACCACACATCCCGACACTGGCGCAGTGCCACGCCGACCTACCCCTTGTGCGAAACGGCCGGGGGAGAGGGGTGGCGCGGAACTGAGGGGAAATACAACCCTAATCCTGGTAGGAATCGATCTCATCGTTGACCGAGAGAGCAACGTAGCATGGATCACGAGCTGGTCGGAGCCATGTACCTCCATCGGTACATGGCGCCGAGGTACGACGATTGCCAATGGAACACCGATGCTTACATCGCGCACATCACACGCTTGCAGGACAGCTCACGATCAAGGAGAACACACCCAGCAACAGCGCTGATCGCATCCGTACGGCGCGGACGCTTCCGAGCCCTCCTCAAGGCGAAGCGGCGCTCCGAGCTCCCGTATGCCCGCGGCGCCCGCTGGGGCCTCGCCTCATCTGCAGCGGTAGCAGGTAAAGCAACCGTCCGCTGGCTCCCCCAGTGTGGGCTGGCGTCTGCAGGGCATCGGAGAAGCCGGCATTAAAAGAAATACCCAGCGTGGATAAACCTGGATATCGCCCTACCCCCTTTTAGTAGTGACGGCCTGTAGCCCTTCTTTCCACCATGACTGCTCACCGTGCGCCATCCATACAAGGTGCTACCCGAGCACCAGCGCATGTCCCCGTGTCCGCAGCTCGTGCTTCTCCATCTGCCGACACGGCAGCAGCAGCAGCAGCAGCAGCAGCCGCGCAGCAAGATGCGCTCTCCGTCTTGCTCGTCACGGCCGGCTACGACCATACGATCCGCTTCTGGGAAGCGTGGTCCGGTATCTGCAGTCGCACGATACAGCACCCCGACTCGCAGGTGAATCGACTCGCCATCAGCCCGGACAAGCGATGGCTCGCAGCGGCGGGGATGGGCAAGGTGCGCTTGTATGATTGCAACATCACTGCACCGTCGCAACTGCCGGGAGGAGCAGGGCATGGAGCAGACGGCAGCGGGGCGCCAGGCGGTGCAGCCGGCCAAGCAGGCCTCGGAGCCGGTGGAAACGCAGGTACCGGCGGCGGAGCAGGAGCGGCAGGTGGACTACCCCCTGCTCCGGCACCTGCGGGACCAGGAAACACGAATGGCTCCCAAGCGATCCCAGGCCACTCAGGCGGCCAGCCAGTCGCGACGTTCGACGGGCACTCCGGCAACGTCACCTCCCTTGCCTGGCACGCCGATGCCAAGTGGCTTGCAACCGGCTCAGAAGACGGCACGCTGAAGATCTGGGATCTGCGCACCACCTCGCGCGCGCAGCGCTGGTACGACCACCACGCAGCGGTCAACGACGTCGTCGTGCATCCGAACCAGGGCGACGTCATCTCGTGTGACCAGGCCGGCAGCGTCAAGGTCTGGGACCTCGGGCAAAACGGATGCAGCCACGACCTCGTGCCAGAGGAGGACGTGCCTATCCGCTCCGTCAGCGTCGCAAGCGAGGGAAGCTGCCTTGTTGCCGGCAACCACCACGGCAACGTCTACGTGTGGCGCATCAACTCGGGCGTCGTCCCAGATCAGCAAGGCGCTGGAGGGCAGGGTTCGTTGCAAGCAGCCCCGGAAGGCTCCACTGCTGCAGATGGGCAGCCGCTCGTACCGCCACCGCCGGCGAATGCGAACCCAGGCGAAGAGTACACAGACTTGCAGCCCGTCACCACGTTCCGCGCGCACGAAAAGTACCTCACAAAGTGTTTGCTCAGTCCCGATGTCAGGTGTGCCGGCTCGTTCATCCTTCCTTTGGTCGTATCATCGCTAATGGTTTCCTCCCTGGGTGCACATGATGCGGCGCTTTTCTTACAGATACTTGGCAACATGCTCAGCAGACACGACGATCAAGATCTGGAACACATCCCGCTACGCGTTCACACTCGAAAAGACGCTTGTGGGGCATCAGCGATGGGTGTGGGACGCAGCGTTCTCAGCGGACAGTGCCTACCTCGTCAGCGCCAGCAGCGACCACGTCGCACGGCTCTGGGAGCTCAGCTCGGGCGAGACGGTCAGGCAGTACAACGGGCACAACAAGGCGCTCGTCACTGTCGCGCTCAACGATGCGCATTGGGTACCGTGAAGAGGTCAAGTCGTGCGGATTTTCTCATTTGTATTATAATGCAAGCAAGGTCTAACCACATTCACAGCGCCTGGGGAAATTGCGATGAACCTGCAACTGGCTGGCTCAGGCTACCCGCACTTGCCGTCGGCGTCCCTCCGCCCTGCTGTTCTTGCTGCCGCACGGGCGGCCTGAGCGAGCTCATGATGGCGCTCAACAGCTCCTGCAGTCCGCCCGCGCCTTTGGCATCGAGCCACTGTAGGAATGTGGCCCTGTAGTCTGTCCAGGCGACGCTCGCGGGGAAGCCGTGCCGAGTGCGTGCGGCTTTTAGCGACGCTTGCGAGATCGGCGGCCGGAGTGGTGCGCCGCTCCAGCCTCGCTCGCGCGCGAGCGAGAACATGTACTGCTCTGCTAGGCTGACAAACGCGAGCCCTTGAGTCAGCGAGCCGGTCATCAGCGCCGACTCACCGCGCTCTTCGCAGCGCTGCTTGAAGTTCGTGAAGAAGCGCCTGCGGGTACCGCACGGCACACCAGGCAAGCGTCAACGTCACAGAGCACGAACGCAACAACGGTTCCGCCTTGCACTCACTTGCCAAGTCCGACAGAAATGCCATTCTCCTCTTCAACCGTCGCGAAACCCTTGACTCTCCAGACGAGATCGGCGAGCACGACGACCATGCGGTTCAAGTCTTCTCGATTAGCTTCGTCAAAGTAAGCAGTCTCTGCCATCTTCAGCCTTCCCTCGCGGCTGTTGGCCGGCGCCCCACTCGCCACTGAGCCAGGCTGACTGCTTCCCTGCTGCTCTTGGGACTGTGGTTGCTGCTGCTGCTGCTCGAAGACTTCGTCCTGCGCAAACTCCCACACCTCAAAGTTGCGCCGCAGCGCCTGGGTGAGAGAGAAGAAGCGCGAAGGGCAGTAAATGGACGGGGAAAGGATGAGCAACATGGTGGCCGGCATAGAAGGCAGAACAGACGAGTGCAGACCGCTAAGCGGTCCGCTGAGCGTCGCGTATGCGTCTAGGACTGCTGCCTGTGCTTTAATGGACCTTGGTCGAGACTGGTGGCGGAGAAATGAATCCTACGATCAGTGGCTCCTCTTCCAACTGAAGCTGTGCGAGATGCTGCGCTGTGTAGCCTGCAACTCACTTGTAATACATTGCCAGCGAGGCGAGTCAAGAAGGCCCCGGTCAAATCAATCGACTCGAAGCACATCTCGCAGTGGCGCATGGGCGTGATGCCATAGCGGCTGCAGAAGCGACAGAGGAGTACAGGGATGTGCTGTCAGTAAGCCAGAGGCATTATATGTAGTCTGCACGTCGAGCGACCACCCACATCTTCAGCGCCCGGTTCTGGCTCTGCCGCAGGCCCGTTGCCCAGTCAAAGCGGGCCCACAGCTGTAGCATGTCCGTGAGCGACCTGAGGATCTGGATCTTGCACGAGAAAGGTGCACAAGGGGCCCTGAGAATGCTCTCGAGCGGTTGAAGAAGATTCTTGCTGATAGCTACGGGCGCAAGGCAAGCAAGTGAGCAAGACAGCGACAGTGACAAGGAACGTCAGCCAGGGCGTCCCCTGTAGGAGGCGCGCGTACGCACCCTCTGGTGCGTCGGGTTTGAGCAGCGCAACGAGCGGAAGCACCATTTCAAGCGGGACCGAGTCGAAAAAGCGGCGCGCGTGAACCTTGCTCTTGAGCATCTGTGCCGCTCCGCTCGCGAGCAGGGCGTACAGCCAGCGCGCGAGCGCGGGTGGCAGCTCGCCGGCGAGCGCGAAGAGCTCCTGCGTGCGCTCAACAAGCAACCCGACGTGCGGGGAGCCAGCCGCAGCTGAAGATGGCGCGGAGCGCGGTCCTAGGTCCTTTTGCGAGCGCATCTCGTCCTCGAAAGCGGAGACGAGCCACTCAGCAATGCAATCGTGCATCTCAACCTCGTCGTCGACGAGCACGGCAAGCCTGATAAGTCTGTTATTGAGCGCGGCGGCCATTTGCGAGGGCATCTGCAGGCGGTCGAGGGCCATGCCAAGTGAGCGGATCGACGGCAGCTCGGAGATGATCAGCGATGACGCATCGACGGAGATCACGGCACCGCTTGGGATCGTATAGCTGCCGCTGCCGCTGGCGTTGCCGGGCGCCGAGCCAACGAGCGAATCAGCAGCGCCAAGCAGGCCGGCCTTGGCAGCAGTGAGCTTGCGGCGCTTCGCAAGGCGCTCGCTCTCGCCAGCAGCTTGAGCATCATGCCCTGCTTGCTCCGGAAACGAAGGCTGCGGCTGTGGTAGCCCAAGCGGATGGCGATGTAGCTCGACAACGTGTACGAGCCACGCAAGGTCCGGATATCTGAGTCCCGGCGGGGGGACGCCGCCACCGGAGAGCAGGCCGAGGTTCATGCCTGCTCCTAGTGTGCCGCCGCCGCTTCCGCTACCTCGGGCGGCACCGACGAGGTCGGGGAAGAGCAAATCCGGGTAGAAGTTGCCAAAGACGGCGAGGAGGGAGGAGATGGCTGGCTCATCGGGGAATATGCTACGCAAAGCCAGACTATGTGGTGCATACGTGCACATGTGACGGGGTGCACGAACGTCAACGAAAGGGTTCTACTGCAACAGGATAGGACATGAGAGGGGGGGTGCGAAAGCTCACAGGCCGGCGACGCGGTAGTTCTTGACGTGCTTGCGCCGCGCGATTTTGCAGAGCAGGTAGCACAGATGCGGTCTGCGCGGCAGTCAAAGAACAGGTTCCTCAGCGGCCGGACGCCACCCAGCACGGGTGGGACAGGATTTGACGCGATACATACCGCAGTGTCTGGTACTCGAGAAAGTGGAACAGAACGCCGTAAGACCGATCAAGCATCCTTTTTGCTGCGACGCTGAGGAACGATGAGGGTAGCTCGCAGTGCGCTTTGCGTGCCGCATCGAGTGGGTCAGCCGCTTGGCTCCCCAGCGAGGACACCGCGGCGTGCTCGGATGCGGCGTGCTCGATGGAGATGGCGGGTATGTCGAGCAGGAGGATGAGCAGCTTGAGCGCCAGCGCCTAGGATTCACCGCCTTAGTCAGTACTGCGTGGGCAGACCTAATGGATGGCGCGCACTTACCTGCACGCGAAGGTGTACATGCCTGCGCAACGGCTTGCCGGCTTTTTTCTTCATATCCCGATGCCTGCTTGCATCCATATCCCCATCCGGCTCCTCCTCTGCTTCTTCTTCCTCTTCGCCCTCCTCCTGTGCATCCTGCGCCGGCAAGCCCGAGCTACCACCAGCCTTCTGGCCGTTGGCCCTCGGGTCCTCGAGCGCGCCCGGCGCGGGGCCGAGCGCGCCGAGGATGTCAAGCACGAGCTCCTTGCCGTACTCGGAGCCGGGGCGCGGGACGATGAGCTTGAGGAGGCTCGAGCCGAGCGCGATGGACGGCACGGCGGGCGTGCGCGCGAGCGTGTCCGCCCGCATCCCTCGCGCTTTCCCTTTGCGAGCACTATCGTCGTCGTCGCCGGCATCGGCTGGCGCAGCGAGCGCGGCTTTGATGCTGAGGCCGAGCGCCATGCGCACACACGCGTGCGCCTGCCGCTCGTTGAGGCCGTAGATGTGACTAAGCTCCTTGAGCTCCTGCAAGCGCTCGTTCGCCAGCGCCTTGACCCTGTCGCCGCCGTTGCCTCCTTCTCGTCCTGCTGCTGCCGCGGCGGCGGCGAGGGAGCGATTCAAGCTGCTGGCGGGTGCGAACGCACCGACAGGGTCGGCGAGCTCGGCGCCGATGTGGCGTATACGCGCGTTGATGAGCGCGTTTGCGCGCGAGGGCGTGAGGCCGTACAGCCTTGGCGGCTCGCTGCTGCTGCTGCTGCCATCTTCGCGGCGTCCTACACCTGCGCCGGCACGTGTGGAGGGTGGCGATGGGGAGCGGAACAGCGGCCCGGAGGTCATGATGAGGGTGTGGCTTCGGACGGCGTGGAGGGGCAGATCACACGCTACAGTTCAGGGGGGAAGGGGGCTTGGATTGTCGCTTCTGCCTTCATCACAAGAGGACGGCAGGCTTGACGGCTGCCGAGCGCACCAAGCAAGCATGCATTGTGATTTTTACACGTGTGTTAATGTACGGGGGGAGAACAACACCTATCCAGCTCGTGATGGTTGTGATAGGCGCCGCAGGGACTCCCACTGGTGTCTCTCCCCGTCCCCCATTATATAATCGCCATTTATCCGCGACTATTGTATGTAGTATCTATACTTTGCTCTCCCTCTTGGCAGCAGGTGCCGCCTGCCTGCAGCAGAGAGCGAGGGGTGTATTGCTGCCGGCACCCCGTGCACATGCGAGGCCGTCTGTCGAGTTGTGATCCAAATACGAATGCAGGTAAGTCATGATGAGTGAGAGGCAACGGAAGGAGAATTGCCGCTATTACCGAGGGAGAGGGTTTGAGATGGGGAGATGCGCGTGGCGTATACGAAGGATCCCATGTAGAAGTTCAGCACACATCGGACACACCCCTGAGCAGAGCACAACTTCCCCCCCCCCATCCATCCATTATCTCCATCTATCAACTCCATCCTGCTTACCGCTCCCCGCAGGATCCAGCTGGACGGGAGGTACCGCCATCCATCCTCCGCCGCCCCATACACACAGCCCGCTTGCCATTCGCGCAGAGCCACTCGCCGCCAGGGGGGACAACGAAAATAAGAAGTGTGAGGCGAGGTGAAGCGAGGCATCTGGCATCTTCACCTACTCCTACTCCTGCAGCCCTGCGATCTACAACTCGTCCATCTATACGCCCAACCCCCTTTCCTTTCTTTCTTTCCTTAAACGTGCAGACAGAGACACCCAAATCGGTCGACATCCGCCTCTCTCACGCTGCCCACCATGGTGAGTCCATGCCACGGTGCCAGACGCGCCTTGACCTCGATTATCAGCAGCAGCGCACTGACGTGGCCCCCTCCTCGCGTGTCCCTGAGCAGCCGAATCTGCTCCCCACTCGCTCGCGCTCGCCTTTGCTATCCCCTCGACGCAGCAACAAGGACCTGCCCCCGCTACAGCAACCGGCAAAGAGCTCCTGCGCACCCGATGGCCGCTCGCCGTGCAGCGCCGGGCCTTCGTCGGCGCCAGCGTCCCCCTCCTTTTCGCAGGTCAGCTCGAGCGCCGCGTCCGGATCCCGCTCCTCCTCGGGTGTAACGGCCAGCTCCCGTGAGAGTGACTTGTGGACCACCTCGTCCGGTTCCTCGGCGCGCGGCGCCCCAGGCACCACGACCGCCGCGGCGATCGCGTCCGGCGCCAGCCTGTCCGACCAGTACGAGCTACTCGAGAAGCTCGGCACGGGCTCCTTCGGCACCGTATACCGCGGCATGCACAAGGAGACCAAACAGATTGTTGCCATCAAGCAGATCGACCTCGAGGACAGCGACGATGACATTAGCGAGATTCAGATGGAGATCGCGCACCTTGCGCAGTGCGACAGCGAGTACGTCACCAAGTACTACGGCAGCTTCGTCAAGGGCTACAAGCTCTGGATCATCATGGAGTACCTCGCCGGAGGTAGTTGCCTCGACCTGCTCAAGGCCGGGCCGTTCCACGAGAGCCACATCGCGATCATATGCCGCGAGCTTCTGCTCGGCCTCGAGTACCTGCACAACGAGGGCAAGATCCACCGTGACATCAAGGCCGCCAACGTCCTCCTCTCCGCGTCGGGCCGCGTCAAGCTCGCCGACTTCGGTGTCGCGGCGCAACTTAGCAGCAACAAGTCGCGACGCAACACGTTTGTCGGCACGCCCTTCTGGATGGCCCCCGAGGTCATCCGCCAGGCCGGCTACGACTGCAAGGCCGACTTGTGGTCCCTAGGCATCACCGCCATCGAGATGGCCAAGGGCGAGCCGCCACTGTCCGAGTACCACCCGATGCGCGTGCTCTTCCTCATCCCCAAGGCGAAGTCACCGACGCTCGAAGGCAGCTTCAGCGCGCACTTTAAGGACTTTGTCGACCTGTGCCTGATCAAGGACCCCAAGCACCGCCCGACGACCAAGGAGCTGCTCAGCCACCGTTTCATCAAGGGTGCCAAGAAGACGTCATCGCTCATGGAGCTCATCGAGCGCCACCAGGACTGGAAGGCCCGCCGTGCCAACCGCGGCGGCCAGATCGCGCGCGACCGCATGCAGCAGCACGACATGAGCCAGAGCGACGGCGCCAGCACGCTCAACGGCACCGTCACTTCAGCCTGGCAGTTTGATACCATGCGCAGCAACCGCTCATCGCTTCTATACCACAAGCAGCACGATGTGCAGGATGACGCGGACGAGGAGGCACAAGCTGAGCGCGAGCTCGCAGACTGGAAAGCATCCATCCACGCCACCCAGGTCAACAACGGCAGCGGGCACAAGGAGACCGATGCCGGCTACGGCACCGTGCGTGGGCCGGACCACCCGGCCAAGTCGTTGGCCAATGCCGTCGCCGCGTCCCCGTCCGTGTCGTCGATGGAGCCTTCCTCGTCGTCGTCCTCCGTCTCGTCGTCCTCCGCTGCGTCGTCCTCGGCGGCGGCGGACAATGTGCGCCCTGAGTCACCCGCGACCCCTAAGCGCCGCAGCACGGGCAAGGGCTCACTCGCAGCCGTCAACCTGCGCGACTCGGAGCGCCTGCGTGCGTCCAGCAGTCGCGACAGCATCGACACAGCCGCCACATCTGTCGCGTCCGCATCTGTCTCTGTATTGGAAGCAGCAGCAGACAAGGAGCCCGCGGCGCATGTCGACAGCCCGCACATCGATGCACTCCGAGATACGTTCCGCCAACGCAGAGGCGGAGGGCTGCCGGCTGCGTCCGGCGATGCGACTAACCAACAGCAGCATTGGGTTGGCGGAAAACTCGCGCCGCCACTAGATGTCGATTCAGGCGCGGCAGCGTTGAAAAATCGAAGCAGCGCCGATGTCACCGCCGGCGCCTCGTCGTCCTCTACAGCAGCAGCGCTGCGCAGCGCCTCACCATTCAACACTACGCGCCGCAGCAGCTGGAACGAGCGCAACGACATCAACGGCACCATCCTGCGCCAAGGGGACGTTGCGAGTGGGCACGATACGATCCGCCCCGTCAAGCGGCTTGACGCAGGCGGCAGCGCGCGCATCAGCGCCGAATTCATCGGCGGCATCCGACGGACGCCGTCGAACGGCAACTTGCAGGACACGCCGCCTCCGCCGCATGTGCGTGGGCATCTACGCAAAGGCAGCAGAGGCAGCAGCGGCAGCGGGCACATTATCGGTGCGGCGGACGAGGCGCAAGCGGGCCGTGCGCTCGTCCAGGAGGTCGTCTTACCTGTCATGGAGCGGGCGCGCAGGGACGAGATGGACGCGCGCGAGATCGAGGCACTCGATATGATTACGCGCGGGTTTGAGGACCTCAGCGACATCAACCCGAAATTGGCGTACCAGACGATCGTCGATTTGTTGCTCAGCATGAACGAGTGAGTGCTTGCGCCATGCTTGACAATTCAGCGAGTGAGGGAAGGTGTCCTTGAGGAGTGGTACTCACGCGTTCTTCCCCGTGGACCCCTTTTCACAACAGTAATGAAGCAGCGAGAGACAACCTCTCCACCACCTTCCGCAACAGGCTTGGCAATGGCCGGCCTTCGCTCGCAAACGTCAGTGAGAGCCCATCCGAAAACTCTAACGAGGCTGCGTCGGCGTATCGGTCACCCATTGCAGACCTACTCTATGGCCGCTGGCTCGAGGGTCTGCGAGGGCGATGGCTGTGAAGAGTTTTTGCCTTCCCCATAACCAACATCTTGTCGCCTGCCCGCTGTGTAATTTTTTGTCTACATCAAGTCGCTTCTGCCTTCCTCATTCTGCTTGGATAATGTTGATCATAACTTAAATGTACTGTAACTTGCTCTTCATATTCGATACCATTATCATCATCGCAATCGTATTGCCATTACACAAAGCGTGTAATGTGTACATTTGAGCGAGAGTAGAAACGCCTTGGCATCGTCGATTCTAGAGTTACGCGCCGTCCTCATCAATCAGAGGTCGACCTCGATCTTTTCGACTTTGCATTCAAGCGTACGCAGGTTGACTAGCGCCACCTCGCCCGTCTCGCAGAACCGAGGAAGGAGCACGACGCGCGTCGGTCGCGCCTCACTCTTTTCCATTGCCGCTGCGAAACGATGGGGGTATAGTCAGCGAGCAGTCAGAGCTGCACGTACAGGCAATCCGCAGAACTCACGTGCGTAAAGGCCGGTGGCGAAACGAGGCTGGTTTCCGATAAAGTAGATATCCGGACGTTCCAACAGCAAAAAAGGGTCGCGGTCAGTAAAAGGGATACACCCTGAGAAACAGCAGCAGTGACGACGGTAGAATGTGAGAACAGTAGAAATCAGCCTGCAGAACTTCACCACGAGTTTTCTGTGCAATCACTCACAAAGTGTGTCTGGGGCGGTGGGTGCGACATGGCCCCATCGAAGTGTCTGGAACGCCATCCTGAGCCGCGAGTCCTGCCCTTCTTCCATGTACTTGAAGATGTCGTCGATGTTCTGGCCGGATGTGCCTAGGAGTCTGAGTTGCCACAAGGAATGCATTAACCTCATCGGATCCAAGCACGCAGTCGCACTTCTCCACTCACTTCTTTCCACCCAGGCCAAACCATGCCGGGTTCGTCTCGCGCTTCAGCAGACTCCATCTCGCACTCTTAGGCAGCAGGGCATGGTGGATCGGCTGCTGCGGCAGGACAACTGGCGCTGGATCCTTTTCGCCTGGCAGGAGATGCACGCGCATCGTAGCGGCCATGTCTGACAGGTATGTGTCGAAGATCTTGGGTGGTGTTGGTGCTTCTGTCAGCGGTTTCGAGGCTGCGAGTGCTTTGCGCTGTCATTTTTTGAATCAGTTTCAACTTGTGGGAACGGATGTTCATAACGACAGGGAAGCCATGATACTCACAGTGCCGCGCTTCTCGTCATCCGATCGAACTGGCTCAGCAAGCGAATTGCCAGCCAAAATTAAGCTGACGATGTTCCTGCTCTCCTTGCGATCTTCATCCTCGCCCAGTTGCCCCGAGAGCCACTCGGAGAGCATGAGTAGCCTGAGCTCCGAATCAGGTCGCAGCGACGTGCCTTCGCCATTTGCATCTGCGTCTGGCTCTCCAGCGACTTGTTCATCCGCTCCGACCTCCAAGCCGCTAACAAGTGCGATCCACTGGTCATCCGACACATGGATGTCCGCGAGCATCTCGGTGTTCTGCTCTTCCTCCGACGGCGCGTTCAAAGCACTGCTGCCATCTGGAAAAACTATGTCCGCGGTTTCAAAATCGCCGTTCTTGGTCTCTGTGCCAAGCACACCGATGACGACGCCGGTGACAATCTGGTTGCGCAGATTGGCACCACCCCGCGAGTATGGAAGGAGCGCCTGGCCTGTCAATCGCACACGGCCGGATTCGTCTTCTAGAAATATCTCGTCCTTGTCCGCGTCAAAGTATTTCGTTCGAACCGGCTGCGGTGGTAGCCATTGCTGTGTGAGGAAAAGAGGGCACAGTGAAGACATTTAGCATTGTAAAAAACCAAGAGACAGCGATCAAGCGCGCGGTCAACGAACATCTCGGGTCAGATCCTCCAGCACGTCTGGCTTGAGCAGCATGCTGCAGTAGACCGTCCCGATGATGTAGCACACATCCCCCTGCTGCACGTCCAACACGCGCGAAACGAATTTTGCATGTGCCTGCTCTCTCAGCGAGGAGCTCGGCCCTTGCGAGTCTCCATCTTCATCTTTATCGACCTCCATGCTTTCTTGACTTGCTTTCGCTTTCCCCTTGACGTCCGCGCTACGATTTGTGCCGGCTTGATGGCTAGCCGTCGTCGTGCCCTGGCTTTCCCACCGTGCCTGGGCGAATGCGCGGACTTTCTTTCGCAGCATGCGCAGCCGGAAATCGTACAGAGGAGCGAATTGGGCCTTGTACAGCCTAGCGCCCATCGGACTGACGAGGGGTCCGGATAAGGATGGCAGAGCATCGTGTGCGACAGCGGGACGATCGAGGATCGCAGTCGGATCGGCTGACGCGCCGTTCGCTGCCATCGTGGGTTCTTCGGGCCTTGTGTGCTTCTCGACAGAGGCTTACACCTTGAGCCGCTCGACCACCCCTTTGAGCACTTCAGAAGGATGCCTTGCCAATGTCGAAGTACAAGTGCACACCACATTGACGGTTCCAGGTGAAATATGGCAGGGCTGCCGAACACGCCGCGTTGACCCCTCCGCCGCACACGTGACGCGCCGCGCTTTTCTGGGTCCCGGCCGAGAGATGGTCCCTCATACCAGTCGATGGCACCAATGAATTTCTCAGATGGCTGCACTCATAGATGGCAGCATGTGCTTGCTTACGTGGATAAGATATATTTGGAAGTGGCAGAACAAGTGAACAGAATAGCTACTTTGTGCATTACCGCTGCCGATCCCTACCGCCGCCGCCGCCGCCGCCATCCCTCCTCTCCTGCCTTCGCACCTCGGTCTGATGCCTCTTCCTCGCCAGCTCCTCCCTCAGCATGTCCATCTCTTCCCGGCTCGTGTCATTGACCGTGCCGCCATTGCGCGCCGCATGCACCCGCGCTTGCGCCTCATCGTACCGCCGCGCGATCTCTGCTTCCGTCAGGCCTTCTAGCTCCGCCGGGTCAAGCGCGACGTCGATGCCGTTTGCATGTGCTTTTCGCTGCGGACGGAAGACGTAGAGTGTCAAAAGCCGCATTTCAAATTCAAGAGAGTCACAGCTTTCCGACTTGCTCACCTTTGTACCCTTGTCTTCCTGGCCAAGTATTGGTGCAGCGCCAGAAGCAGAGGCCCCAGTGCCCACTCCAGCACCATAGACATCGTAACCCCTCTCGCTGCCCATGATCCCCCGAATAGCGGTCTGGCTCTCTGGGATGACCTGGTAGAGTTGCTTTGGCCCACCAAGGGCTGCCCCTGGCGGCGGTGGTGGTGGCCCGCCAGGTGCACGCCCCGCTGCTGCACGCTGGTCCTTCCGTAGCTCGATGAAAGCTGGCGTCTCCAAGCCAGGTGGGATGGTCGAATTGACCGACTCCATGCCGGACGGTGTCACCAAGCCGTCGAATGGCGCTTGCCCCCGGTCCTCAGAGTCTTCCTCGGTCTGGTCCTCTTGCTCATCTTGTTCCTCCTCCTCTTCTTCTTCCTCCTCTTCCTCCGCATCCTCTTCTGGCTCCAGCTCGCCCCAGATCTCCTTTTGCACGTCCTGCTCGAATTGGTCCGTGTTCGGCAAGCCATTTGACAAACCTGATCCGTCGCCAAAGACATCTCCATACAGAGGCCGCCCAAACGCATCCACCGGCGGCTGGCCCCAACCGCCTTGATGGAAGCCAAACTGCGCACCAGGAGGGATGGGCGTATTGAGCCCCGGAATCTTTAGGTGCGGGTACGATGGCGGCGGGCCGTACCGCTGCATCGCGATCAGCCATGGCGGTGGTGCGAGCGGCGGGATGGAGAGAGCCTCTTTAAGTTCGTCACTGAGATCTCCCGGTCGTCGCTCTTTGAACTTGGTCTCGAACTCTTTTCCTTCGTAGTAGATCTCGCCGTAGTTCGACATGGGCGGCTTGGTCTGGAAGCGGAAGAAGGCGTCGTGAAGCTTTTGGTAGTCGATATCGACTTTCCCCATCTTCGGCTGCACTCTTCCACGCGTTTGGGCCTTGAGTGTTTGGTCTGCCTCTCGTTCTCGCAGCGCGTCCTTGATGGTCGCGATACCCGTGTCGGCAATGTACGAAGGCAGTTGGAACGGCGGCTTCTCGATGCCGCGCTTGTTGCCTAGGTAGTCACGCTTCAGCGACCAGTGTGCTGGGACGGGCACAGTATTGCGGTAGGATTTGACGTGCACCAGCAGCCGTGGGTCGTTGGCGGTCACATCGACTCCTTCCACTACGTCTGGTTTCGCGACGAGTTGCTTTAGCTCGGCGACCGTCAATCGCTGAATTTTCTTTTGCTTCTTTTTCGATAGCGGCTTGTTTGCATTTTCGTGCTCTCGATCTGAGTCGTCTTCGTCAGAAAGATCCTCTTCGTCCGAATAGATGACCTGGCCTTTCCCTGATGGCTCGGTTCCCTGCTCCTCAGGTGTGTCTTCCGAAGCTTGTGCAAATCGTTGCAGGATGCTGCCAAAGTGCTTCCGCATTTCTTCATCCATCTCCGGGGCATCAAGTATTGAGGCTGGTGCATCTGGTTCAGCAGTATCTGCAACGGCTGAGTCACCTTCCTGAGCATCGGCCTCGCCGATTTTCTGGCTCGGTGCGGCTGCAGCTGAAGATGTTGCTGTGGCATGGCCAGCACCAGCAGCCTTCTCTTCCTTCTTTTTGGCCCTGCGGCGAGCGGCTTTGCCGAGCTTGGCGCCATTTGCATTCTTTAAACTGCCGTTCGCAGTAGCTGCATGGATTCCCGCATTCCCATTGGGAAGTGGGTTCTTGCTGCTGGAGGCTACTGCCGACATCTTTGCGTGAGGCCGTGCGCGGGCAGGCGGGCTGCACGACGGATTACTCTCCTCTTGCGTGCGCACGAAGCGGTCTCTATCCGCAGCTCAGTCTGGGCGACAGCTCGTTGTGCTGGCTACAATGCTACTGCACGATGCTGCTGCTTTCTGCGGCTGGATGAGTGCTACTTTCAGGGCTTACGCTAGGTATATATATATATATATATACTCATGACGCAGCTAGTATTTGACCAGGCCAACATATTGACTGTATGCCCGCCAGCACACACTGCCAGTGGTCGCCACTCCCATCACACCACTCGCCAAATTTTCGCGCGGCCCTTCTGACCTTCTCAGCATACTTTTCTCTTTCGTCCTCTTCCTTGCTTCTTTCCCGACCACTCCTCACCAAGTCCTTGCCCCGGCTCACCGACAAAGGCCTTCTCTGCTCAGTTCGACAGACGGACAGAGTGTCTTCAGCGTACATCAGCCGCAGTCAATCGCCCTGATCGCAAAAGAAGCACTTTGCAGACGGCCGATCTCCCACCCCTCTCCAGTGACCATCTTTGCCCAACAAGGACTTTCTTTGACTTCATCGCCCCGAAGCCTACAGGCAAAGTACGCGAGCAAACACGACCTTCAAGGATCAAAGTAAAACAAACGAAAGCCAATATGCCGCCCGTTGCGAGACCCGACACGGTGCTCAAGGTGAGAAGCGCGTCTTCTGAGCGTTCTGGCGGCACGCTCGCTTGATAAGAACCCACTGACATTTCCATACCACGATGTATTCGACAGCGCGCCGAGGAGCTGATTGGCGTCGGCCAGTCGCAGGCTGCGCTGCAAGCACTTCACGACATTTTCACCTCGCGTCGCTTCAAGCAGACGCCGCTCTCCTCGCTCGAGCCTATCGTCCTGCGCTTCATCGACCTCTGCGTTGAGCTTAAGCGCGGTCGCACCGCCAAGGATGGCCTCGTTCAGTACAAGAATGCCTCGCAGAACTCTAACCCTGCTAGCATCGAGCTCGTCATCAATCACTTCCTCAAGCTCGCCAACCAAAAGGTCGTCGAGGCGCAAGAGAAGGCCAACCACGTCACCGGCGGCGCGTTGACGCAGGATGACGCTGCTGCCGGTGAAGGCGGCGAAGCAGCCGCCGAGGCTGAGGTCGACGATCTCGAGGAGAGCGAGACGCCTGAGTCAATGTTGCTTGGGTCTGTCAGTGTGGAGGAGAGCAAGGACCGTACGGACCGCGTGCTCGTCACGCCTTGGCTCAAGTTCCTCTGGGAGGCCTACCGCACTGCCCTCGACATTCTCAAGAACAATGCTCGTCTCGAGCTGCCGTACCAGCAGGTCGCTCACCAGGCCTTGAAGTTCTGCTTGACCTACCAGCGCAAGACGGAGTTCAGGCGTCTATGCGAGCTCATGCGCAACCACTTGCAAAACGTGTCTCGCTTCGGACAACACAACAATGCCATTAACCTCACTGATGCTGACACGCTCCAGCGCCACCTCGACACCCGCTTCGCCCAACTCAACAGCGCAGTCGAGCTTGAGCTTTGGCAGGAGGCCTTCCGCAGCGTCGAAGACGTCCATAATTTGCTCACCACCGCCAAAAAGGCGCCCCGGCCGACGATGATGGCAAACTACTACGAGAAGCTCGCACGCATCTTCCTCGTCAGCGACAATGCCCTCTTCCACGCCGCCGCTTGGAACAGGTACTACAGTCTGGCCAGGCTCAGCGGCAAGTCGGACGACGAGCAGGCCAAGATCGCGTCGTACGTCTTGCTCAGCGCCCTCGCTGTGCCTGTCATCTCAAGCAGTGCGCCCGGCACTGGCAACCTCAACCGCGTGAAGACCGACTTTTTGCAAGGGGATGTTGAGGGGCGGTCTCGCACCGGCCGTCTGACGGCGCTGCTCGGTCTTCAGCGCACGCCTACGCGCGCTGGCTTGCTGAAGGAGGCGCTCATGCGCAACGTCCTCAAGAAGGCGCTACCGGAGATCCGCGAGCTGTACCACATGCTCGAAGTCGAGTTCCACCCACTTAGCATCTGCGCCAAGATACAGCCGATCATCGCCAAGCTCGCCGCAGACCAAAGCGGAATGGGTCGCTACGTCAAGCAGCTCCACTCGGTCATCCTCACCCGGCTCTTCCAGCAGCTCAGCCAGGTGTACGACAAGGTCAAGCTTACCAAGGTCATGGACCTTGTCTCTCCCTTTGAGGCACCGTACAACTACACGGCGGCCGATATTGAACGATTCGCTCTCAACGCCTGCAAGCGCGGCCATCTAAACATCAGCATCGACCACCTCGAAAAGGCCATTACGTTCCAGGACGACGTTTTCCAGACCGACTTGCACCCCTCTTCGCAGCCCAGCGCCAGCGGAGGCTCCTCCTTCTCGGCCAACGCGGCCATTGAGGCGGACAGCGTCCGCCTGCAGAGCACGCCGTCGGAGCTGGTTCGCACGCAGCTCCAGCGCCTTGCGTACACACTCGATACGACTATCAAGGTCATTGATCCCACCATCGTTGAAATCGCCACCAGGGCCAAGCGTGAGGCCTTCGCACACGCCATCGCCGTCGCGGACCAGGAGCACCGCGCTGCCGTCGCGCGCAAGGCCATCCTCGCGCGCAGGAAGGAGCTGCTGACCGAAAAGGCCGCTGCGCGTGAGAAGGACGAGGCAGTCGCCCGCGCCGAGCGCGCCAGGGCCGCGGCCGAGGCCGAGCGTAAGCGCATTGAAGAGGAGAACCGCCGCCGTGAGCAGGAGCGCATCAAGAAGGAGCTCGAGGCCGTGCGCGTCGAAGAAGCGCGCAAGATGGCACAGAATCTCAAGGAGCGCGGCGGTCTCAAGCTTGAAGACGCCGAGATTGCCAACCTGGATACGGACCAGCTCGTGCAGATGCAGGTCGAACAGATTGAAAAGGAGAAGCGCGATCTCAACGAGCGTCTGCGTGTCATCCATCGTCGTATGGATCACATAGAACGTGCCTACCGTCGCGAGGAGATTCCCTTGCTCGGCGAGGACTACGAGCGCCAAAAAGCCGTGGACCTGCAGTTCTACAACGCCTCGCACACGACACTGCTGCAGGCCGCCAAGGAGAAGCACGAGCACGACGTCGAGGTCAAGAAGCGCCTGATTAAGATCCTACCCGACTACAAGGTCCTTCGCGCAGAGCTCGAGGAAAAGCGGAAGGAGGAGATCAGCCAGAAGAAGGCAAAGGCGCAGAAGATGATCGAGAAGGAGAAGGCAAAGAGGAAGGCGGCTGCCATCCAGGCTCGCAAGGACGAGATTGCGCGCGCCGAAGAGGAGGAGCGGCTCCGCGTCCTGGAGGAGGAGCGTGAGCGCAAGCGTGCAGAGGGTGAGTTCTCGCTTGTTCAAGCTATTGGTATGCTGGCAAGATTGCTAAACTTGTTCGCTTGTTGTGGTCTGCAGAGGAAGCTCGGCGCGAAGAAGAACGCAAGGCAGAGGCTGCTCAGAAGGCCGAAGCCGAGGCGGCAAGACGGGCCGAGCGCGAGGCCGAGCGCCGAAAGCTGGACGAGATTGCCGAAAAGCAGCGCCAGAGGGAGCGCGAGGCGGAAGAGCGATTGTTGGCCAAGCGCGAAGAGGAACGGCGTCGCGGCGCTGGCAGCGGCTCCAGCACTCCAAGCACTGGCGGCGCGTGGCGACCAACGCGGGCTTCAGCGACGGCCACGCCGGATTCACGAGATGAGCCATCAGCTGGCCCACCGCTGTTCGGCAATGGTGGCGGTTGGAGAGAAAAGGCTGCGGCAAAGGCTCAGCAAGGTGGCACATCAACCCCTGCGACCAATGGCTCTTCCACGCCCCCAAGAGTGTCGGCGGACAGCAGTCCGGTGCCGACTGGGCGCACATCCGCAGCAGGTGCTCCCGACGCAGCGTCTAAGCCTAGCGTCTACCGCCCGGGCGCGTTCGCAGCCCGTAAACTTGGCTCAGGCCCCTCTTGGCGCGAAAGGGAGGCTGCCAAGCAACAGGCCGACAGCAAGTAGACGTCGAGGCGCGCTCTGCTCCGATTCTTCTTATGCACCGATCCCACAAAAGTGTCCAGACGACGACATCCATACAGTTCTGTACTCCAGCATGTTCCCTTCCAATAACTATGCCTGCTTGAGAAATTATTTGCTTTCCATTCCATGATGCTGCTAGTACAAGTGATGAACAGTAGTGTTCGAGGTTGCAATTTCAGATACGAGCAGATGCTATGCAATTCCCGACGTTAGCATTCGATCCTTTGCCCTTGCTCTGCCAGTTCGATTCTTAGTCCAAGTTGCAGCTCGCTTTCATTCTCTCTCAGCTCTTCGAGTATACGGTGCTGCATGCTGCGCGGGTCGATGATCCTCGGGCCGACATTCACACTGGCACCCGAGGCGGCACTACGTCGCCTCTCAGCAGCCGCGTCTTCTCCGTTTGCCGAAGGAGCGGGCGCTTGGAAGGATGGGAACAGAGCAGTCTTGATGTGGATGACGACAACGGAGAGCCCTTCCAGGATGCCCTTGAGCTCCTCGTCCGTCGCTTGCATCTGTGCGCGCGCGGCGCTAGCACTCGGTGGGATGGGCGCCATGTCGTTGACAAGGCTGTTGGACCCTAGCTCCTGCTCGGCCTGCGGATCGAGCGAGTTGCCGAGTCCGTTCGTGCCGCGGTACGCAGCGGTCTGCTCGAGCAGCCGCATTCGCTGCCAGGCCGACTCGAGCTTCTTGCGCTCGACGAGCACACAGCGTGCCAGCGCACGCATCTCGTCGAAGAGGTGGTTGACAGAGAGATGACCGTAGAGGAATTTTGTCGGATGCGATGCCTTCAGGTAAACACACAGTCCGCAAGGGTTAGCGAACCAGCGCAGGCAGGTAGGCTCCCACCTTGTCCCTCGAGCAACTCACAGGAAAAGAGCACTCCAGGAAGATGGTGTTCAGCACTCCCTGTACAAATTTGGCAGCGGCGTGCCTCCACACCTCCATGTTGCGAGGATACTTGCTGATACTGTCTGGTTCAACATCGCCAAAGAACAGCACCTCCTTGCCAGTCCGGTGATTCTTGATGAAGAATGCTGTACTGTCCAACGATGGCGGCGAGATTTGGCGCGCTTGCGCTTGAGACTGCGCTTGTGCCTGTAACTGCGGCTGCATAGCCGTCGTAGGCCCTGTCCCCGTGCTTGCTGTGCCGGCTGTAGACCCTACGTTGAACTTTGGGCTGGAGGCTCCCGAGTCGGACAAGCCGCTTGGCTTGCAGGATGAACTGCTGAGAGCAGGCGAGCCCGAACCACCAGGAGCATCGCCGCCACCTCTCAATGCCGGTCCTGCTTCCGAACCAGCATTGCCTCCGGAGGTCGCGCTCGGATGGGTCGGGCCGACATGCAGCGAAGAATGCTCGAACGTCTGCTGCCGCCGCCGCGCAGCTGCGACTTCGGACCCAGCCGCGGTGCGTGGCCGTCGCGACACCTTGCGCAGTGGCTGCGCACCAAGACTGACACCCAGGCGCTGACTCATCTTTTCCGAGAGAGCCGACGTGTGCAGCTGCTGCGGTTGCTCTTGCTGCGCTTGGACGGGCGGAATATATGTCGATGTTGATGTTGATGCTGCTGCCGCGGCTTGTGCGCTTTCGGCGGCGCCAAGCTGCTTGCCTTCGTCGTCAGCCACAGCAGCGCCAGGCGAGATTAGGCTCGTCTTCCTCTTGCCTCCATCTGCCTGCTGCAGAACAAAGTCTGCACCAGCGCCATTCCCAGCTGAGGTCCCCACCGCTTTGCCCTGCGCACTTCCGCTCCCTCCACTACCACTACCGTCACCACTGCTGCCGCTGCTGCGCCCTTGGCGAGCAGAGCTCCCACTTGTCCCTGACGCGCGCTTGAGCCACGTGCCTTCCTCAGCCGGCGCGAACGGGCTGGTGAAGAAGAGCTTCTCACCCGGCGAAGTCGGTCTTGCTTGCAACGCTGTGCTGGCCCCCGATGCCGACGTCGAGGCGGAGGCAAGGGGATAGTGCAGCACGGCATTGGACAGTGGCAGGCTGTAGCGCTTCGTTGCCCTGCCGGCGTGGCCACCTGTGCCGAACGCCAGTGGCGCAGCAACGCCCCCGCCGCCTAGGACGTCGCTGAAGCCGAACGCGCCAAACGCAGCCATACCAATATCCATCGAGGGATGGTGCAATGCTATACCGCCACCAACACCACCAGCGCCACCAGTGCTGGTGGCGCCGCCAGCTGCACCTGCTGGGGCGGCAGGTGGAGCAGGCGGGGAAACGTTCTGGTTCAGGCCGTGTGAGAGGGCGAATGGCTGAATGGAGAGGACGCGCGACAGAATCCAAGTCGGCTTGAGCGGCTGCAGCCTGCATGAAGGGTGACATTCAGGCTGCCCGTTCAGCACACAAAGCAAGGGGACACAGGGGGAAGGGCGTATAGTACTCACACTTTCAGCCTGTACACGCCGACGGAGTCATCCTCCTCTTCCTCCTCCTCTGTCCCGTCCTCCATATCGCCCGCGGCGCTGCCATTCTTGCCGCCGGGAGTGTCAGGAGCGGCATCCTCGCGGGGCTCCCAACGGGCGAGTTTGGGCCAGATGAATCCGTCGAACATACCCTTGATGTTGCCGAGCGTTCCGCGTGTGCCCCAGACCATCTTTGTGCCGGGGAGCGACGCACACCCGAGGACCATGCCGGCGATGTGGTCGAGGTGCGCATGTGTGATGACGAAGCCGGTGATGCACGACGCGAGGAAGCCGGCACGTAGTGCCGGGTCTGAGAACGGAAAAAGGATGCTCGAAGGGTGGAACGCCGGCCCTGGCGGGGCGTACGGCGCGCAGAGCGCGTCGTTCGAGTCTGACTCGGAGCCTTCTGCATCATCAGCAGCACCTGGACTTGCCGCGCTCGGATCGAGATGTAGCGTGGCTGCATCGGGGGTAAGCGTGTCCTCCCCGTCCACATTTTCCTCGTCTTCCTCCTGCCCCCACAGTTCCCCGTCATCCTCTGCCGCACGGCCTCCGCGATTAGGCAGGTCCTCCGGCTGCGGCTGCGAGCAGATGCGCGCCAAAGCGCCGAGGAAGGACCCGCCCTCTATGACCACGCACGAGCCTTTAAATTCCGGACTCTCCTCTTCCTCTTGTTCTACTTCTTCTCGCTGAGCATCATCCTGCCCCTCCTCTGCAGCCTCTGGAATGCCCATCGTGGCCACCTTGCCCTTCACGCTGGCGGACGAGGTCGATGATTTGCGCCGCGTAGCGCTGCCGATGCCGGTGGCGCCCGGGATCCACGGCGCATCGCCGGGCTTGAGCAGGTAGCACGAACAGTCGCTCTCAAGTGGCCCCCCCCCGACGCCGAGGCAGATGAACGTGAACGACGGCGCTTGGCCCCTTTGCGCTCTGCGGGTCGCCTTGTTGAAGGCTTGCCCTCGCCCTCGCTCTCTCCCTCGTGCTGGTGCTGTCAATGATGCTGACGAAGGATGGAGTTCCGCATACTGCATCGCCGTGCGCGTTACAATGCCTTGCGGCGGATGGAAGAGATTGATGTGCCTAGGAATGCGTTTGCGCTGAAAGTAGTAGTAGCCCTGCTGTTCGCCTGCGCCGCTGCTCGCGCTCGAGCTCGAGCTCAATAACGGGCCGCTTCCGGACGCGCGGCTCTTCCATCGACGAGGCTCGGAGGCGGCGAGGGACATGGGGCTTCTGTTGATCGTGTTGCCGGTGACGCTCGGCTCCTTGACGGTAGATGGGAAGCCGGAGGAGGCGCTGGGCTGCGACGCAAATGCTGAAGACGCGGACGTGGATGTCCTCGGAGGCAGGAGCAGCACACTGTGTTTTGGCTCCTGCGCTTGCCGTGAGAGTGCTGGTGCTTGCTGTGTGTGAGAATGCGCCGAGCAAAAATCATCTGCTTCCTCGTCGTCGTTGTCGTCATCCTCAGCATGATCGGATCCGCCTTCCACCTGTTCATGACCGCACCGGACTGGCGGCATCATGGCTGCATGCGCATGGATGGACGTCAAAGACGCAGGGAGGAACAAGCGCGCTGAGGTGGTCGACGACGCGCCGCCAGGGTGCGCGCTGGAAGACGAGGCAGAGCTTGAGATGGCGATGGAGCTCGTTCGCGGGCCGGGATTCGGGTTCGGGCTCAGCTTGAGCGCCGGCGAAGACGAGGAGGGCGAGGGAGAGTGCGAAGTGGAGGAGGGGTAGGGTGGTGGCATGTTTGCGGGTTGCTTGCCGGGATGGCGATTCCTTGGTATTTTTGCTGTTGTTGTTGTTTCTGGTCTTCCCTTTTTGCATCCAGCGCTCTCAGTCTCGCCCTTTCCTGCGCTGCTTCTGTTGCTTTGGACCTCGCGCCGCTTGCACACTCTGCGAGACGCTGAACGATGTCCTTGTGCAGGCCACTGGCACGACGAGCACGAGACCACGCGTGGTGCACACCGCCAATCGCTGGATCGCGGAATACGAGCACAGACAGGATTTGACTTGCGCGCTCGCAGCGCAGCGCAGCGCGGATGCCGATGGGGGCGGTCAGCTGTTTGTATGAATGAAGATGGCGTCAGGGTGTGTGTGCGGTTTGCTTCTATGGCTCTGATCAACAACGGTTGGGCGGGTCAGGTTGGATAAGGTCTTTTTTGTTCGCGTGTGTCGCGGGCGGCCCAGCTAGCCACAGCCGCGCACCGCGAGGATCGCGCCAGAGGGCAAAGGAAGGCGTTCCATTTGCTGTCAAGCAAGTGTGGACGCGGGGGCTGGCATTGTCTACTTCGGCTATTGGCAGACATTTCTTACACACTCCTTCCACAGAGATTGTATCTATTATCTATCATCTTCATCACTGTCTCGGGGCGCAGACACAAAATAATATGCTCCGACAAAGGGACAAGCAAGGATTCATTCAGGTCCTCAGCTGCACAAGGCTCTGATCTTGTTGGATCAAGGTGGATTTGTTCAGACGCACCGTACCAAGGTAGGGGTATTGATGAGAGACGGTTTGATCATTCATGGCGGCTGCTGAATACGCAGCCCCGTCCTGGAAATATCCTTTGCAAGCCCCAAAACCCGTTCCACGGCCAAGAGCGGTGCGCATGTACACTTGCACCTTCTTATGGTGAAAGTGCACATCAGCTGAGCATTGTCCCGTCAAATGGCCATATAGAAAGAGGTAAAGGGGAGTCTGATCCTCAGCCTCCACAAGATGCTATCCTGGACATCAACATGGGGCTGATTTGAGCGGCAGCCGAAGCTTGTTCCAGCATAGAACGAGTGGCGATGGTGTAATGGATGGGACTCTTCCTTCCTTGCCCACCTCGACCAGGTGAGCAGGGATCGCATCAACTTGATCAAGCTGGGCAAAGATGAGAGGGCACGTGCTTGTTCCGAGCAGTGCGTTGTTGGGCGCCAGGAATGGCCTGCCCACGAGGAAAAGTCTGTTCTGTGGGTGTCTGCCGACAACGCCACAGCACACTGGTTGGCGTGACCAAAGGCTCACTGCCAGGTAAGGTGCCGTAGTTGTTGCGAGATTCTCTGACCCAAACGATTCCTTTGCACCACACGCCCTAGAGCGTCAGCCCGAGTCGCTTGACTAGTGCGCGTGGTATAAAGGAATCGTTTGCGCCAGTGTCTATGCCGATAGTGACACGATGTCGCCCAGCATTGCCTCGCAAGAGAAACATCTAGTGCCTAGCTGGCTAGGGCGGGTAGGAACGAGGGCCTGTTGGCGCTTGACCCGTCTGCCCTCTTCGTCGTCACTAGTGATGCTACCGCCCATCTCGGCCCGAGTATCAACCTTTGCGTCTACACTATGTCGAAAGGTCCTCCGGCTTGCAGGCGTCACCTCCTCTCTTTCGACGGCCGACTACGCCCAAGCTGACGAACAGCCGGGGAGGACCATCCAGACATTTAAACCTACCTGCGCCGCTTCCTTGCGTATGATATGATCGACTGGCCGGACCAACTACTCTTGCAACGATTGCTTACCACTGCGCTGTGTACGCTACAACAGGACAGAGACGCTTCTTCATTCTATTTGGTGGCTTGCTCTCCTCTGCCGCACGTGCTAGATAACTGGCGCAAGCAGATGCGGGGGCAGAAGCAACAGGAGGCCCGATTTGGATCAAGAATGGGACTGGTAGAACGCACAGCTACAGACGCTACAGATGATCCGCTTCTGCTCATCGACCTGGTAGGGGCCCCTGTGGCCTATATGATCTGGGACGCGAATATATATATATATATATATACAAGTTTGACTTGAATCGAAAAGAAAACAACATTCACACGAAAAAGGCTAGTGATATGGATTGAGAGCAGGAACCATCTAAATTCTGAGACCCGCTTGATGGGCCCTCGCGCATTGGGGACGGAAGAGGAAGTGTTTCCGATCGTTCCGTACATACTTTTGTGGGCACATGACGGGTTGCGAAAGCATGCTGGCTGTGGTGATCCACGGCCGTCAGCCAGGATATGCATGTACATGCGCCAGAAAAGGCTGGCTTGGTCGTGTTTGACCGTGGGCGGCAAGTGTCGGGCCGAGGGTTGTGCGAGTTGGGACCAAGTGGTGGTCCCTGGGGTGCTTGGCGAGAGAGCGATCAACCCTTCGCTTCTCTTTCGCTCCTCTCCCTTTCTGCCCTTGTGCGGTGTGATATGATATGCATGGCTGATGAATGTGGGCTTTTTGCGGGCGTCTGCGCCCTCAACATTTTTCGCTGAGAACACTGTCACCTTGACCACACTGGCGCGCGGCAGGGTGGCGGAGCGGAACTCCCGCTGCTACTTGATGTATATGCATACCATAAAGAACAGGACAGGACGTCTATCAGGTGGAGTAAGGGGGTTGCGGGGCGAGACGGATGCATTCGCTTCTTACAACTTCCTGCGCAACGACCACGGCGACGGCTGCCGACCAGCACCACTCGCGACTCATTGCCCAACAGCCCCCCGCCAGCCAGCCAATAGGGCCAGCCACACGCTGTGGATCGACGCACGCGCTCCCCGTCTCCAGCCCCATCCCCGCTGGCATCGTTCGTTCCAGGCAGCTGGCACATGGCAGCATCCTCTCGCTTCAGGTCTCCTGCTGAGCCGAGCCAAGTATAGATTTCCTTCTAGTCCAGAAGGTTTACTCGCACGGGCTGCCGCCAAAAAGGGACAAGGAGGGCAGGGCACGTGAGAAGAAACGCCGGTCCCGCCATTCGTCAGTCTTGGCGCGATCTTCTTCGTCCTCCTCAGCAGCACACATACCGCAATCCACCCACGCACCTACCGACTGCGATCCTCACATGACGAGCCCGCAAATCAACTCGAACGCTGCTGCTGCCCGCGCTAAACTGCACACCGACTCCGATTCGTCCGCGTCGCCCAGCCTTGCGCAGCGACCGGACCTCGAAGCGCAGGCGATCGAGCACATGCACCAGCAGCAAGAGCAAGAGCAAGAGCAAGAGCAAGCGCAAGCACGGGACGCACAGGACCAAGCACTTGGCGCGCCTCCCTCTACCGCTGTCGCACCCCAGCCGGCGGCGACTACAACGACGCTCGGCGCTCCGCCCCACCGGTTCTCGCGCTCACAAGCCCCGCGCCACCTACCCTCGTTCGGCCCGGCGCACGGCAGTGGCGCCTTTTCGTCCTCCTCTATTTCAACGGCAGCGCCAGCACCATCGTCCACCTCGGCGCAGCACCTGAGCCAGAGCCACGGCCACGGGCTGAACCGTTACACGCTCCCAGGCGACCCACCGCGCCTGCGGGAGACGCTGCGTGACCTGCAGCGCCTGCTGCACTCACTGCCGCTGCCTGCGTCGCTTGTTCGTCTGCTCGTCCCTCGCGCTGGCGCCCGTGCGCTCGGCCGTGTACTTGCCGCGCGCGGCATCATGGCGTCCAACGCAGTGTTCGATCTCGCGCTTCTCTTCTGGCGCCTGATCATCAACATCTTCTTCCGCTCCATCCAGCCGCGTGGCAGCTGGCGCATCCCCCGCGAGGGCGCCGGCGGGCCGCTCATCTTCGTCGCCGCACCGCACCACAACCAGTTCCTCGACCCGCTCCTGCTCGCCAGCGAGGTACGCCGCGCCAGCGGCCGCCGCGTCGCCTTTCTTACCGCCGAGAAAAGCCTCAAGCGCCCGCTCATTGGCGCCGCCGCGCGCCTCATGCACAGCAGTGCGTATCTTTCTCCCACTCTTCCCCGTCGAAGGATGGCCACTGACCACGGACTGCGGATGCAATGTCTTTCTTCTCCCTGTCTACCCCCTCCTGCAGTCCCCGTCGCGCGCGCAGCGGACTCCGCCAAGCCCGGCGCGGGCACAATCACGCTCTCACCATCGGACCCATTGCTTGTGCTCGGGCGCAACGGCACGCAGTTCACCACGCAGCTCCAAGTCAAGGGCCAGCTCGTCCTGGGTAAAGAGTACGGCAGCGCCAACGCCGAGGTCGTCGAGGTGCTCAGCGATAGTCAGGTGCGCATCAAGAAGGAGTTCAAGGATGCACCCGGAAAGAAGCCTGTCCGCGATGCGCTCGCTGGAGACGGGTCCACCTACACCGTCCTGCCGTTCGTCGACCAGACGCAGATGTACGCCAAGGTGTACGAAAAGCTCGCCAAGGGCGGCAGCCTCGGCATATTTCCTGAAGGTGCGTACCCTGCTCGTGTGAGCGGTAGCGCTCGAAAATCAGATGCCTGACGCAGCCATTCTCGGTCCCTTCTTCACTCTGCCGCAGGCGGCTCGCATGACCGCACGGACTTGCTCCCGCTGAAGGCGGGTGTCGTCATCATGGCCCTCGGCGCGATGGCTGCCAACCCTGGCCTCAAGGTGCGCATCGTCCCTGTCGGGCTGTCCTACTTCCACCCGCACCGCTTCCGCTCGCGCGCCGTCATCGAGTTTGGCGCGCCGCTCGACGTACCGGCGGAGATGGTCCAGCTTTTCGACCAGGGCGGCGACGGCAAGAAGAAGGCTGTCGCGCAGATGATGGATATCGTCTTTGACGGGCTCAAGAGTGTCACCGTCCGTGCGCCAGACTACGAGACGCTCATGGTCATCCAAGCTGGCCGACGGCTCTACACCCCGCCAGGCCACCACGCCAGCCTCGGACAGGTCGTCGAGCTGAACCGCCGCTTCATCCTCGGCTACCTCCAGTTCCAGCACGAGCCGCGCGTGCAGAAGGTCAAGGAAGACGTCATGCGCTATAACGCCAAGCTGCGCTACGCTGGTCTTCGCGACCACCAGGTCGAGCGTGCCACGCGCGCCGGCTGGCGCTCCCTCGGCCTGCTCGCCTACCGCATCTTCCTGCTCGGCATGTGGGGCGGCCTCGCGCTCCCCGGCGTCGTCCTCAACTCGCCCATCTTCATCCTCGCCAAGAGCATCTCTGTGCGCAAGGCGAAGGAGGCTCTCGCAGCGAGCCAGGTCAAGCTCAAAGGCAGAGATGTGCTTGCCACGTGGAAGGTTCTTGTCTCGCTCGTCGTCGCGCCCGTGCTGTACACCGTGTACGCCGGCTGCGCCACGTACCTCGCCCACCGCTACCAGCTGCCCTGGAAGCAGCAAATGCTCATGCCGCTCTATGTCATGGCCGCACTGCCCGCCATCGCATACTCGACGCTCAAGTTTGGCGAGGTCGGCATCGACATCTACAAGTCGCTCCCTCCGCTCTTCATCTCCCTCCTACCCGGCAATCACAAGGTGATCATGGAGCTGCAGCAGATGCGCGCACACCTCAGCACCGAGATCCACGCGCTCATCGAGGAGTTCGCCCCGCAGGTTTGGGAAGACTTTGAGTCGAGCCGCCTGCTCAGCGCACCGAGCGCCAGTGCGCAGCCCGGCGTCGACAAACCCTCCTCCGCCACGTCCAGCGCACCTGGCGTCGATAGCCCTCTGTCTCACCCGCTCGCCTGGGTCGATGAGCGCCTCTTTGGCTGGGGCACCAAGAAGCAAAAGCGCAGCAGGAAATCCGCTGCCTCCGCCGCAGTCGCTGCCGCGGGCGACACCGCCGGTGCCACGCGAGAGATCCCCTCCGCCGAGCCGCGCAAGAGCGAGAAGGCCAGTATCTCTGAAGAGGAGCGCAAGCTGCGTGAGCAGTTCAAAGCCGTCCTTGCGCCATCTGACGAGGACGATGCTGTCACGCACTCCGGCTTTACTACCAGCGCTGAAGCTAGCGAATTTGGCGACGACAACGGTGACGAGGAGCACGACGACGGTGACTACGAAACCGTCTTCCGCATGCTCAACCCAAGCACCTGGATGGGTGGCGGCCATAGCGCCAGCAATGCCTCCTCGCGCCGCAGCTCCCGTTCCCGCACACGCAGCAGGAGCGGTAGCGGCGCCGGCTCCTTTGCCGAGAAACGCAATCGCTCTGATAACAACCTGCGCGATCTTATCATGTCGCCCACCGAGCAGCGCAGCAATCCACTCGTCGCAGGCGGCGGCTCATACACCGGCCGCTCCTCTGCGCTGCAGCAGCAGGGCCAGGGTGCTGGGGTGGCCGCGCAGCGCCGTGCCCGCACGCACTCGCTACAGGAGATCATCTCCGCTGAGGACCTCAAGAACCAAGGCGACGCGTCGCGCCAGCTCAACTTCTCCGGCGCGTCCACCGTCCTCGAGACGCAGGCTGCTGGGCACGCTGGCCTCAATGGCAGCGGCGCCAAGCACGACCACAACAGGCGCCCGCCTCTTGCGGACATGCAGAAAGCTTCCGAGACGCCACCCGGTGCCGCTTCGCCCAGACAGCAATGAAGATTAGCCTTGTACCTTTCATTTGCGTTTGGGCCCTTCACACATTTTTTGTGAATACACGTGACATATGTCTTGGTTTGTAGGCTACAGTATTTCGGTCCAACAAGTTACTTGGTAACCATCCCTGCCTGCACGAGCGTATCTCATAGGCCGGTATTTGGCGTTGTTCTCTTGGAGCGGAAAAAGCCCGCCAAGTCGCGCATAACGAGTGGGAACGTGAGATCGCGGTGGACCTCGCTTCGGATCCAACCCGGAAGCTTGGAAGAGATGTCTTGACGGGCAAAGCGCATGTCAACCAGCAGGAGCGCAGCATAATCGTTCCGATGACGAATCGCGCGCCCGATTGACTGGTTGACCGCCTTCATGCACATGTTGACGTACAGCTCTTTGCCCGCATCCACTTTTGGTGTGCTGACTGCGGAGCCCTGCTGCTGCTTGCTGGCGAGCTCTCTTGCAAAGCGCATTCGTTCGACAAGCTCTGCGCTTGCAGCATTCGGAAAAGGCAGGCCGACCATGACGACGGCACGCGCTAGACGGTCTGAGAAGTTGATACCCTCGGATAGTTTGGCGCCGACGACGGCGATGAGGATTGCGCCCGTCATACCTGGCTGCGGCATCTCGATCGCGGATGTGTAGTGCCGCAAGACTGCGTCCACCTCGGCGGCAGTCTGAGGCTCAATGAAGAGCTTTTTGCGGCGCATGAGGCTGTCGAGCTGCTTCGTCGCCTTCCAGCGCTCCATGAACGTGTTGAGCACTTTGTACGAAGGCACAAACACGACCATGCCGTCTGGGATGACATTGCAAAAGTTTGACAAGGCTGACCCGAGCTCATCAAGCTGCGAAACGAACAACAGGTAGTCAATGCTATGTTGTCACGCGTTCAATGTGCTGCACACACTCACCAGCGCATGGTCGTTCCGACTGTCGAATTTGAACTCCAGTCTCGCTTTCTTTGGGCCAACAGAGACGACCGCGGCAAAGAGATTTGAAGAGGGGATGATGTGGCCGCACGACAGCCTCGAAATCTGCGTCGGCGGCACATGTGGCAAGACTTGCATGAGAAGATCGGATACCGGCTCCATCGTGCCGCCAGCAAGGATGATCGCGCGGGACTGATCGACGAGAGTCTTGAACGACTTGGAAGGATTAAGCAGCTGGTACTTGATGATCATATTCGGGGCTGCGCTTGCATCCGCCCCCGCGTTTGCAAGTGGCCTTTCCTTGGAGATGTTCTGCGGCAACATGCTCAGCAGGACCTTGCCGTCTTGGTCAGCATTGATTAGCGATAGCAGGAAGGAGGAGATAGTGCGCATGGACGTGATACTGTTGCGATTCTCGAGAGAGCCTCCACTTCTGCTATTGGCGGCTTGTATTGCCTGCTTGTCCGCGTAACCGGCCACTTTGCGGGCAATCTGACTGTCGCGCAGGAAAGAATCGAGTTGCGCCAGCTGCATGTGCGGATCGCGTGACGGTGGGCCAATTCAGTGAGCCGGTCGTCCCGCTTGCATGTTCTTGCGCACTCACGTTGATTTGATCCAGCGTCCCATCCATGCTGGACACAAGCTGGGAAGCGGTGACAATCTCCTCTGTCGACTTGCTCTCGGCATGCGCCGTCACCCAACGCAGGCAGTGCTTGCTGAGGCTCTTGAGTGCAAGCTCCAACTGCTTGAGATGCATCTCGTTGCTACCCCTGAGCTTGAGCGCGAAGCGATTGACGTATGTTTCAATCTGCTTTTGGGCCTGCTGGATCTGCGTGAGTGTGATTGAGACAGTGTGCGTGGCGAGAATGGTGTCGATAAGATTGTGTGCCTCGTCGATGAGAATCACGTTGTCCGTCACATCGACCCCGGCTGCCAGCCGCGAGTCGGCGTGGAGGAGGAGATTGTATGGCAGCGTGACGAGCTGTGCCTGCTTGGCTGCAAGACGGGAAGCAAAGTACGGGCACGTATTGAGCGAGCGTCCTAGTTCGGTTAAATCTTCAATGTCTCTGACTTCGGTCTGGCGGGGTGGGGAGAATCAGCGAAGCAATCCTTCTTAAACTTGTAGCAGCTGCGCTCACAAAAGCATGATCTCGAAACTCCATTGCTTGCTCCAGTCCGCCCTCATCTATTGCTGGGGCATAAGGACATCTTTTCTCATTCTTTTGTCGTTGCGGCACCTGCTGTCCGCCGCTGTTCTTCGGGGCGGTTGAGCGCTTGCCTTTCAACAGCTCCTTGCAGCGTTCGTTCATCGCCTCGGTGCCACGCTCGCGCCCGATCTGCTGGACAGCCTCGTTGATGCACATCTGCTTCCGACTGCCGAGGGCGACGACGCGTACAGGCGACTGCGCTGCGTCCCCTTCCGTGACTTCTGTCTGTGCGACAAGACCGTTGCTGACGCGAGATCGCTTGCGCACAGCCATGGAATACGGAGCATCTTCGAGCATCATATCCGAGTCTGATCGCCTTGATCTCTGTGCGTCCGCGCTGCTGCTTGCAGTGTCTGCTGGCGCTTGCAGTGCTCCCGTAGCGAAGCGTGTCTTGCGCAACTCATGCACAAATTGGCTCAGCTGCGAGTGCGTGCGACTGGCGTAGTAGGTCTTGGGCGTAGTCTGCGCTAGCAAAAGCTCCTCTATTTCGGCACGCGCGCTCGCCGACATGCTGCTGCTAAAAGTGACACGATTGAGTGTATTGGAAGAGGATGACGAGGAGTAGTGGTTGAAGGAGGAGGCGCGAGCAGCGGAAGATTGGTCATACTGTGCCATCAGCGCTCGCACCTCTGCGCTGAGGCCCAATTCATCTGTAGCCTCCGAGGTGCCGCCAAGAGCAGCCACGACGGAGTCGGCATCGCGTTGCATTCCAAGAAATGCGGCCAGTTCGCCGTCCTGAGCATCTACATTTTTGCGGGCCTTGCTCGTAGGGGACGAGGCCTCATCGCCCGAGTCAAGCAAAAACTCCTCGTCGGAATCTGCCCTCGAATATGATGTTTTCTTTCCTGCGGACATAATTGCTGACGGGCGTGCTTTCGTTGTACTGGCACTACCGAGGCTATTGCCTCTGTTCATACGTTCGTCTTGCCTGCGCTCCTTTTTGAACTTGGCCTGCAAGCGCTTTGCGTGCGCGATGCGCTGTTTCAGCTCTCTCTCCGCCATCTCGGATTTCTCCCTCTGCTTTGCGCGCGCATGCGCTAATACCCAGTCTGGCTCGTCGCCTGTGCCTGCCTCTGCTCCTGAATGGGAGGGTTCAGATTCATTTGCCAGTTCTGAGCGCTTGGCGTTGTGCTCAAGCCATGTGAAGGCCGAGCAGATGAGACTGAGGGACTTGCCCTATTAGAGGAAACCGACAAAAGGGGGGCATGCTGTATCAGTATCTCTGAGTGTTAGCGCAAAGGACATTCGACGCTGCCTCACCGTCCCAGTCGGACTCTCGAAGATGCCAACTTTTGCATCCTCGATCGCCCGAAAGACGGCTTGCATCAAGTCGATCTGAATCCCATATGCTTGCGGATATGGGAAAGAGAATGCGCGCGACGAGGCTGCAAGCTGCTGCGCGTGCCGAGCCTTGCAAGCATGGTCGGGGCCTCCAGCCGTGGTGGCTTGGCCCGGTGTAGGAAGGGCCAAGGGCCTTGCCTGCGTCCGAACCGACTCAGTCATCACGTTGGCACGTCTCTATGACAAATGTCTTCAAGTGACAGCCTCATGCGCCCATAACCTCGAGGGAAAGGCCCGTTTTCATGCTGTACAGGCGCCGATGCGTCGCGTCCCATGTCGCAACCTGCTTCCAAGTCTGAATCCATCACCATGCAAAGAAAGTGTGCGATGCTCCCCAAAGGCTGCCAATGACCGGCCGGCATCGCGTCGCGTCCAACTGCAATGCAAATCTTCAAGTCACGTGACTCGTTTTCCAATCCAAGTTCAGTCTTGAGTGGCCCGTGCCCCAACCATGGGCGGGCCAGTCGTCATGGCAAGCAAACAAAACCGGTGAGGTATGAAGGATGAAGAGATATGGCGACCCTTTATTAGCTCTCTCTGACAACCTCCAGTGACCAGATCTTGTTGGGGCACATCCTTACTTTCTTGGGACCCTCTCTCTGTGTCAAGCACGAGCCACCTTACAACACGCCTTTACCACCGCCGCCAGCTGCAACGGGGCCGCACAACTAATAGGGCCCAAAGTCCTCCCGAGAGAGCACAATCCCAACGATGTCTGGCCTTAAAGTCGGCGACGAAGCGCCGGACGTGACGCTGCCTAACGAAGATGGCACATCGGTCCAGCTCTCTACGCTCTGGCTCGACAAGGGCCCTGTCGTCGTCTTTTTTTACCCGGAAGACCACTCGTACGGCTGCACGAAGGAGGTCTGCCGCTTTCGCGACGGCTACGACGACTTCCTCTCGGTAGGCGCTGCCGCTCTCGTCGGCATCAGCAAGGGAGACCAGGAGTCGCACACCAGCTTCAGGCAGAAGCAGAAGCTTCAGTTTAGCCTGCTCACAGACAAGGACGGTGAAGCACAAAAGGCGTTCAAGGTCAAGAAACAGCTGTTTGGCCTCATCCCTGGCAGAGTCACCTTTGTCGTCGACAAGGAAGGCAAGATTGCGCACGTCTTTTCCAGCGCACTGGACTTGTGAGAGAACTCGGGCCGGTCACTCAGCTTGCTTTGCTATATTGTAAGACTGACACCGGGACTGGCTTTCTTTTTGCATTCACAGCGGCGGCCACGTCGACAAGGCCAAGGATGTCGTCAAAAGGCTGACAGCCTCGCAACCGTCAAAGACGACCACACCCGCAGCTCCCGCTCCAACGGCAGCTCCAGCTGCGGGAAGCGAAGCCGCTCCTGTTTCTGCCGGCAACGAAGCGGCGGCCGCTCCTGCTGCTGTCGCCACGGATGCATCTGCCGCAGAGACAGAGGCGGAGGCGCCCGCGCCCGCGCCTACCACCACCGCTTAAGCGGAGCGTATCGCTTTGCGCGCCGTTCATCCACGCATCAGCCCCCGGCATCCAGTTCACGATACCCGTAGCATCTCGTTTCGGCACACATGGGTGCAATTAGGACCGTTTTCATAGCATGGTTTCACCTGGCAATCGCCTTTCCAGCTCTCGGCCGAATTTCCGTTCCGAATCGAATTGCAGCTCATACCAACTCATTTTGACTGGTCATCCGCACATTCCCAAGCGCAAACAGAACGAGCCTGCTAGCTAGCTCGAGCGACATGCCCATGTAGTCTCCCTGGCGCTCATGTGCCACGAACACTGGGCTGCTTTCTGAACATGCACCGTCGATTGTGAGCGTTACTGCGCAATATGATCAAGCGCAAAATGACGACTTGGTGGCAAAGTACAGGACAGTGAGCGCATCACGCCTCTTGGGCCTTTGTCTCATCGACAGCTTTGACAGGTGTAACAATCTCGACGTCCTCAGGCCCGAGGCTGAGGCCCAGTTCGCCGATGCTGGCAACCTCATCGTCGCCATCGGTGCTGCTCTTGTCTTCCGTCGCAACCTCGGCTGGAGCACCGGCGGCTGCAGGCCCGTCAGAATGCAGCGCTTCCGCCGCAGGCGCCTCATGTCCAGCCATGGCAGCAGCAGCAGCAGCGAGCGGGTCCTCACTATCCTCTGCTTCCTGTTCCAGCTCGCCGGCCGTTTCTGGCTCTATGAGTATCTGCTTGCTACCGCTGCCACCCCCAGGCCCACTGTCGCTCATGTCCTCTGCTTCGTTAGATGCTGATACAGCGCCCGTCGCTTCGCCAGGAACGCCTACAACTGGTAGCGACGCGGCGCTTCTGTCTGCGCCTACGCTTGGCGAAGCCGGCAACGGTGCGGGCCCAGACCCTGGCGTCTCGTCTGTAATATCGCCTCTATCCTCTGTTGCCAACGGCGTTGCTGTCGACGGACCAGACAGGTTATCCGCCGTCGCACTCGGTAGTGGCTCATCTTCGTTGTCATCGAGGGAGATCGTCTGAAACTGATGCGCAGGTGGCTCGCTCGGCAGCAGGTGGTCCGCGTCTCCTTTTCGTTGCGAAGCATTGCCCTCACAGCCCACCGCCACGCTATCGCCGTCGTCTATCGCACTGCTGTGTTGGTCGGCGGGAATGTCGACGCGGGTGAGGCCGCCAGGCGGGCCAAGACTCTCCACGCCGAATCGTGATGAACTGGCTTCGTCGCGCGTCATCTCATAGCTGCCTAGATGCCGAGAGCCCGAGGTGAAAGGCTCGTCGTGCTCGTCATCGAAGCGCCTGAAGCCACTATTGGCGTGCAATTCATTGCCCAGCCCTACGTCCAGTCTAGGGTCATGTGCTGCCTCGCCTTCATCATCAGTCTCTCCAAAGAGCGCGCTTGACGATCGCTTGTTGTTGACTCCGCCAGCGCCGGCGCCCTGGCCTATCGATCGAGAATCGTCATCACCGGTCCAGCGCGTAAGCGACAGGGCACCCATCCGGACGGTCGGTCGTGTGTCTTCCCGCGTCCTGATCGGCGACGAAGGACCCTCCAGCATCGACCCGATCTCGTCGTCACCGCCACCACTCGCCAAATTAATATCGATGCTAAAAGGAGGGAGCGTGCTTGCCGACGTGCCACCTTGCTGCTGTTGCGACGCATTATCGAACGAGCTGTTCGGCGGTGACGTGTAGGGCAGACTCTGGTTTTCTGCCAGGTAGCCATCCATTGGGGGGCGTTTGAGCGATTGGAGCGGGAGAGTGCGGATTGGCCGGAGGCCCGTCGGTGATGTTGACACAGTAATGCCCGAACTGGTCGGGGAAAGTGCAGATGGGGGCGTCGTTCGCAAAAGTGTAGAGATTGGGGGTATAGATGCTGCTAAGCTCCCTGTTCCAGGTACATCGCTCGAGCTGCTTCCTCCACTCGGGTTTTTGCTGCCACCATCCGATTCCTGCTGCCTCTCCTTGTTCATTTTGCCCCTCGGTAGGCCGAGACTGAGCTTCTCGGAGCCAGGCATGCCACCGGAAATGATGCCTGTGGGAAGCACAGTATCCTCGTGTGAGGCAGCGGGTAGTGGTGGTGGCAGCGGAGGCTCTTCAGCAACCAGCAGTAACTTCCTCAGCATCTCATTTTCGCTGCGCAGCTTTTCTTCTTCCGCCATCGCCTCCAGGGCAGCATCAGCACGCAAAGCGTTGGGATCGCCCCACTTGCCAAAGTAACCACCGGAGCCGTAGAAGCGCGGATCAGTGGCGACACGATAGTTCGAGGGCGCCAGCCGCGTCCCGGTTGAGCGATGGGATCGGCGAGCCGATGATACGGCTGCTTTGCTGCCTGTGCTCCCCCCGGAAGAAGTTGCACTTTGCCCGAGTGCGCATGGGCCAAGCCGGCTGCTTGAAATCTTGACGCTTTTCGAATCCTCTCCATGGATGGCTTCGTCTCCTGAGACACCGTCCGCCTCGCCGCCTTCGCCCTCGTCCTCGTCCTCGAACTCTGGCTCATACAAGTCATCCTCATCCTCCATGTCGTCGACTTCACCGTCAATGACACGAAGCGCTCGCCGTACTAGATCACCCAAGTGAGTGAGTGTAGAAGAGGACGCTGTCGTAGCGCGCAGCGACGAAGATGCCTGATTGTACGATTGCGTAGACAACAATCCTTCGTAGTGCTGCGTCAGCTCGAGAATGTGATGCTGTGTTGAGTGCTATCCGGCAGATGGAAGCTTCAAGTCAGCTAAGCGTCCGTCAATCCGAGATTTTACGCCCGGCAGCTTGGTGCTTACTGAAAAGTTGCGGAACTTGACCATGACTGACTCAAGCGTTTGCTCATGTTCTCGCAGGAGCTGGTTCAGCTGCTTATTTTCATGCTGCAACGCAGTGTTTTCCCGAACGAGAGCAACGTTGATCTTTTCGAGCTCGCTCTCGAAATTCTCCTTGCTGATGTCGACATTGAATCTGCGCAAGGTGAAGCCGGTGTTGTTGTGATGAATCTGCCCCTTAAGCTGATCGGCTTGCTGCTGCAGCGACACGCAGAGCTCTTTGTTGGCAGAGAGCTGTGAGGAGAGCTCGGCGACGAGCGACCAGATGGTCTGCAGCTCGTCCGAGCCGCTGTCCACGAGCGTCATCCTGACCGTGGCGTCTCTCCTTGTCTCGGTCCGGGGAAAGCTCTTTGAGCGCTTATTCCTGCGAAGTGAGCATTCGTATGGACCCTCGTAAATTGACCAGAATGTTGGGTCATTTGGATGGACTCCATCGGGTGAGCGTCTTAAGTCTGCGGCCTGCGCGTCACGCACCTCTTGATATTGTGCTGCTTTTGTGGGGAGGGGGAATGGGAGGGAGGCGTTTTGTAAATCCCGCCGTTTACCCGTCCGAAGCGCCAGCGGCTCCTTCCGAGACAAGTGAGAGCGAGTTCCTTTGCGGTTCTGCCTCGTGCTGGTCATCTGCTCTTCCTCTCACCATCGTTACCTTCGTTCTTCATCACAATTATCCCAGGGTATCTCCGGAGAAGCCACGCCAGCTCGCGAAAAAGAAGAAGAAACGATCATCATGGCTTTCCTCGGCTTCAAAGCATACCCAACCCCCATCTGGAAGCCGCTCGGCCCGTTCATCGTCGCGTCCGGCATCGTCTTCTGGGGCGTCAACGCTCTTCAAAACTCGATGGTCAAGAGCGGGGAAAATGCAAAGGATCCGCGCAACCCATATGGTAAGCAAGGAGTACGGAAGCAGACGAGCAGGCTGCCAGTGTGGGCACTGCGTCAACCTTTGGTGACCCACCCTGTTGGTGCGGGAGGGAGGAAGAAGGCGGGAGGGGAGTTAGGGCGTGGACCAGCACTGCGAGAGATTCGCGAAGATGCGTTCCCGAGAATCGAACAAGGGCATTGGCAGACCGGGACAGTGGCTGGGGCTTAAAGGCACCCTCGAAGCACCTCCAACTGCTTGATCGAAGGGCTGTTTTTCGGGCAAGCCAGTCTCTTCTCGCTGCGAGCCGGTCCAGTCGGCTTCGTTTGCCTATCGGGCGCAGACGTGCCTGTCGGCCGCCCACGCTAGGTGGAATGCGGTATGCTGGGTCCGCAGGGACATCGCAGAATCAGATTGGACAGGCACAGCCACGAGGTCTCAAAAGTGCAACTCGGCGCTGTTGGGGTATACGCTCGAGGTCCTCGATCGAACATTTGCTGGAAGCGTCGTTTCTTCTTCAGCGCTTATGCTAGCTCCGAATTTGGGACTGACGCCTCTTCTCATGTGTCAACACAACTGCTGCAGGCCAAAAGGTGCACAAGGAGTCACACCACTAGACGCGCTCAAGATAGGACATAACGCAGCCGCAAAGTCGGTGAGTCGATCGTCTCCGTCGCAAATTTCCTTCACATCCAGTGTCATTGACATGGCAGTCAAATCCGAATTGTCGTCATACAGGTCTTTGCACCGCTGTAACCATCTTGTCGTGGAATACATGACCAACTGAGCAAGAAAGTCACTTTAAGAATCGTCCGGGCGTTTGTCATGCGCGATTGAATTGCAGAGGGCACAGCGTTTCCTGATAAGGTTCTAAAGGAGAGAGGAAGAATTAAGCACATAAATACAGAAAGGACTGATGAGGTTTGTAATTGCTTCTTCAAAACTTGGAATGCCTTGCATAACATTCCTCGACAGCAGGCCTAGCCCCCTCCGGATGCTCTTTCCGGTGGGCCTGCAGCACAATGAGAGGGTGAGGCGAGACGATATGTATCGTTCAGCAACCAAGCCGCCGAGAGATATGACCGCTGCACTTCCACGTCGCTATGTGGCGCTCACATAGTTTGAACAGCCTTCACAATCCTGACACCAGCGCGCAAATGCTTCGATCCTGGAATCTCCTTGTTGACAATTTCACCGATCTCCGCTTCCAGTGCCGAAGTGTCGCTATCAACGGGCTGAATGAGGTCCACATATACTTGTGGCTGAAGTGACGGCGTTAGTGGGCGAAATCGAGCAACTGATCAGACTGCACTTTTAAGAACGACATCTGTTCGGTCTGCAACTCACAAGTGCAACTTACGAATTCCGGCGCTTGCTGCGGATTCTAGACGCCAAAGATGCCTAGTAGGCGTACTTTCGGGTGACTCTTCAAGATGTTCTCAAGCTCAGCTGATGCGACTTTGGAAGCCTCTGACCTTAAGCAGTTCCTTGAACCGAGCCAAAGACACAATCGTTGGCATTTTTGTCAATATCCACGATATCGCTCACCTCAACCAGAATCTTGACAAAATGGCTTCTGCGGGTCGCTTTGGGGTTCTTGAAGTAGCCTTTGACGATTCTCTGCGTTGGAAGGGGAACGACATAAAGGGCCGAGACTTTCTCCGTCCCCGTTTTCACCTAGGGTCACGCTGACCCGGCTGGATGCAGAGGCCCAGGGACGTGCAAGTCACCCACCCCGCTTTGCGGAACATCTTTGCCCGCATCTGGATCGATCACCCTTCCTTTCAAACCAGAAGCGAGGAACCCGTTGCTTCCTACGGCAGCATCCGTACCCAGAGACATACCTACCGTTGTTTTGGTCATACTGTAGCTTTGCGTGACTGGCACACCGACCTTGTCGGAGAAGCGCTGCTGCAAGGCTGCTTCGAGGTTTTCAGCGGTCGAAAGACGGCACGAAATCAGTTGAAAAATGTGATAAATCTCGCCGTCAAACCAGGGAAACTCGTATTGTACGCACATCTTGCACACACAGTGCATCTCGAGGAACTCATTGAAAGTTTTTAAGTTGACGTACTTCATCCGAATGAATTCATCTTTTCTCAGCGGCAATGGATTGAGCAGGGCGAGGGCAGACAGCTCGATAGCCGCAGCATATGTTCTTTCTCGATGACGTCGGCCTATTTCTAGGGGCCGAATGGCGCGAGGTGATGGATATCTCTGAGATCCCTGATGGTGTGAGGGCACGTGCGAATGGAGCGCAAAGCGAAGCAGATGAATAAATGACCCTTCAAGGCGTCAAAGAAATATTTCAAGCCAAGCCTGAAGTGTACGCAGGCATGGGGAAGTTGGGTAGCCTCAGAAGGTGATCATGCCAATCACCAGGCCAGCCGGGTGAAACATGGGCATGAACTTGATCGACCTCGAGGGTTTGCTGTCGTAGACCTTGCGGGTCCTATTGAGGCTTTGGAGCAGGCAGGCCATGTTACGGGGCGACACACAGAGGCTTTGGAGGGCCTGCCATTCCGGGCGAGAATGAGTGGCTTTGAGGGGGAGACAGGTCAGAAAGTGATTAGATTTGCTTAGGAGAGAGCCAAGCAAGGTACGGACGTACTAAGCGTCCTAGTTCAGTTTCGGTAGCGTGGTCAGCTTTGCCTTTCTGCCCTCCGCTGAGCGTCGGGCTTGCACCTTCGGAGGCGAGATGGCAAACAGCTGGCTTTTACGGTAGCAGGCGCTGAAGAGCTTGGTTAGATGCTCCTCATCGCAGACGATGAACTTGGGTTGCGCCAGGCCGAAGACGTGCTTGATCTCGCAGACTTGGTATATGTTGTGCATAGAAACCGCCCAAAGATAGTCGCTCTTGTTTAGTGTTTGCAATCAAGCACAGCCACACGGAGAGGTACGAAGAAGGCCCATGGGCGGCGTGGGACGAGCGCAGGCCCGCGAATTGGATCGTATTGAGGACAGGTCGAAGCTGGAACTGCAGCGATCGGAAATCCCGGTGAAGTGGACTGCTGGCCAAGGCAGCAGTTCACCCATCTTCTATGCCTGCCAGTCGAAGAAAGTCATCCTATCACCATCTTTGTCCCAAGTCCTCCCGCTCGTCCTCTTCTTCAGTCACGACTGATGCCAACGGGCAAGCATGGGTGTCACGAGTATTGATACGATGCACACTTAGAGTGATATCTGACAGAAGAACACAAGCTGAATGGGATTCTATTGTGGCCTTCCCTCATTAAGTTGGGCGCATATGCGCTTTCAAGGGTAGGTCGGGGAACCGTCTGTCTAGCCCCTGGAAACAAGACCAGATCTGCCAAAATGCTGGAGGTAACGCAAATGCATACTACGTGGGTTGCGAATGCTTATGATATGATTCACAGTGTTTGTCCCAAGTAGCGCATGTGCAGTCTACATGTTGTAGAATGTTGCGTCGTTTGCTCGGTAAAGTACATTAGTGTGTGCGGTCGCGGTTTATATGATGTTAACGTTTTACTTCTACGCAGCTGGACTGATGGCTGGTGCTCGGAAGGCTTCGAGTTCTGGAGAGGCACACACGGTGGAGGGCGGTCATGTCAGCTCACCCTAACGTGAGACCGTATTCAACTTGCCGGACGACTGAGCTACTCACTAAAGCGCGCCGTGTTGGTCTCATCCTCGTCCGCGTGCTCGCCGTGGACGTCGCGTTCACCGCCTGTTGGTCTCATCGGTGTTAATCCGGCAGCATTGACCTTGTCGCCCTCTTCCTGCATTTGTTCGTTCTGCGTCTCGTCAGCAGCACCCGTCAGCTGCGTCTCCTCGAGCGCGACACTCTCATGCTCCATCCGCCGTGCAGCTTGCAGCGTCAATCGTAGGCTTTCCTCCTCGGCAATCTCCTTCTCCCAGACCTGGTCCTCTGCGTCCTCCCATATTCCTGCTGCTTTCTTGTTGCTTTTCATTGTGCCTTCCACATCATCCATCAGCTGCGTATCAGCAAAAGCAGGTGTAGCTGCAGGACTTGTTGACTGCTGCTTGTTTGCGTCTGGCTTCTTCTTTTGCACCTTGGAAGAAGCAAAGCCAAACAGCGTCGATTGCTTCCTGGCTCTCTCCGCGATCGTCATGCCGGTCCCTTCGACGGCGTCAACGCGGTCAAAGAAGCTGTTGCTTTTGTGCATGCTTCGTTCGCGGTGAGAGCCACTGGCAGTCTTGGCGAACGGGTTTGCTGGCTTGTTCGTCAAAAAGGGATTGTCTGGATGGCAAGTGCAGGCATGCGTCAATAGATGAGTGGCAGGATGTGTCATGTACCTAATCGACTCACTGGATTTCTTTGCCGGGAGCACAAAGTCTTCGCCGATCTTGCGCTTGCCGAGCCTGCCAACTTGATGCTCTCCTTCCATTGACTCGGCCTCCTGATTCTCATTGGCGGACCTGTCCGCCTGCAGGGTGCGAACCGCCTCTTGAGCCTCTGCTTCAGCCAGCGCGCGCTCCTCCATCTCGATCTCCGTTTTAAGCGTTAGCTTTGTGCTGCTGCCAGTTGTTGCTACCGAAAATGCAGGCGAGGAGCGGAAAGAGCTAGTAGCTGCAGCAGCAGCAGCAGCTGAAGCCAGGCTGCTGCTCGCAGCCGTGAATCCTCCACCGAAGCCACGCCTTGTCACTTTTGGAGCGCGCGGAGCAAAGTCCTCCGTCAGTGCTTGTTTGGCAGCTGCACGGCTCTCCTGGCTTTCGGGCACGAGAATGCGCGGTGCAGCAATGACGATACCGGAAGAATATGCATGCCCAGCCTCCTCGACGCGCTCCTTTCTCGTCTCCACAAATTCGCGCAGCCCCTCCATGCGATCCGCCAAGCTGGCTAGGCCAAAGTACTGCGCAATCTTCAACGCCGCATCTAGCGTACGTGTCGTGTGAAGTTCGCGAGCAGCGTCTATGGCCTTCTTGTGCTTGTCGGACTTGCAGCTGAGCTGGATCAGCTGCAACAGAGCCTTGTCTGCATTCTGCTCGATGGCGTCTGGATTCAACTCGGCATCGAGCAGCGCAGGTGGCCGCGAGCGGACCATCGATGCGAGCAATGCCTGACGCAACCATGCTTCCTCATGTCGGCTTGTCGGCGAAGTGTTGTCTAAAACGGGTAGCGCAAGGTCGAGTTCCTGCACAAGCGGACGTGCTGCTGCTGCATCCGGCATTGTCATTGCTCCTTTCAACATGATCACGAGCAGCTTGTTGGAGACGACACTGACGGGCCAATACTTGAGCTCTGCAGTACTTGGTGCCTCCGGCATGCTCCTGACGTCCAGCGACGGCACCCATTTGGCGTTGGGACCAGAGCGTGAGCCGTCGAGAACGCTCAACACTCCCCGAGAGTCGAAAATGGCTGGTGTGTCATACTCGTTGAAGCCTGCCCACTGCAAAGTGGTGTCTTTGGGCAGGGGCAGCGAACCGTGATTCACAGTTGCGAGCGTCTGCATGTCCAAGAGCGTGTAGTTGAGATTCTGGTATCCTCCCAGCGCCGCACCGGGTCCGCGTGTGACAATCATGGCTGTGTGGCTGCCAGCGACCATCGTGACGACAGATGCGCCGAGATGCCAGATGAAACGTTGCAGACCGGAAGCACTGAAGATGCGCACGTAGCCGGCACTCGTTGCTACCAGCGCAGCCGTGGATGCAGCATCGCTTGCATTCTCCTCCTCTTCTGGCTTTCCGCAAGGCCCACTCATGGCGACGCAGACGGCGCTCTCGCCTTTTGGCAGATCGAAGCTCCATTCGGTAGAGTAGGCACCCCACAAATTGTCAAAAGGCTTGAAGAAAACGGTGCTGGCCAGGCGATCGCGCTCATTCTCCTCGCATGCGAAAAGCGCCCCGTGAGAAGCGAGCGAGGCCATGCTAAATTTGTGCTGGTCCTGAATGCGGTAATTGCGCCGAGCCGCAGTGTCATATGATTCAAATAGGATGCTTTGATGGTTGTCTTGGTCCACCGCGATGAGCGTGCCGAGCGTGTTGAAGGCAAGAAAGCGCCGCTGACTGCGCATGGGTGTAGAAGTGACTTGGAAAGCAGGTTGACTCGGGGTACCCTGGACCATTAGCCCACTCATGCTCTTACCACTTTTCAAGCGTCCAGCATGACGCTGGAGACGCTCACGCTCCAGATCGCGAGCGTAATCGCCACCGGCATCGTCGACGACGAAATCGACAAGGGAGACCATATCGTCATCGTCGTTGTCGTCGCTGACGGCATCGTCATGCCCCAGGTCGGCGCCAGCGGCATTCATGTCAACCAATCGTTTGCTCTCACGGTGCACCTGAGGCGCTAGCGCCTCCTCTTCCTCGACAGACGGATGCATGCGGATGTTGGCCTCCTGCCCAGGGAGCAGATCGCACGGGCTGGCGCTTCCGGGACTGATCACGTCCTCCCACCTGTACAACGATCCGCCAAGATCGGTCCAGCAGAGCGCGTTTCTGCGCATATTCCAGCTGATGCTGGTAACGTTGGCCTCTGAAAGTCTGCGCTTGATGGGTGCACGAGTCGCCGTGTCCCACACAGTGACTTGCCCGTTGCCAGCGGTAGCAGTTGCGAGGTAGCGTCCGTTCGGGCTAAAGTCCATGGCGGTCACCGCGCCGACAGGCGGGTCGATGGTAGGCGAGTGGCCGTTGAATGTCTGCTTGCGCTCCCACTGCCCAGGGTTCGTGGCGGACGGGCCCATGATGATAATCTCGTTTGTCTTGCCGGGGATGAGGAAGAACTTGCCGGTAGGATGCCAAAGTGTCTGCGTCGCGCGTTCCGTGTCCGTTGCGCGCGTAGTGACGAGGAGATCCTTAATTATCTGCGTGCAGATTGGCTCGCATGCTTCACCGTTAGTTCCCATGTCCCAAACTCGCACAATGCCATCGCAGCCGGAGGTCAGGAGGATCGGAGCGGTGGGGCTCCAAGCGCAGTGCCGAACCGAACGCATGTGTCCCGTGAGGAGATCAACATTTAATGGATCTTCCAGGTTGATCACTTTGACGATGAGCTCATCGCTGGCGACGGCGATGCGCGGAGCCTTTCCCGTGGGATAGTTGCGTTCGATGGCGGCGCAGCGGACCGGCAGGGTGGAGCGCGTCAGAAGTGAGTCCATGACCCATACGCTCTCCCCAGTGGATGGCTCAATGTTGATCGTGTAGACGCGCACGCAACCATCTTCGGAAGACGTGATGATAAAGTATGAGTCCACGTCAATCCAGCTGATCTGCATCGTTGCCTCTTCCATCGTGACAGGTGTGAAGGAGTCATCGTTCCCCAGGCTCGGCAAAGCACGGACCAGGTAGTCATCGCCGCCAGTCAGCACGATGCTGTAGCAAGGGTAAAGATGGTAAGACTCAGTTCTCCGAGCCTAGTCATCCCTCCGGTTGAGATTTAACACGTACTCGATGGGGCAGCCGCGCGTGGGGTGCTTGACGTAGGTCGCACCAGGCCCGTGGACGACCTGCAGGTCGACACCGTTCTGCTTGTCGCTGAACTGCATTTTTGCCGCTGCGTTCTGCCTTCGATCGTCGCTTTCTTATTGCACGGAAGCTCGTCTAGGCCTGCTGTGCGCCTCCGTGGCAGACACTTGAGCATGGGCTGATTGGCAACGAGATCGAGGTTAAGACTATCATCACGAGGACCATCCTGGGGAACCTATAAACGCGACCTTTTGTCGAGTACGCGACGCGTTTGCGACAACGACCACAACCCTAATTACTTTCGTTTACCGCAGTGGATCAATGGCAGAGTTAGGGTTGCATGTGTGTAGTTCGCGCCACAATCTGTCAGTCGCTCACTTCGGTGAATGTGATGCGAGGCGACAACAACGATGACAACCTTTCTGCTCCTCTTTCTCTTGTTCCCACGAGGTAACCATGAGCTCGCTCGGCGCTGGCAATGGACAGATGGACCTGCCTTTGCTTCGATAGAAGACTTGTCTTCAAGTAGAGTGCTGGAACCCGAAAATTACTGCGAGCCCTGGCCCGCAACAATCTGCAGTAGTCTGGAAGGAAAAGGGGTGAGGAGCACAGCGATACGGATCCCAATTCCCCACAGACGACAAGACTGCGCGAGGTACGGCTACAGACTCCTATGATTGGCTATCTCTCGCTTGATCGATATCAAGGCGGAGTTTAGTCACATCTGCTTGATCTGGCAGCAGCGGAAGAGAACAGATGGGTCTCTTGCGACACGGATGAGCAGTAATCAACTGTAGCAAGCAGAACTCACATTGCAGGCTCGGACAGCGGGCAGGCATCTGCCATTTCGCCAAAGATGGCGACTGGAGTCACTGGCGTACTCGCACCCTCGAACATCTCGACGTTCAACCCATTGAACTTCTCCAGAAATGTCACGCCAAGGACCACAGCAGGTCTCCTTACCACAGCCCTCACTCAGATGATCAACGCTACGTACATGGACCCTCCACCCTCGACAGTACCAGACCCGCCGGTACCGCCAGCGGCGGAGCAAAACGAGCGGTTCTCCTCATTGGCGCTATTTCTCGTGTTGATGCTCCTCATTGGCTCCTTCTGGACCTCGTACTACCTCAAAGTCAAGAAGATCACCGCTGTGCACGAAACCATTGTCGGGCTCTTCGCTGGCATGTTTGTCGGCCTCATCTTGAGGATCGGGCCCGGCGAGCAAGTGCAGAAGATGCTACGCTTCAGCAATACTATAATGCTCAATGTATTGCTGCCACCCATCATCCTTGCGAGCGGTTATGACCTGAGGCAGGTGAGTGACCTCGCCCAATCTTCAACTTGGCCAAAATAGCTTGGATTTACTCGAGCTTCTGTATGCCGCGCAGGAAAACTTCTTCCGCAATTTTTGGGTTATCCTCTGCTTTGCGTTCGCAGGCACTTTCATCAGCGCGATTGTCATCGGCGCGATCGTCTACATCTGGTCGCTTCTGCAACTTGAGTCACTCTCCCTCTCCTTCCTCGAGTGCCTCATTTTTGGCTCGACGCTTAGCGCCACCGATCCTGTCACAATTCTCGCGATCTTCAACACATACAAGGTCGACCCGCAGCTCTACAGCGTCATTTTCGGGGAAAGCATTCTGAATGACGCGGTGTCCATCGTCATGTTCGACACGCTGAGCACCTTCCGAGGCAAGACCATCTCGGCACTCTCCATCTTCCATGGGTTCGGGCTCTTCATCGTCATTTTTACGCTCAGCATGGCCCTCGGCATCTGCTTCGGACTAGGGTGCTCGCTGATGCTCAAACACTCTAGATTGAGTTACTACCCAGCTTTGGAGAGTTGTCTTGTTTTCTTGATAGCGTACACGAGCTACTTTTTCAGCAACAGTGTTACCATGAGTGGTGAGCATGCAAGCTGGTTACTTTTTTTCCACAAAAACTGACTGACTGTGCTTCCTCCTTTCGCCAGGAATTGTATCATTGCTCTTCTGCGGTATCACACTCAAACACTACGCATACCACAACATGTCGACCCGAACGCAAAAGACAACAAAATACATTTTCCAGACGCTAGCTAACGTGAGCCGATATATGCGCAATTTGATCTCTCCGCGCTTCGCTAACACTCTTAAAAATGCAGCTGTCAGAGAACTTTATCTTTATCTACCTTGGCCTCAGTCTCTTTACGCAAGACGAGTTAGTGTACAAGCCGCTGTTCATCATCATCACCGTAGTGGCCGTCGTCGTTTCGCGCTACTGCGCCGTCTTTCCGATTGCAGGCATCGTGAATGCCATCCGACGCGCTCGTAACAGACGGCGGACCGGCGCCGCAGCCCGCACACCAGGGAAGGAAGAGCTTCCGCGCGAGTACCAGATCATGCTCTTCTGGGCTGGTCTGCGCGGCGCGGTTGGCTTTGCGCTGAGCGCAGGCATCGAAGGCACGAATGCTATCCCGCTCCAGACCACCGTCCTCGTCGCCGTCGTGCTTACCGTCATCATGTTTGGTGGCACGACAGCGCAGATGCTCGAAATTCTCGGCATCCGCACCGGCGTGCAGGACGATGGGGATTCTTCGGACGAAGATGAATATGGGGGCAGTGATACGCACAGCATGCGCTCCGTTGTGGGCTCGGCTGGCACCCAGCGGCGCCGCGCACCGTATCGCCGCGCCCAAATGAGCAGGACCACCAGCGGCGTCAGGCGCAGCCAATGGGAAGATCGAGAAAGCGCAAGACCATTGCGGGCAAGCTTCAAGGACAATGTCAGCACGGACGACATCCACACCGGTCACGGCGGAAGCCAAATTGCATCACCGCTCTCATATGGGTGGCAGGCTAGTGGCCGCGTGCTCGCCACTGCGCCGGCTGACATGACCGACTTTTCACATTACGAGCTTGATGACGACGAGGACATGTCTTCATCTCATTCTGGTGAAGTGCTCCCGGCGCACTTCGGTGCTTCGCCAACAGCGGAAGGAACAGCTGCAGCAGCACCCACCGTGGCGTCACGAGCGTCGAGTAGTGCAATCGGCCCGCTAGATCTTGAAGAGGCCCGCAGCGGCATAGGCTCTGCATCCGCGCGACAGCTGCTGGGCCGGGCAGGCCTCATCATGCGCGATGGTCAATGGTTCCAGCGCATCGATGAGCGCTATTTGCTGCCCATGTTCAGCAACAGCGTCGCAAATCGAAAAGCTGAGGAGCGAAAGAAGGACCGGCTAGAGGCCCAGGCTGCGGCTGTGGCCTTGTCGAAAAGCGCGGCACGGAGCACTAGCGCTGCCCGGAACGAGCTGGTCTTCGGCGAGCGAGACGCAGACGTGGTCGAGGATGACGAAGACGACGAGGCAGAGCCAACGCGTCCGCTTGTGGGAACAGCATCAGGGCCGTCCACATTGAAAGGGGCATTTGGGCCATAGACTCAGGGTTCGTCAGTAAAGTGTAATAGGTGCATTAACTCTAGACATGTAGGATAGCGAAGACTTGCAGCAACCAGCAGAATACATTGCAGAGTTGCATACCCCTGCGGCCTCCTCACCCAACCTTGCGAGCGCCCCGGACCGCAACACCAAAGCAGCTTAGTATCACTTCGTCCCCTTCCACCTCCACTTTAGTTTCACTCGGCTCGGCGTTTTCGGCATGCACAACACTCTTCGCCCTCTTCTTCCCTTGCTCCGCATCAGCATCCTTGATCTTGAACCTGACTCCTAAGGTATCTTGTATGTCCCGGAGCATTTGCACCGCATTCGCCGTGAGACGGCCCATCCGCACCTTGCTCACGTCCTCCGGTCCTACGGCCATCAGAAGGAGGACCATCGCTTGGTGTGCACGGTCTATGCAGCCCCGGCTAGCAATTTCCGTCAAGAGAGCGCGGGAAGCACTGAGTGCAACTTCTTCGGGCGTGGATAGGGACTGTTCTGAGGATGAAGGATTGGAAAGCGCTTCTGCGCAGTGCAGAACACCTGTTGTGGAGGTTGCAACAAGGGATAACGCGTAGCCTGGTGATCTGGACGGCACAAAGAGATGCGACAATCAACAGAATAGCCATCTTTACAGCGACATGCATACTCACTTGCCGCTTTCATCACCCTTGAACACATCTGCAAAGAGGTACAAATCCGGAATGTATCTATTGAGGACACCCCTGGCACTATCGATCATGCGATTTGCCATTTGCGGGCTGACGCGCGTAGCGCTAGCGATACCTCGTATTCGTCGTACGCGACCAGGCTGCGTAAAGTTCAAGCTCCTAATCATGCCACCCGCCGATGACCCTCCCGATCCCGTACCTCCCGTTGAAGGTAGGAGTGGACAACAAAAGAACACCTCGCCACCACCAAGCGGGGGTGCTCCTCGTTTGAGGATGCGAAGTTCAAGGGGAGAAGAGAGGGAGGAAAGCTCGGTCGGCATGAAGAGTTGCAAGTGCGGCAGAGTGACAGTGCGGAGAATATCCGCCTTTCACGAAGGGAGAGTGGTCAGTACCTGATGATCATTTTACAGAAAATTTGATGATCGTGCTCTTACCCCAAGCTCGTTATAGTGCGTCGTGATGCCTTTTAAGGTGAGGTGGAGCTCACGCTTGGCAAAAGGCGCAAGGCAGATAATCCACTCTAGATACCAGCTGATGCTCTTGTCCGCCCCACAGTCGTGCGTCACCTTTCCACCGCTTACAATCCCCGGCTTTAGGAAGATGGAAGTACCGGTGTACCCAATCTCCACTTTGCTGCCGTTAGTGATCTTCTCGATGAGACGCAGAAATGATGCCTCGTAATTGGAAAGACCGGGCTCTGTGAACGACGACGATGCTCGGATCTTGTCTATTCGAATTGGACGCCCAGACAACACCGAAAGAACGATTCTTTGTCGCAAGTAGGCATGTCCCGTGAAGCGCATCAGACGAGACGCACTCGCAGATTGCTGCTCTGATGCAGAAGGGACGCTGCTGCCGCTGGTCATGGAGGCTGCTGTACCGCCGCTAATGGCGTTTACTTTTCGCTTTTTGGAGGTCGACGCTACCGACATTGCGCAGCTCAAGAGGGTATGATGACTGCCGTTTCTTGGGTTGTTTTCAGTACCAACTGTGGCTAATGGTCCTCCCGCACACGGAACAGCATGTCGGGTTATAGCCATGCGCGACAGCAACAAGGCCAACCTTGTACTTCTCGGACAGCAACGCTCCTTGGGGGGCGAGAGTAGGAGCGAAGGGAGCGAAATTTCTGGACGTGATTCCGAATTCCGAGTTCCGAGCTCCACACTTCCCGAACACCCCCTCGTTGAAAGCATGCGCAGAAGCAGCAACCCTAACAAGTGACCTCGGAATATCCATTTCGTTTGTTAATTTCTTTGGGGGGGGGGGGTTCGTTAGCCTCCGTCCTTTCGTGTACACCGTCCCCGCCTTCCTGGAGTGGAACAGCCACAAGGCGGCTCATAGTTACCTTGTCGATCTTGATTCTGTCAAAGTTTCAAGCAACGTCTCCCTCAAGTGAGGGGCGGGAATGCAACCAAATGTGACCAAGTTGGCGGATCAACGCCTGGTGCATCTGAGACCATGCCTTGATCTCAACGTCATGGATCACCTTGCATTCGTCTGCGAGGAGTCACACAGCGGGTGCTCTGTCCTTGCACTCAAGTTTACTACCGTATACAGCCTTGTTTCTGCTCAAAAACAGCAAAGAGACGCAATTACATCGTTTTAAACATTGGGTAAGAGAGGAGAATGATTTTCGCATTTTGCGAGCATGGGTGACTGGGGTTGGTAGTGTCCCGAATTACATGGTTCCAGTCCTTTTTACAGACCGTTGTATTTGATTTCTCTCTTTCTTTCAAGATCTGTATTTTTCTTTGGCGCAATTTCTCACCTTTTGAATTACTCTGTGGAGACGCATTGCAGCCAAGTCAGACGCTGCAGACGCTCAGATGCGGCGAGATGGGGCCGGAAAGGTAGAGTAAGTTGCGGGCAACGTCCAAGTTGGCGTTGGTAATCACGTTGACATCGCTGCCGTCTGCCTCGTAGAACTTTTCAATGTGCCAGCCATCCGCGCCAGCTGAGGCCAGGTCGGCTGCCGGGATACGTATGACCGTGCCTGGGGCTTTGCGGTTGTACGGATCCCCAGCAGCAAGGACTGCGGCCGTGTCGAACACCTTGGGGAAGCTGGCGGCGAAAGCGTCACCGTTGCTGGCCATGTTGACATTATCGCTTGGCATGCCCACGGGGATGTCGACGACCTTATTCAATGCCTTGGACGCAGGGTCAAAGTCAAAGAGCGTTTGATGTGGGCGGCCAGAGTAGGGAACGAGGTATCGATTTGCATGCTGACTCAGACGGACAAGGCCGTTGGGCAACGCGCTGGGAGAATAAACGATCTTGCATCCAACAGCAGGATCACAGTATCCCACGTTAGCGACTGGATGCAGCGTCTCGATCGTGTCGCGCTACCGAGGAGATATAATCAGCGTAAGCAAAAAAAGGAGTGAGCCGCTTGCGAATCGCTTGTCTCAACACGTACGTGCTTTCCTGATTTTCTCTGGTGATCATTCGTGTACAAGAAGCCGTCCGCATCTACCGGAGCGACACGATTCGGCGTGTGGATAAGCGGATCGGCCCAAGTGCGGACGTGGGTCATGCTGTCACTCCCTAGCGTTGTCTCAAAGATCTCGATGGTGGAATTGGCGCCGGTCTTTGTGTTGTCGATCAAATTGCCCTGGACGTCGAGCGTAGGGCGGTGATTGTTCAAGAAGATCCGCAGGGTAGGGTTTTCGTCAGTGGATACGGCGGGGATGACGTGAACGTTGATGCCATGCAGATTGAATGTGCCATCGCCATTGAGGCCGCTGAATCCTTCCGTCTTGACTTTGGTTACTTTTGGGTTGGTCTTCAGGTCTGAATTGGTATCCAGGATGTACACTGCGTCGTTGAGGGTCCTTTGATCGGCATGCAAGTTTGCCATGCCAGGGAACCAATGCTTTTTGCCCTCGGCCGCTGAACAGGCGGCATACAGCAAGCCCGACTCGTGGTGCATCCAAAAGTCTTCGCAACCCGACAAACTTTGGATCTTGACGCAGTTGCCGTTTCTCGTCGGGGTGATTGCTCTGCCGATCCCGGCAACGTCCCTGACAAGGGGAACAGCGACATACCCGAGGCCGGCAAGGGCCGCGAAGAGTACGGCGATAGTCGCCATCGTGGTTCAACAACATCGTCTAGGGCGACTCGAACAACGGCAGGTGTGCATTCTAGCTCTTGGGGAGAGGAACGAGAAGATTTGACAAAGCCTGCCTTCAGCACGTTGCGCAGGAGGGTGTGCTGGACAGCGACCGTCTTTTACAGGCCTCATTGAGCGGGGTCGCTTTGTTCATACCAACAAGCTTGAAACTGCTTTCGAGCCGTCCGAGTTGGATCATCCTTCGTCCCGGAGAGGCCGAGACCCGAGACCCGAGCCCGCCAAACGCATGAAGGCCCGTGCGTCGCACTCGTCGTGTGCATAACCCTAATAGACACTCGCCTTGTGGCCATGCCTTTACTTTGTTTTTTTTTGCAGAGGTGCAAGTACATTCTACCGCCTTTTCTACTCAGATTATTCTGATGTTTTCGCTTGCTGCCCAAGGAAGTTGACCTTTTCGGCTGCATTATTTGAACCTGTCTCCACGAGTTCAACACCTCGATGCGATTCAGATTCATTGGCTCGAGGTTGAACCGGTCTACTTGGGCAAGCTCGGACCAATGTGCACCAATCTGATAAGCAGACCCAGAGTTTGCAGCGTTGAATCGAAATATGCCAGCACGAGGGACGACTGGCCCACTCACCATTCCACCACCCCCAGGATTGTCACTCTGTCATATATATAGCACGTGTGCCCGTTGCGAACAAGGTAGGGCAGGGCTGCTGACCCTGTCCTGGCGATAGTACATGCATGCACATGACTCTGGCTTACAAGCTTTCTGCTTTCATCATCAAGCATCAAACATCAAGCTTCCAGATGAGTACTGAAGCAGCAACAACGTTGTGGTTCAGTTGCACCTCCGTCGCTCTTGTCAATGTATACCCTCGTCAGATAGGTTCTACTATAGATTTAATGAAATCTCAATCAAAAGGTTTAGCCCAACCTCTGAGGTTCAAGTCTTTATAATGGGGGAAGACGTTGCTCATATCCCGAACGCCACAGGCGGGTTTGCGCCCTAATCTGGACCTCGCTGTGCACGCCACCACGTGGCTATCCAACGGCACGAGCCTGCATAAGGTCGCACCTTGTGGCCGAGCTCTCTGAGCGGGATGATGACAGCCCCACCTTGAGTCATCTCCACACATGCGATACTCCGCAAGGCGCTGGCCTCGCATGCCTGTCTTACGGCAGCATGCGCAAGTCAGAGCTGTACGGCCTCCCCTCCAACCCTACGCTACATTCTTACTCGCGGCCCAGAAGGGACGCCCACTCGGATACCCAATGTCAGCAGCGCTGAAGAGCGGCGAGTGTCGGCAGCGTTGAAGGTGATTTACGTGGGAAGCCCCTTTTCTCAGCGTCTGATGGAGGCGTGGGAAACTTGTGCTAGTATCTCGACACTCCCCGCACTGCTGACTTTGTCCATGTGGTTCACTGGGAGAAACAGCAAGGATGCTCCCCAAGAGTTGCGGTCGAGATGAAACCTCTGCTGGATCCTTCACATAGACTGGCTTGTATTTCGTGCTAGCCTTCCCGACTCAGCGTCATCTGGGTCGTCACTTCATGCGTGTAAGGCGATACGACTACGAAGGTTACTCGTCAGGCGTTGACTACAGGTCTTCCTCCATTCAGTACGACATGGAGTACTTACGCCAACCACTTGATAATCAACCCGGACAGCGCGGTAGCGCAGAACGTCGAGTAAGAATAAACAGACTTAAGAACTACACTCTTGCATGCAACTTGCGTGCGTACCTGGTGAGTTGGCTCAAAAGACCCAGAGGGGTTTGAACATCATACGGATTCCTCGCGTCTGCAGATCTCTGCCCGTTGTATAGCCCCAGTGGTCCTTGGCTCGATTGCAGTACCTTGGAAAAATGAGCAAGCGGATTGGCTTTTCTCTTGGTTTCAGGACTACCGGGATGAGCAACCAATTGACTGACCTATGCTGTTTGAGATCATTGACAATTTAAATCCGAGCGTGCGCCTGGCGTACCTCGCCGTCATTGCTCTAGCCATCTTGACCCCTTTTGCTGGACTGATGCTGATTCCACACGTTTCAGACGGTCGGCATATCCTCAGGCGTTATCATGTCAGACCAGAGCTGAAGGCGCTCGCTCCGGCAACGCTGTCTTCTCCCCTGCAAAGCTTGACACGTTGGTGCCGGCTTCGGGAGAAGCGGTATCCGACATCCGGACAGTCGCGGGAGGTCTCTTTGTGCTAACCATCAGTCAGGCGATGAACTTTTTTTACGCGCGAAACGCTGCTGAGGACCCGCGGTGCAAGGTGACATTCCTCTTCACAAGCATCTCGATGAAGCATCCAGATACCGCAGCAAAACAATTTTATCGAGAGATGACGAGCGTCAAATGTGATTGCTCATTTCCGGCGCCGGTGGCAGCCCTACATGGGACAGTATCGCGGCCACTCCCCTCGGCATGCGCTGAATGGCCTCCACCTCGGACGCATGCTTTGCCAACAGCATGCCAGCAAAACCTGAGTGGAGAGCGAATGATCATAAGAGTGAATTGATTTGCACGCCGGGCAGGTGGCAACTCACCCATTGCATTGATGCTCATGACCCCGAGCTGTTTTCCGTTCACCACTGGCCATTCGCCTTCGAGCTTGTACTCCTCTGTTCGCCTCGGAATGAAGTGCATCGCACGTCTCGTGACGAGCAAGTTGAAGCTCGGCGTGCGCCCCGAGCCCATCAACCCGCCATCCTGCCTTTCGGTCTGATCTTTGCCGGACGATTCTATCGCCGCCGATGAAAGGGCATATTTGGCTTGAATCATTGCATCTAAAAGGCCCATAAGCTTATTCGTGACATATTGCTCCGTTGTACCGGCTTTTTTCGCCTGGCCTGCGTCAAGCAGCGCGACAAAGTGCTGCCAGGGTACTGGGAGGGCATACACACCATCTGCAGGAAGCTTCGAAAATTCAGCATGCGTTCTCGTGTGCAATTTTGTTGAGCACCCACCGTGCTCTTTCCCGTCTTTCTCGATTTTGTTCAACAACTTCTCAATGGGGATGAGACCATCCTCGTCGTGTTCGTCCGTACCCGTTGCATTCGCATTTTGTTGCATATCATCCTTACGTACTTCGATGCACTGTAAATGACAATGCTTTTGGCTTGCCCCGCTGTCCCAGCCACAGTTGAAAAAAGCAAGCATTTCACTGTCGTCAGACATGGGATGTGCTGTTACGATTCGATAGGCTAAGCTGAGCAGTGGGGGTGGAGGAGGGAGGTCTTGCGGAACGAAATCTGGGTCCGCAAGGCTTTAGTCAGTTGCAAGAATGAATAAAGTCAAAAATTGCAGTACCAACCTTTTGTGATGAGGAGAAAATGCTTGGGGACGACACAGAACTTGTTGAGGAGGATAACGCCTTCATCGCATTCCTTCACGAGCAAGTTTGGCACGTAAGGCGGCAGAAATGGATCTGATTTGTTCTGTTGTAAGCCCGTCTCGTCCCGTTTCTGCCCTTCGCTCGCTCCAACCCCAGGGTTGACCGCATTCGGCGTCGGCTTCTCGAGGAGAGAAGGGACATTGCGTAGGATCCACGGCACTTGCAAGCCAGTGCTACTCTCGTGCAGAACATGGACCTCTGACGGATAGAAGAAAGCATCTCCAGTAGTAATCGCCTTTTCGTATTGCTGCATGACGCCAAAAAATATACGCTTTATTTCGGATTGGGAAGTCATCGCGCGTAAGGATCTATGCAGGCTTGTACGGCGAGTCGGGTGCGAGCACGTGGGAATGAGCGATGGCGGTTGAAACAGATGCGGCAGATGCCTCCAGGCCATGTATGGCACTGCAATCAAGGCGCTTCCCCGGCGTTCCCGCGATCAAGGCTGATCTGGCTGTCTGTCACTTGGTCTCTCTCTCGAATTCTGCCTAAAGGGCGAAGACTGAAGAGCATGCAGGACTGTCGTCCACGACACTGTTCCCTGCATTGATTGAGTTGATCCCAGTTAGCAACGAGTTAGTGACACCGCGGTCCACTTATCCAAAAAACCCATGGCCATTACGCCCCCCTGCGGTCTGGTGCCTGATGAGACCCTCCGTCTCCTTGTTTTCAAAATGCAAGTACACATTGCAAGGAATAAATGGATGAATCAATTAGGCGCGAACAGTTCTCCACGTGATACTTTCCATAGATCAGACATGTGCTACTGGTTGTGCTAGAGTTCTGCCGACTCCACCGATCCAGCACCCTCGGGACGTCTGGCTTTAGACACTTGGCAGTATGAGCGCATCTGGGACAGGAGGCCTCCAACGACGGCGCGTACCCGGTTCGTCGGCTGCCCCGTCGACTAGCTGGGCTGCAGGAGCAGTGGCTGACCTGGACGAAGATACCCCACCTCGCTCGCACACCAGTACACCTGTGCATCAGGAAAATGGTGGAGAAAGCAGGTCGAGCTGGGATGTAGGATCGTCCTCACGAACACGGCGGCGGGATGGCGATCTAGGCAATCCGAATTCGCCAGGGATTGCCTCTTTCAGCCGATCTGGAGGGGGTGGACAGAGCATCACTGTCACCGACGACCGGGGTCGAAGAGTCGCTTATGATCCAAGGGACCTGAATGATGACAAGGAGACAAACGAGCACCCACACCTTACTCTGATGGAGGAGATCCTTCTGTTAGGACTCAAGGACAGAGCGGTGCGTATTCATCCATGCGCAGCCTTTGTCCACCATGTGCTAATCTGCTTCCTGATGGTGCGCTCACAGGGGTATCTTTCTTTCTGGAATGACAACATTTCATACGCACTGCGTGGCTGCATTCTACTCGAGCTCGTGCTACGGAAGCGGATAGCGGTCACCAAGGATCCAAGTCGGCGGAGATTCGCAGTGCAAGATCGGATTCTTGAAGTGATCGGCTCGAAGATGACGGGGGAGGTGCTGTTGGACGAAGCATTGAAAGTCATGAAGGCATGTGATGAGCCAATGAGCTGTTCACAATGGGTGGACTTGCTCAGCGGTAAGTGCAACGTGAAAGCAACATGCATATGGTGGCATGCTCACAAGTACGTTCGCTAAATCCACTCAGGTGAGACCTGGAACTGGATGAAGATTGGCTTCCAGATGAAGCAGGTCCGCGAACGGCTCGCAAAGGGATTGGTAGACAAGGGTATTTTACGGACTGAAAAGCGCAACTTTTTGCTGTTCGACATGGCAACGCATCCTGTGGCAGACACCGCAACCAAAGATGCTGTCCTAAAACGAATACTCGTTCTCCTCACCTCCAGCTCATCTTCGGTACATGCCAACATTTTCTATCGCGAAGAGAAAGCGGATGTCACTTTCCGCGTCACGCGAGCGCTCTGCCTGCTCTGCTGTGCGTTTGCCGCGAATGTGCTGGAAAATGCACTGACGCATCTGACGTATGAAGCGCGCGAGACGGCATTTCAAAAGGCGGATGACATCATGAACGAATTCAGCCAGTGGCCCATGGCACCACAAACGCCTGGAGGAGGCATCGGCGCTGCCCCGACCGCGGCATCTGCCTCGGGGGCAAGAATGAACGGAACCGGCATTGGCGAGGGAAGTGTGCTCACAGATACTTACGAAGAGGCCAGCATGGGCGTAGGCGTCACAGAATTGGCCAGAGCCATCCGCAATGACTATTCCAAGGCGGATGAATCGCAATACGAAGCGATCGCAGGCTTGCTGGCGACTTTGGCAAAAATGGACAGTCTGGTGAGGATAACATTTGGTCCGGGGTCCCATCCTGCACACCTCAGTTGACTATTCCCCCCTATCTCAGATATGATAATACCGGGCATTTTGATCTAAAGCTACGATTAATATAATCCACCCGTTGCTTAGGAGCAAAACAGATGATTTCCGGCTCCAGGCCACCCAGGCGCCACATTTTAGCCATACGGTCGTGTGTGAGGGAATACGCGTCATGTCAAGGGACGCAATGTGCTCTATTCGTCGTCATAAGTGAACTTGATCGAGCTGCAATGGGCAGAAGAGATGTACGCAAATCAGCAATTGCAATGGAACGTGGCCTAATTTGCTCATCGCCACTCACTGGCTGCTGGTGTCAATCACACCACCCCTGTAGCTGCCCCTCTTCTTCTTGTTCTTCTCCTTGGTAAATCCTTTGCCGCGCGTGACGATCAGGTCCGCTGAAGCTTTGGCGCCCCAATCGCCTGCACCAGACTTGGCCGAATAAGACATGTCCTTCAACCGATCGTCCAGGTAGCTGACATCCTCGCTCTTGATGCGCTGGAACCTGTTCGACGTCCCGTTTCCGTTGCGGCTGGGTGTATTTTTGCCGCTTGTAGTTCCACTCTCACTTGTGGTCGCCTTGCCACCCTGGGGCGTGCTAGTCATCGGAACGGCTAAACCGTCCCGAGGATTAGTAACATCGGCTGTTGCAGCCTCTGTTTTTGTTCGTTTTGCCGTGTGGCCCTCATTTGCCTTGTTGGGTGGTGTGGGCTTTCGCGTTTCTTCCGCTTCGCTGTCCGAATCCGAAGAATCGCTGCTGCTACTGCTGCTGCTGCTACCACTGCTGCTGCTGCTACCACTGCTGCTGCTGCTACTCTGTTCGGACGAATCATCGTCACTCTCCGCATTTGCAGAATGTTTCCGCTTGCCAAGCGAAGAAGTGGCGCGACTGGTGGGAGTCGCAGGTCCGGTTGTTGCGCTCCCTGAGTTTGCGGTAGCCTTCATGGGCACATCTCCATCGTCTTCATCGTCGCTGCTCTCCTCGTCCGAGCTTTCGGCGTTAGAGCTGGATTCGCTCTCATCGTCGCTATCAGAAGAGCTGTCACTATCTGAGCTGGAAGATGTGGATTCTGAAGATGACGAAGAAGAGGATGATGCTTCCTCATTGTCAGAGTCGTTGTCGTCACTGCTGTCATCGCTGTCCTCTGACGAGCTACTACTGTCACTGCTATTGCTGCTATTGCTGCTATCACTGTCAGTGTCAATCTTGATACCTTCTTCCGCGTTGGTAGTGATGGCCATGCCAAGCAGTGTAGCCGCTTGCCTAATCTGAGTTGCAGCCAAGGGTACAGATCGATCCAGGGCGGCGCGATGAGCTATAGTGAAGAGTTCTACGCACGGAAGAGATGATGAGTTCAGTGGAATGGAGCTTGATGTCTACAACGCTCTACATTCGCACCTAATAATTTTCCGTCTGAGATGCCAGCTGTATCCGTAGGGTTTGTCATGGTGGTAGTTCCAACCGCCCTGTTTTATTATTATTTTGGACCTTCTTTCCCCTTGCAGCCACTTGTCCAAGGCTCGCACACTTTCTGTGATGCAGACAGAAACTCTTCGAAGCAGGATCGTTCGATAGGCAGGAGCCTTAGCACTTGTTCCCCGTTAATATTGGAAGGGATAGAGGTGAAGTCCAAGAAGACGTGAGATAGAAGGAGTCTCTAGAATTCTTGTTTCAGCCCTGCCTTCTGATATGACCTGGCATGTACAGCACGGTGACTACAGGGGCCAAATACAGCCACAAACGTAAGTGTCAGAGAGCGACGAACGAATTAGCAATGAACGCCGTTTTGGCCTCACAGCGAAAAAAAGCTTGTAAGGGGATCGGAAAATTACGTAATGCAACTTGGTGTATTCGGCGTAATATAGGGTTTTATGATCTTCCATAGTCTGTATCACTCGGAATCCGCCGAGACTACAATGAGGACTCGATCCCATTGGCATACAGGGCCATGCAAGATACTATTGCATGGCCTCAATTCGTCGCTTCAAGTCTCGTCATCGAAGACCACATGTTGCCGCCATGTTCAGTTTCCCATCAGAAAAGAACTAAAGGAGGCTTCAGACCTGTTCGGCAGAAGCGATGACGACCTTCACTTCAGAGCTGGGAAGCGCGCCTCTGCGCAGAAGGCGTCGGGAAGAGGAGATTGAAAGCGCCTATGAGGTTCAGCGTGTGCGTTCTTGTTTGCCTGCCCCTTATCGCTCTGGTCACCATTGCTGGAGGTTGATCGCAACTGAATTGAAACTGTTCCATGGCGATTGTATATGACAGGCTGCAGCAATCAAAGGCGCCCTCATCTGGACGGGGATAGGAGCGTCGTCCTGTTTTTTCGCCCACAATCTCTTCCCTGGTTTCCGACGGCAAACGCTGGCGCTCAAGGCATTTTTGACATCTGGAGGTGAACAAGCATGAAGTGAAAAAATCAGGAGTAGTTGTTTTCCAGTGGTCCTGAACAATCCGTCTTCCACTTTGGCAGCTACGATTTTTGGGTTCGTGGTTGGGGCAGATACTAAGCTTCTCTCTCACGAGTCCCAGCAACGAGCAAGGGAGAGCCGAATACGGCAAATGGCCTGCTCAGAACTGGGCAGAAAAGGGATTGTCGCTTCCGAGGCGGAAATTGAAAAGTGGAAGGATACCTTGAGACAAGAGTACCTAGACAAACAGGCGAAACAGCAAGACGCCGTAGACAGGGTGGCTCATCAGGCCGTTCCCGAAATGGTGTCGACGTCGCACACCTAGACACTCCAGCGATGTGTCACAACGACAGAAATAGATTAAACCATGACGCTATATTCTCACCCGTACCATAGGATAGAAATGATTATTGAGACGACGGGATTGCACGAGAATATGTCTGTCGCATACAAGAAATACCGGCCAAGCCGAGGCGTGTTGGGTTTGCCTCTCGGGGTTCTCTCTAGCCTGCCTATTCTTCCAACTGTCAAACATAATCGCAAGCATGGCATCAGGCCATAATCAGCCGTGATGTGGCAAGATGGCCACGGCATGTACTTACCTCAACGCTGAAGCTGGTGATCTGCGGCAGGTATGCGCAAGCGGCCAGGTCAATGTAGTACAGGTCGTCATAGATCTCTTTGCCGTCGAACCCGCCATGCACAAAAAGTCGCGAATCGCGCAGCCAGGCTTGGTGGTATCCTCGACCAGGTGGCTGGCGTCCACATACTCTGCGGACCTCCCACTGCAAGTTTACCAAGTTCAGTGTGAGAATCTCTGACGTGTACGAGTGCGAATCGTGTCCGCCGACTACAAAGAGATACGAGCCAACTTGGGTAGCGGTGTGCCCTAGTCGATTGTGTATCTCATCGGTCTTGACCTGGTACCAGACCTTTGAATCTGCGTGAAAAGTTTGATCAGCGCATTCGACAGTGGCAACGAAGAGCATGTCGGCTTGCCCTTACCCAGCTTGAGTACGTGTATATCATTGAAGCTCATGTGGCCGTCGCTGCCTCCGATCACAATTAGCTTGCCGTCTACGACATTGCTGGTATGATACCCTCGACCGATGGGAATCTTGCCTTTGCAGTCCCACTTCTTCCACTCCAGGCTGCTCAGATTTGAACAGTCCATGCTATACACGTCATTCAGCGCGCCGACCCCATTTCCTCCACCAAAGACAATCATATGACCTTCATACGCATTCGCAGTATGGGCGCGCCGTGGTGATGGGGTCGCGCCGTACACAACCGGTTTGGTCCAGCGAAGGGATACTGTGTCGAAGACGTAAAGATCGTTGAAATAGTGCGGCCCATCGCCACCAGCAAAGACGAAGAGCATACGATCCATCATACACGATGAATGCGCTCGACGCGGAGGCGGCACGTCCCCGGTAACCTTCGGCTTTGACCAACACATGGTCTCTGCGATGAAGTGCGAGGGTCGTCAGGCTTGTAACGCGTTTTAGCCGGCTCAGACAAGACCCTTACCCGTGTCAAAACACCATAACTCCCTGAAGCATCCCTTCGAGTCACAGCCCCCAAAAAGCCAGAGAACTTCTTCGACTAAATTCGCAGTGTGAGCGCGGAATGCGCGCTTGGGAACAGTCCCGTGTACTGGCGCTCGTGACCAGTACATTGCTGGTGGTGGTGCAGGGGAGACGCCTGGCGCCGAGGGCAGCCTAGGAGCAGACACACGGACTGTTGACCAAGGGTAGTGAGGATAGGAGCCCCCGCCGCTAACTGGTGTGCTGCCTGCAGCGCTGGCCGCATTCGCGGCTTCCGAGGCTGTCCCAATCGCGGTAAGCTTATTGGATGGGCTTTCTGGTACCTGTACAGACTCCTCGTTCAGGGCCCGCTTGTTGCCTTTGGACGACTGGGATCGAAAACTCGACTGGTTCCCTTTCGGGTTCTGGTTTGGGCCTTCGCTCGAGGCGTGCGATGTGTACGAGGTGGAGTGACCCAGTGCAATAGCCGAGCCCGCCGATCCCTTGTACCCATGCCCACTGCGGTTCTGCCCCGAAGCCGCATGAAGCGGCTGTGACGCAGTGGAGGTTGAAGCTGATACGAGATCGTCGCCAGTTGAGCCCAGCGCGCTGTTGAGGCCATTTGAAAACGTCGAGCTTGCTTCATGGGTGGTTTCATTTATGATCCGAGCCTGATTGGCTGATGCCGAGATGCGAGGGGGAGGATGGCTCGCGCGGCCACTTGCAGTGCTTCCTACGTCCCTTCGAGCGGTGACATATGTAGAAGCGCCATCACTCAGCACCTCAGCGTCGTCTTCCAAAGGAAGCTCGGTTGGTGATCGAAAGGGCGACGTTGCTTGACCAGCAGGGGCCACGCTTGCACTCAGCGAATGCACATCGGCAAGGGACGTGCTGGACATGTTTCCGTTTCCTAGGCTGCCCTGGGGAGCAGAGCTGGTCCTCGCCATCGACGTTGATAGCGAGGACAGATGTCTCCCTAGGGTCGCACTCGACGCATCAAGAGCCGGATCGATTCCTAGCGGCTGGTGAGGAGCTGCGATGACGATCGTATCGTCCGGGGCCGAGGGTGCATCTAGCGACATCGAATCGTGTGCCACGGACGGCTCGTTCTCGTTGACTTCAACTGTGTACGCTGTGACAGAGAACGATGAGCCTGCAACGTCCACGTCCTCGATATTGGAGGAAACAGCGTAGCCCAATACTGTCGACATAGGCTTGTGGAGCGAGGGTGACAACGACGACGGCCCGCTGCCTGCTGCTGGTGGTGCACTCTCATCTTCGCTTGCTTCTCCTTGGTTAAGTGGTAAACCTACATGCTACTGAGCTGAAACGCCCACGACCTTTGCTTCATGGAGCGGAACACCACGGTCGGCCTTACGCCACCACTGGTGTGAAAGTCGCCTATATTGCACGTACTGGTGATGGGTCATGAGGGGCTCATCAAAAAGACGGCGACCTGCGCGTATCCATTTCAAATCCCAGGGGCTTACCAGCTCTGATCTATGAATCAGGGGATTACTCTTAAGTTTTCGTCAACACGCAACTTGCTGTTATCCGCTTTCTGGTGCCAACATTGGGGAACTCATTAATTCATGCCCCCCTCCACTTGCTCATGAGGCGTGATACAACAATGATTGAGTACTAGCCGATGAGTTCAGGAGGGGGTCGTTGTTTCAAAGGGCAGCGAGCTGGCCGCAGCAACAGCATGTATCATTGGATCTACATCGACTGTCATCAGGAGGCACCTCGAGCCCTTCATCCGTGCGCGCAAGGCACGGTGGCCCCTTGCAAGGCACAACGTCGCCTTGTGCTCCACCATTTGTGAAATTCACATTTTCTTTTTTGGACCAAAATGATGAAGGGCAGATGTCCCAGGTCCCCTTTGTTCTTTTGAGGCGTGAAAGATAAATGTGGTGCAATCGAGCGAAAGGAGTGGGACCCGTACGATGGACGCTTCTGGTGGTGACCTGGGTGACTCGTGGGGTCATAAAAGCAAGAGTCTGGAACTACAGTGAACTTGATTTAAGCGCCGCACGGGGCCTTCGGCGTCAGAGTGGGATGTATTCGCAACGAGCCTTGATTCGAGCGTACAACGTGGTTCACACTCCATATGCCAGCCTTACCAAGCAGCTGTCAAGGCGAGAGACATATGAGCATCTTCATGGCGTCTTGTGAAACAACAAGGTAACGACGAGCGTGCACCCCAGTCGACCGCTGGGCAAGGTACCATGGATTAACTGTAATTGAGTACTATAGTCCGTAGTGATTCCGCCCTGATAGATACCGACGCTGGTCATCGTATCATCCATTTGCATGCGTATGGCAAAATGACAACAAAAACAACAACACGCTCAGACGAGTGTACGCCTCTCGTCCTCGTCTCTAATGTTCAAGAGACTACGCTCGCCGGAAACCTGGTAGGTGTCGCCAGAACTGAAGAGCGAGATGAAGCGACCCAGATTCGAGCAGAATCCACTACTGCCAAACTCACCACGTCTTCCCGCGTAATTGCCCCGGATCTTGCGCGTGGCATTTTAATGCTGCTTATGGCCGGCCATTGGTCGGTCTGCCCACCTGGATCAGCCTGTCTGGGCTGCCAGAAGATGGAATACGTCAGGTGTAGTACACTTGGACAGTGCTGATGTGATCCTTTCCTTGTGCCTGTCGGTGCAGATCATGGAGCACTTACTCAAGCGCGTTCGCACACGGACAGGGAATGACTTCAGAAACTGCAAGCCTCACTATTACTCGTTTTAATCACTTCTGGCCATACCTGCTGGGGACACTGTCACACATGTGTGCGCCAAGCTTTGCAATGCTCATGGGCATGGGAATCGCATATTGGACAAATGGTCTGAGTTCAACAGGCCAAGTTTTATGACAAAGCCAAATGTACATGGTGGTGATTAATGCATGATACCATTTTTGCTTGAATAATATTTTGCGCAACAGCGTATATCAAAAGGCCTAGAAGTCAAGCGCTCCTCAAGCACGTAGTCCTTCGAGCTGTTGCCATCATTGTCATCAATTTCCTTGCCTTCCCTGAGCTCTTCAGTCAAGGCATCTGGCTTCTCAATATTGCCCTCTGGGCTCTAATTATCGGTAAGCATGGGTGATCGGGCCAAAATCCTCGCAATGTCGCTTTCTTACAGAATGGCATGTCCGTCAGATTACATTCTTTCCGGGCTCCTGTCCATCGCGCTATCACATTATGTCGTGCGATTGCTCAATCGGACGGTATGCTCTCATGCAGTGCTTTCCAACCCTGAAGATGCCGCAGTCTTGCAACGTAACAGACGCATTGCACTGCTCATAGATGGGCTGCTTTTGGCATTCAGTGCCATGCTCGCCTGGCTTAACATCTGGACTGACCCACTCCACGGGCGTTGTCCTTTTCCTGAAGCTCCAGCGCCAGCCGCATTTCTTGCTCACCTGGACCAGTTCTACATTGGCGCCAAGGCACCATGGGATGGCGTGCCCCCTTGCAACGCTGACGCAGGCCTCGTCTTCAAGTTTTTATTTGGCACAGGCGAGCAGGTCTTGACGTATCTTGATGCCGAATACGCTGAGCGCAACTCTTCCTCCCTATCTTACAGCTCTGTGCCCTGATCTCGGCATTATCAGCGTGTTTCCTCGCACGGGGTGGCTCAGCTTTGTCGTCTTTGTTCTCGTGTATGGCCAGTTCATGGCACGCAGCGATAACGGCAAATTGGCTATTGGTATCAATGCTACGCTGGCTGTTATATTTGCGCTCATGTTTGTCTGTACACGCATCTCCCAGTTCGGTAACTTATCAACCGACTGCCTGCGGACGCCAGCGCAAAGCCAGCGTGCAGCCAGCGCCAACCGATTTCTCTCCAGCGTTCAAAGCTTCTTGTACACCGTCAAGTACCCCACCTTCGCCGGCTTACGCCTTCACAATGTCAGCCACATTTGCCCTGCTCGTCCTCATGCAGCCGATCGCGGCTCTCAATAGCCCCAAGTTTATCGCCAGAACCAGATAAGTGCTCTCGTCTTTGGGACGAATACGCTGTTCTTTTATGGCTTACATTTTCCGCTGCTCAAATTCGTCGGTGCTATCGTGCTGAGCTCACCGTTGGCAAGGCCTCTCCCAGACCTGGACGGCGCTCCTAGCTTGCAGCTGGGCATCGGCTTTTGGGCGATCTGGAGTGCCACCACGGCTGCCTGCTTCTATCTTTGCAAAGCTTTCGCTACTTTCAAAGCATCTAGAAATCCAAACTCTCTTTTGAGGGTTTTCTAGATGCTAGAACGGGTTCTGACGTCACACATCACATGGGGAATACCTCCATTCTAATCCAACTAAATGCAACTACCAACGCGTGCATTGGAGTGTCGTCAATGAGCCCCTGATATTCGCGCGTCGGTCAGTGTTTGTGATCGCAGCTCCAAGTTGCCCTTGAGCCAGCTCAGTGATCGAGTTCAAGGTTTGGTCAGGACAGAAAATGGGCGTGCGCCTTTCTGAGATGCGCTTCCTTCAGGTAGTCGAGTGCATGCATCGTGGATGAAAACGAAAGTCGAGCCTAGACTATACCGATAGCTTCGTATGTTACAACGGTATTATAGCTCGAGCAAGAGCTTACCTGTTGTCTGCCGGCTCTCGAGCTTCGCGTGCAAGTCGGCAGCGTCCTTCAGGGGCGCCTTGACGTAGTCAAACTTGACATAACCCTTCTTGATCCAGTCGAGAGCCTCGTACGCGCGCCTGCGGAGCGTGTCCTCGTCCGCAACATAGTGGAAGAGCATAGGCCGCGTTAGCTTGATCGACTTGGGGCCGAGGCTAAGCGGGGCGATTGGGTCGGGTGCGCCGGACGCCGCGCCGAAGAGGACGACGCTACCGGTCTTGGCGACGAGGTCGAGCGAGTGGGTGAAAGTGGACTTGCCGACCGAGTCGTAGACCACATTGAAGCCCTGGCCCTTGGGCGTCGCAGCGCGCGCCTGCTCGACCCAGGCATCGGTGCTCGCGCCTTCGTCTGTGGCGTAGCGCAGGACCGTATTGGCGCCGGCCGCCTTGCTCTTCTCAGCCTTGGCCGCGGAAGAGACAGTCGTCGTGACGACGGCGCCCTTTGCCTTGGCAATCTGTGTAAGCAACAGACCCATACCGCCCGCGCCGGCGTGGATTAGCACATGGTCGCCCTGCTTGATCTCGTAGCTGCCGTCGGCGTTGACGAGGTAATGCGCAGTCATGCCCTGCATCATGGCGCCGCATATGTCCTCGAACGGCGTCTGCTCGTCCTTAATGGGCACCGCCTTGGACGCGTCGACCAGCACATACTCGGCGTACGACTGAATGCCAATGCCCATGTAGCCAACCTTGCTGCCGATGGGGAAGAGGTTCTGCACGTCCGAACCAGCGGCAAGAACCGTGCCGGCACCCTCCATGCCCGGGATCAGCGGAAGTGGAGCAGGCATTGCACCTTTGCGGACATTGGTATCTGAAAGGGCCGGGGGGATATTGTCAGCAGGAGCGCAGGTATTGAGAATAAAAAAGGCGCAGCTCGCCAATGAAGTTGATGCCGGCGAACTTTGCTCTGATGAGGATCTGGTTGGTCTTGAGGTCCTCGAGCTTGGGAGTGTGATACTGCTCGTTATATTCGAGCACCTCGGGGCCACCCGTCTTGTTGATGACGATGGCACGCTGGGTAGCGGGGATGGAGCTGGGAACTGTCATCTTGGCGCTAGTCGTGGACTTGCGGTGAAGAAGGCGGGCAAGGAATGCCATGTGGATAGCTGCAAGAAGAGATTGTTAACGGTTGGCTGCTGGATCAAACGACCCACAGTCGCCGCCTTTTGTACCATTTCGATGTGGGCATTGCACGACGCGGATGGCTCTGCGGAAGATGCTGAGGATCTACATTTCTGCGGCGGCCCTAGAATATCCAAGTTGGCTACAGCGACAGCTGCAGGCGTCATCAGCAGGCTGCTGCACCAAGACTCGCAAATCTCTACGGGTGCTTGTAGTGGAGGGATCCGAGGAGTCTGCGACGACGATAGCGCCGGGGTGGGGGCGACGAGAATGGGATAGGTTCGTTTTCCAGTGTGGCGTCATTTCTCGTTGGCCTGCCAGAAGGTTGCACCGAATGTGCCGCCAGCTGGTTGCTAAAAGTCTCCAACTCGTGCAGCAGGACCTACGAATCCTACTGCTAATAATAATAATAATAATAATAATAATAATAATAATAATAATAATA